GAAAACGACATCATTAGTTATCTAACAACCAAGCTCTATGATAAACGTGATGACTCTAACTTTTCTGTCGTCAACCTCCCTTACTTATGCAGCAATATTCCTTTCTAACCTGCATACGGAGTTTATATACATGTGTCTCAGTTAATTCGATACGCAAGAGCATGCTCTGCGTATAATCAATTTCTATAACGAGGTAAATTATTGACAAACAATTTGATGAAACAAGAATATCAGCAGTCTCGTTTAAAGTCATCATTTCGTAAGTTCTATAGTCGATACAATGACCTTGTCAGAAAATACAATTTATCATTGAGTCAAATGCTGACTGACGTTTTTCATTGTTAGTCTTTTATTTATACACTGAATTGACGACGGATTTTTCCGTTATTTCCCGATCATGACAAGGTGCACACGGCGATTGTGACCGGTCGGCAGGGAGATGCTCACTCCTCCATGGCACCCGATCCCACCTCTGATGTTTTTGAGGTCCGTGTATGCTCTGTACCTATTTTGTATTGTTTTATGGACTTTGATATTGAATACTGTTCGTTATCTCCATTTCCTTCATTGTTAATTTTTTTTCTTGAGATATTTTCAAGCAAAGTCTATTCCTATTACGACGGCGTATTCGTGCCATATTGACAATGTAGAAAAAAATTTTAAAATCGTTTGTACGATTTTTCAAATTATTTGTACAATTTTTTAAATCGTTTGTACGATTTTTCAAATCGTTTGAACGATTTTTAAATCGTTTGTACGATTTAGAAAATCATTTGTACGATTTAGAAAATGTTTGAACGATTTCTATTAAAATCGTCTGAACGATTTAGAAAATCGTTTGTATGATTTAGCAAATCGTTTGTATGATTTTAAAAAAATCGTTTGTACAATTTTTATTTCTTGTTATTACACGTAGAAGAGGCGTAGTAGAAAACCTGCAAACAAGTAGGAAAATGTATCCACGCATAGTTTTAATGAATGACACGAAGAAGGACAGAGAAAAATTGATCAAGGGATATATTTCAAAATTGATTTCACTTTTATGGGAAATTGGACAAATCCTTTCGCAAACTCATCGAGTTTTTGTTAGTGAACGAACGTTGAAAAGGACAACAGCTAAGTTGGGATTGTTCAGACGTAAGAACACCCCGACATATGGGGGTGTAGTTCTTTTCATTGATAGAGAGTCCTGTGGTCAATTGCATGGATACATGTGGTTGTACTGGAAGGCTATTATGTCAGGATTTACCATTTTTCAAGAAGATATTCGATGTCTTCTTTCTATACAAGCTCCGGAGGGAGTGTGTTTAAGGAAAAGAAACTGTTTAAGACGAAGATTGCACACTAACAGTTACGCAGTTGATGGAGTGTCGAGCGCCACTATACAAGTGAATCACTGATCATAAAAACATTGTAAATGTGATATGATGTTTTACTAATTATAGCATTAAAACACATTTCATACAGTTTAATTAACAAGATACAATTTATTATAAGCGTTTCTGTACCTGTTATAGTCTGCAGCGACAATAGCTTTACCAGGTTTCTTATCAAGTACGCTTCTGTTCGGAATCAGAACTGAAAAATCGTACAAACGATTTAACAAATCGTACAAACGATTTTCTAAATCGTTCAAACGATTTTAAAAATCGTACAAACGAATTTCTAAATCGTTCAAACGGTTTTAAAGATCGTTCAAACGATTTTAAAGATCGTTCAAACGATTTAAAATATCGTACAAAAGATTTCGTCAAAATGGCACGAATACGCCGACGTATCCTATATATAGACTAAAAAGACGATAGTTTATGCTTGATACTTTAAGGACTCCTGTACTATTGATATCTCATTCTCAATTTCAAAAGACATTTTAAAAGAAGCCATGAAACATGCCTGAGATATGGACAGTGACTTTATAAACTTTCCAAACTAGATGTGATATGTTTATTTTGCATTGTCAACAAAAACTTGGCTAAAACTTAATTTACAATGTTTATTTAATCATTTTATTTGAAAGGTCAGCCATCGGCAAATTTTCTATATTTTACTCTAAGTTATTGTTATTACTGGTAATGAAATGCATAAGACAACTTTTTTAAATAAAGAAAAAAAATAAGAAACGGAGTATAATTTTTCTTTTAGCATAGTTTAATAGATAATAGTGCTGACAATAAAGCTTTAAATAGATAATAGTGCTGACAATAGATTGGGTCTTTTTTATTATTTCATATCTTCAGTAATATATATTTCAATTGTATTTCACAAGTGGGATGTTGTGCAGATATTACAATACTGTTCAAGTAATTGTATATTAATTTATTTTAAAAAGCATAAAGCAGGCAAGTATTTGTTTTATCTTTATGAGAGTTTTTTTTTCATTGTACCGGAGTAATTTAAAAAAAAAAAAGTTTTGCTTTTGAAAAATCATAAATTGAGACTTTACCCATTTAAATTGAAGGGAAAAATGAAGGTGATGATGATGATAATGATTATGATGATGAACAGCGGTATCGACCCTGTCAGAACTTTATAGACCCTGTCAACATAGAATGTAAACAGGACATGAATTAAAACCAAGAACACCTGAAAACAACAGAAGCGAGTGTATGGGCGAACTGTATTGGAGCTCAAAAGGCCATTAAACATTGAAAATTATGAGCAGAACAAACAAGGACCCCCAAACATCAGAGATGGGATCAGGTGCCATGGAGGAGTGAGCACCCCCTGCCGATCGGTCCCACCCGTCGTGTTCTCCTTGTCATGTTCAGTGGGGGGGGGGGGGGCTAAAAACCCGTGGACAACTCAGTGTGTAAATAATGACCAAACAATCAATTTAAAAAAAGTCGTCAGTATTTGACTTAAAGGTGCATAACCACAGATTTGAAGTTAAGTTTTTCTCAAATTATCTGTTTAATTAATATCACGACTTATATATTGCAATAATGATAAATTGTATTTGCTGACAATGTCATTGTATTGACCATATAACTAAAAAAATTATTACTTTTAACGAGATTGTTGATATTCTTGCTTCATTAACTTGTTTGTCAATAACTTACCTCGTTTTCGGAAGTGTTCATGTGTTGAGCATGTTCTTCCGTATTGAATCATCTTTGCTGGCTAAGGGTTTCAGATCGGAAACCCTTGGCTAGCGAAGATGGTATTGAATCGAATCAACTAAGAAATATAAACTCCGTATGCACGTGCAAGTAAGGTAAATTGACGAATGAAAAGTTAAAAGTCATCAAGTTTATCACCAAGCTTTGTTGTAAGATGACTAATAACATCTTTTTCTAGTAAGATATCCAAATTTGAAACAGACTCTGTAAAATCTCTTATTTCAAGCTCAAAGAGGTATATCGTGTCGACATAAGAATGGAAATAACCATTGTTACTTGACAATACGTCGTCAATATACCTAAATGTCGAATTAAAGGCCATATCTGTTTTATTCTTTTCCCTTAAAAGGTTTTGAACAAATTCTGCTTCATTTTACTACAAATATAGGTCTGCTAATAGCGGTTGCAACTGGTACCCCTAGGGATTCAAATAAATTGTTGGAAGCCTGGTCTAAAAAAAAACACATTTATATTGTCAATCAGAAACTCTCGCATTTGTTATGTTAACTTCAAAGTACTTGTGTGTACAATCAGAATGATTTTACAAATGACAAGGCAAGTATATATATTTATGAGTTCCAATTTTATTAAAAAAGCAGTTGTCAATGGTGTCAGTTTCATTTATCGTGCATGGGAAAAGGTCGTATACCGGTATAAAGTAGAAAAGTCGTTAAGTTTTTAAGTTGTTGATTTTAATAAAATTTTGCGATTTCAAATGGTTCAAAAGTTCCTTCGATTTTCTTAGTATCCACACCTGATTAACATAGTTTCTTAAATATATTGTTGAACAGTACTCTACATCTTGACTTTTATCTTTCACTACTGTAGATATTTTAGTGAGGAGTAAAGAAAGAAGCTTGGTGGAACATTTACTGGAACCCACTATGTATCTTAGTTTTTAAGGATTTTATGACGTTTCGGAATACGTGGTAATTCAAATTCATTATGGTTGTTTTGAATATTGAAAATATTCCAAACTGACATATGATTTTGAAGAATGTCCTCCTCAGAAAGGGGGCTATGAGTATAAAAAGGATTTCTACTTGTGGAATTAAAGTCAAGTTGCTCTGAAATACATTTTAAATAATGAGCCTTACAAACAAAGACATGTTGTTGCCTGCTTTGTCAGCAGAAACCAGTACGAACTGATCATGCAAACGTTAATTTTTTCCCTTCTGGATTATACTAGTATTGAATACAGAAGGATATATGGTTTTTGTATTGCCCTTAATTGCTTAATGTGCGATTTTAACATACACCTAGTACATTAAATCCATACTGAGAAAGTGTCAAGGTTTTCATCTCCAATCCATGGGTCACACAAGCATGAGCCCTATGTATTGATCCCGAAAACAGAGTAATTAGTAGTACATATTATTTCAAAAATGGTACGAAACATGTCTGTTAAGTACATCTGAACGAGTTGTATTTGCAAAAAAGTAAATTTTAATAACTACAAAAGATGCTTATTTCAATAAAAATTCGAGAGCCCTATCACATGACTTTGTCACTGGCATGACTCATATAAAAATTACTGGCACTGTGAATATCTCATCCTCTACCAAATCAGTTGGTAACCAAAAACACTGTATGCAGCTGATAGTGAAATGTACTATATGAGTAAGGAAGCTGACAATGGAAAAGCTCAAGTAATGTTTGTCCTACAGTTAAAGTTAGTTATTAGTTTGGAATTAATATCTCAACTCTCAAAGGGATGTTCAACAACAAATAAACAAACAAGCTGGAGAAACTAAAGGCAAATAATGAAAGTAGACTTGCAAGATTTCAGAAATGAATGTTATATACTCAAGTAAACGTTGATTATGCCATACAAAAATGTTTTATAAATGGTACCTAATAAGAACAACAAACAAATGATGATATGTGTGTATTTACATTTTATTATCAGATGACACCATTATTAACCTCAACCTTTTGTCTCCTCCTTGAACTTATTAATGTTCATGTACTTGACTTTCTTTGGATTGATTCCAAAAGCCAGAAGTCTCTCACTAGATAGTTTAGGAGGTCCTTCCTTCTTTTTCTTCTTTTTCCTCTTGTTTTTCCTCTTCTTGCTCATGTCACCAGCCACCTGCTGATGCTCTCTAGGGGTACTAGTCATACCACTCTCCTCTGCTGAACTCACAGTGTCTGGTCTTTCCTTTTTTATTTCACCTGATAGCCTAATTCCTGTGTCATTTTCTGATGCCTCTTGTGACAGAGGTTTCCCAACATCCTGACTTTTCTTCTTTTTACTTTTTCTACCCTTTTCAATGTATTTTACACTGCTGCTTTCTTCAATGTCTGAATGAAACTTTATCTTTCCTTTGTGTTCTTTTGATTCCCTGATTTTCTTCTCACTATCAGAAACCATGCTCGAGTCACTGCTCTCTTTTTTCACATGAACATCTCCTGTAATTCCTGTCTCTTGTTTTATGTTCCTCCCCTTTGGACTTTCTTTCACCACTGATTTATTCCTCATGTCTTTTTTCTTTGTGAACATCCCACCTTTGATTTCTTTACTCTCATTTAAATCATCTTTTTTAGACTTTTTCACTGTCTGTTCTTCTAAACTGCCCATGCTATCATCCACAGCATGCTTTCGTTTCTTTTTCTTTACAGGTGAACTTATTGTTGAAGTTGCACTTTCCTTTTTTACAGGTCTGGAAAAAAAATAATGTGGTATCAAATATAATCAATTATTTACACAAGCATACAGTCATAGAAAAAATTCTCAAAATGTTTATCTTTCTCATAAAATCAAAAAAAGATCACATATAAGTATATAAAAGCAAATACTTATTCCAATTTTAAGCAATATGAGCATAATCACAAACAGGTTATTTATTAAAACAGTAAATAAAACCAAAAATTTTCATATAAACATACATTTCCTCTGCCTCCTCCTTCAATGACAGTAGCACATTCATCTTCTTTCTCTGGTTTTTACCTTTACTCTCAAAAATCTTCACTTCTCTTTCCTCCTCGTCCTTCTCTCTGTCAACATAATCTACTGTAAGTCTCCATATCTTATAAAATTTTGAAGGGTATCGATATAAAAGTTAATGAAATATCCAATACATGTAAACTTACCTGTACTGACTCATTTTCTTCACAGAAACCCATGCATTTAACTCTTTGTCTCTGCATTTCAAAATCTGTCAAATTAAAATAAGTTCAGAGAGAGAGATGATTACAAACATTGACCACATTTTAAATACAAAGTAATAATTGTAATTCATTAAAAATATATAAGTTACCTCATCCACTTCTAGGCCGTAACTGTTGGGTGTAACATTCCTGTACTTAAACCGACATGGCTGTCCTGCTACAATGTCCTCATAGTCCAGTTTATAATACTCATCAAAGTACTCCTCAAAAGTCTTCTCACCTATTTTCAAACAGAGAAATCATTATCCCCCAGTATACTCCACTCATTAAACCCCCAAAAAAAATATTTCAAATACAAAAATGCCCAGGGGCCACACTCAAGTACATCAGGCTTGAATTTACTCCACCACCCCCCTCCAGGCATTCATCATTTGAACAAACTAGAATCTACACTACCTGAGGATGATTCCACATAAATATCACAAATCATAGGTTTTACTTGAAAAGAAGATTTTAAAAGGTTTCCCTATATATCCCTATGTAAAACTTTCGGCCATTTTGGCCCCACCCTAGCCGGGGGTCATGATTTGAACAAAAACTACACTACCTGAGGATGATTCCATATGAGTTTCATCTCTCCAGGCCCAGTGGTTCTTGAGAAGAAGATTTTTAAAGATTTTTCCTACATATTCCTATGTAGAACATCCATGGCCCCACCCTTGCCCCAGGGATCATGATTTGAACAAACTTGAATCTACACTACCTGAGGATGATTCCACATGAGTTTCATCTCTCCTGGCCCAGTGGTTCTTGAGAAGAAATTTTTAAAGATTTTTCTTATATACTTATGTAAAACAAGTCGGCCACTTTGGCCCCACCCTAGCCCCGGGGGTCATGATTTGAACAAACTTAAATCCACACTACCTGAGGATGATTCCACATGAGTTTCATCTTTCCTGGCCCAGTGGTTCTGGAGAAAAAGATTTTTAAAGATTATTCCTATATAATCTTACGTAAAACCTTGATCGACCATTTTGACCCAACCCTTTCCCCGGGGGTCATGATTTGAACAAACTTGAATCATAATTACTTGAGGATGATTTCACATGAGTTTCATCTTTCCTGGCCCAGTGGTTCTTGAGAAGAAGATTTTTTAAGTTTTTTCTTATATATTCCTATGTAAAACCGGCCATTTTGGCCCCACCCTAGCCCTGGGGGTCATGATTTGAACAAACTTGAATCTACACTACCTGAGGATGATTCCACATGAGTTTCATCTTTCCTGGCCCAGTGGTTCTGGAGAAAAAGATTTTTAAAGATTTTTCTTATATATTCCTATGTAAAATTGTTGGCCTCACCCTAGCCCCGGGGGTCATGATTTGAATAAACTTGAATCTACACTATCTGAGGATAATTCCACATGAGTTGCATCTTTCCTGGCCTAGTGGTTCTTGAGAAAAAGATTTTTAAAGATTTTTTATATATATATTCCTAACTAAAACTTAGGGCTGGCCATTTTGGCCCCACCCTTGCCCCAGGGGTCATGATTTGAACAAACTTGAATCTACACTACCATTGATTCCACATGAGTTTCATCTTTCCTGTCCTAGTGTCTTGAGAAGAAGATTTTTAAAGATTTTTCTTTTATAATCCTATGTAAAACTTGGGTCGGCCATTTTGGCCCCACCCTAGCCCCGGGGGTCATGATTTGAACAAACTTGAATCCACACTACCTGAGGATGATTCCACATGAGTTTCATCTCTCCTGGCCCAGTGGTTCTGGAAAAAAGATTTTTAAAGATTTTTCTTATATTTTCCTATGTAAAACTTGGGTCGGCCATGTGGCCCCATCCAAAACAATTTCATGATTTGAAATGTTTGGCTTCCAATAACAAACTTTCATAAGTTCCATTTTTATATCTATTGAAAAAGATTTTTAAATATTTATCTTATATATTCCTATGTAAAACTTGGGTCGGCCATTTTGGCCCCACCCTAGCCCCGGGGGTCATGATTTGAACAAACTTGAATCCACACTACCTGAGGATGATTCCACATGAGTTTCATCTTTCCTGGCCCAGTGGTTCTGGAGAAAAATATTTTAAAGATTTTTCCTATATATATATTCCTATGTAAAACTTGGGTCGGCCATTTTGGCCCTACCCTTGCCCCAGGGGTCATGATTGAACAAACTTGAATCTACACTTGAGGATACCACAAAGTTTATATCTTTCCTGTACAGTGGTTCTGAGAAGAAGATTTTTAAAGATTTTTCTTTTATATTCCTATGTAAAAGTCGGCCATTTTGGCCCCACCCTAGCCCCGGGGGTCATGTATTTGAACTTTTGAATCCACACTAAGGATGATTCCACATGAGTTTTTTTCCTGGCCCAGTGGTTCTGGAGAAAAAGATTTTTAAAGATTTTTCTTATATATTCTATGTAAAACTTGGGTCGGCCATTTTGGATCCTAGCCCCGGGGGTCATATTTGAACAAACTTGAATCCACACTACCTGAGGATGATTCCACATGAGTTTCATCTTTCCTGGCCCAGTGGTTCTGGAGAAAAAGATTTTTAAAGATTTTTCCTATATATTCCTATGTAAAAAGCCATTTTGGCCCCACCCTTGCCCCAGGGGTCATGACAAAAACTTGAATCTTTGAGGATGATTCCACATGAGTTTCATCTTTCCTGGCCCAGTGGTTCTGGAGAAAAAGATTTTTAAAGATTTTTCCTATATATTCCTATATAAAAGATAGGACTTTGGCCCCACCCTAGCCCCGGGGGTAAATTAACAAATTGAATCCACACTACCTGAGGATGATTCCACATGAGTTTCATCTTTCCTGGCCCAGTTAAAAGAAGATTTTTAAAGATTTTTCCTATATATTCCTATGTAAAACTTTCGGCCATTTTGGCCCCACCCTAGAAAGGGGGGATATTTGAACAAACTTAAATCCACACTATCTGAGGATGATTCCACATGAGTTTCATCTTTCCTGGCCTAGTGGTTCTGGAGAAAAAGATTTTTAAAGATTTTTCCTATATATATATTCCTATGTAAAACTTGGGTCGGCCATTTTGGCCCCACCCTTGCCCCAGGGGTCATGATTTAATAAACAACCTTGAATCTATATTCTAAGTGAACAATGAGTTGAAGTCCTAATTTGAGAAGAAGATTTTTAAAGATTTTTCTTATATATTCCTATGTAAAATTTTCGGGCCATTATAGGTCGATAGCCCTGGGGGAATAAACTTGAATCCACACTACCTGAGGATGATTCCACATGAGTTTCATCTTTCCTGGCCCAGTAATTTTTGAAAAAGATTTTTAAAGATTTTTCTTATATATTCCTATATAAAACGAGGCATTTTGGCCCCACCCTAGCCCCAGGGGTTTTTGAACAAACTTGAATCCACACTACCTGAGGATGATTCCACATGAGTTTCATCTTTCCTGGCCCAGTGGTTCTGGAGAAGAAGATTTTTAAAGATTTTTCCTATATATTCCTATGTAAAACTTGGGGGCCATTTTGGCCCCACCCTAGCCCTGGGGGTCATGATTTGAACAAACTTGAATCCACACTACCTGAGGATGCTTCCACATGAGTTTCATCTTTCCTGGCCCAGCGATTCTGGAGAAGAAGATTTTTTAAAAATGCCATAAATTTTTCACAAATTCATAATTATCTCCCCTTGGAATTGTGGTTCATTTGAACAAACTTGATTCCCCTTCACCCATACTTTGTGCCAAGTTTGGTTGAAATTGGCCCAGTGGTTCTTGAGAAGAAGATGAAAATGTGAAAAGTTAAACCCGACGACGCCGACAACGACGACGACGGACAACGGACAAATTTTGATCAGAAAAGCTCACTTGAGCCTTCGGCTCAGGTGAGCTAAAAATGATTAACTCAAATTTCACTGTCCACACAAAATGCATGAAACTGAAATGTCAAGTAAAATGAAACTGAAAAGTCATATAAATGACATCAGATAACATATTTTACTTACTTGGATCAAATGTAGGTTTTGAGTTTGTGACCGCCTCCACAAACTTTGATTTCCTCTTTTTATTCTTTTTTCGACTTACAACTTTTGTTGGGTCATAGTCAACATCCATCTAAAGCAGTGAAGAAAAAAAATGATGATTTCATCACATTCATCAACTCTTTAGTGCTGGATGAAATTAGTTAAAGGCCATAACTTAGAATCAAGTAAGGCCATAGAAGCAGAACAAATTATATATACTAGGTATTATACATTTAGCATCCACAAGTCGTATTATACATATTACATTTTAATGCTTTACATATCCAAAATTTTCTAAAAGTTTCATGGTTGTTAATGAAATAATTACTTCTGTACTTACACAAAAGTCAGGATCATCTACATGTGGTTCATAATCATTGTCATTATCGTTGTACCCCTCATCGTATCCCTTCACATCTCCTCCACTCCACTCATCCCAGTTCTCTGTAATGGTTAATTGTTAGCAATGAACCGCTCACATCTCAATGTGCATGTGTGACCACGTACATGCAATATGGTGTGAAACAAATATGTTACTAATATACTTTTCAAAACTGACTTTGCATCTTAATCATTATTGCTACAAAATAGTTTACATTTACCACAAAGTTTATACGAGGGGTGATCAAAAAGTTCGCGAACTAATTGAATAACTTCCATAAAAGAAACAATATTTGGTTTCAATGTCGATTATATTTAAAATTAATCCCTCTCCGATTTTAATGCACATCAACCACTGTTCTGCGCATGCATGAATCACGTGATATTGGCTGTCACGTGACCCCCTCCGTAACGTTCTGTCACAAAAGTTGAAAGATTTTTCTGAGTTTTATATTTCTTTCCATGTGAGTTAATCTTTATGTCAAGAACAGTTCATTTGTCAGAAATGGTCAAATCTCGGCAACAGAATGGGTGGATAAGAATATCCTTTCCAAAAAATTAAAACACAAATCTTCTGTCTCAGGAGAAACTTTTATTCAGGGTGGATACAGAATGAGTGCCTCATTTTTATCATATCTAATAAGTTTAAAATCTAAAATAAATGATATCTTAGGTATTTAACAATTATATTATTGTTATATTCAACTATTTTTCAAAGTGTAAATTGGAGGTCTTTGATAGCAAATTGCTTAATTAAAAACACATATCTATTCAAACTTGCTTTCAATGGGCAAGATATGGGCAAGATGACAAGTATCATTTTTAACCATCTGCCTTCCTTCACTATAACAACCAATCCAATCACTAATTTAATTTATAAGAACTTATTTAACTTAATAAACTGTGTACAAATTATATGATACTGTAGAGGGATTTCAAAGATATACAATAAATTGTGGATAACGAGTTCAACTGAGACAACCATTTTTCGTCACAAGTGACCTACATAGTGACGTTATTTTTACATTGTGACGTCACAAACAAGGAGAAAAACTTTATTCGGCATATGCTATTTATAGACCTTGTGTATGGCTATGTGTGTACCGAATTTCATTCTAATCTGAATTGTGGTTTTGAAGATATAGAGATAGTTCATGAACTTTTTGATCACTCCTCGTATATATACATTACTGCTAAAATGTCTTGTCCTAGACATGTACAAGTATTAAGTACCAGTACCACATACAGTTGTATTTTTTTTTTAAAAAGTAATTATTTCTAAACTTCTAAGTGGATCCTATATTTCTCTGTACAAACCACACTGGATTTCCTCTATATCAGCTGGTGCCTCCGGCTTCTGGTCTCCCTCCTCCATCTCATAAAACTCATCATCAAAGTATTTCTACAAAGCAAAAACTCATCAGTAAAAAATTAAAGTTACAATCCTTGGTTTAATAAATTATGCTTTATGACTGTTACATTTAAAGTAAACAATTTGAGAAATCTTGCTATAAATCAGTTTTATTTTGTTAGAACTATAACCTTCATCATTTCGTCATGCTTTTGGGGATCAAAGTCTGTTTCTAAATCCTCCTCGTTAAAGTCAAGGTCTGGATCACCAGTTATCTCCCTTAGTTTATCTATTTTGTCCATTATCTCCCTTCTTTTGAGATTTTTCAGCTGTTTGACTTCCTCCTTAATCTTTTGTTTTTCCTGTAAATACAATCTAATTTGAAGTTTCCACGTAAAGAGAAAATATACCAGTATATACACATTTTCTTAATATTTTGTCAAAAACATAAATCTTGTGAATAATCTTTCAATGAGTTAATTCTGATTGAGATGGAAAGAGCATTCTGTTTTTATGTCTGCTTTGTACCACTCACCATTTCTTTCCTTTTTTTCAGCTCTTTTCTTTTCTCTGCTCTCTTTGTGTCCTTCTGACGCACTGAATCCTTAATGGTTCGAGGATATGACTTGATCTACAATTTTTTTTTGGAATATTTAAGGCCCAGTGTTGAGAACTGAGTCATGCAGTGTTGCTTAGCAATGTTGGCTGAATGTTTGTTGGCTGAATGTTAGTTTCAAGAACATAATGTTTAATATAAAATCTAAAAAGCTGTAAAATCTTCTTAATTAAAAAATTCAATTGCTTTTTGAAAAGAATCATGGTTACTTTTTGAGAAGTCTATTCTTGCAATCATCAGCTTTAAGAATTAATCACTTATTTTCAAATAAAAACAGCTGACATACAAAGTCAGGGTCTGGTTCTTCAAATCTGAAGTTGTATTTTCTTTCAAACTGATCTTCTCTCTCCAGAATTTCCTCTTCCTCAGAGAACCCCTCCCCATCATCCACTATCTCATTGTAGGAGGGTAATCTGTCAGGAAAAATCACAGTCAATTATTACATTTACATAAAGATATAAAATAAATCATATATTTTTTTAATGTTTACATGTAAATATTTTACATAATTTAAAGAAGTTCACATTAAAAATACACAGGAAAAGTCAACCTTTTTAACAAGAACTTAGTCTAATTTTTAGATTTGACCTGTCAGTATGCGTCTTTGACTGATGAGAATATGTCCTATTTAATGAGGGAAAACACACAATATTACATATTCAGCCTACCTTTTACCATCTTTATCGATGTACCCTTTATTCAGTATCAAATCTCTCAGGAATTTTTCGTTTGAACTAAGCTTTGGATCATTCCAATAACTCTTGAGCGGAGCCTGATAATTAAATACCCACAATCAAAAATGATCCTTTTATGATGAATCAAAGCATTCAATGATTTATTGTACTGTATTGACATTTATGAGAGAGTAAGGTTATTACCAGTTCTACTCCCACTGAGTCTTTTTCCTCTAGATCTTTTTGATCCTTCAACCATTTGATGTAATCTTTCTCTTCCTCCTCCTAAAAAAAACCATGAAAACTACACTGAAATCATTCTTCCCTACTTACTAGCTTGTTTGGATATCTACAGTATGATGTAAGTACAAACTTCACTAATTCCTCAAACATTTTACAATCTTTTTGGGACTTGCCTCTTGCTCTTTAGTTTTCAATCTTTTTGTAAAAAGTTCTCCCTCTGAATCAGATTCTTCAGCCAGTTTTTCTTTAAAGCTGAAATCAAATCAGTCATTGTGAAGTTAAAAAAAAGAGAGAGCTCGAGATTCTGTACATTTTACATGCTTCCATTTGTCATGTCAGATTTGTTATTTATGGTCATTATCCCTTAAAAAAAACTGAAATGTAATTTTTCAAAAAGTTATATTTGGCTCTTTAAGTCAATTAATCCAGAGCTCTGCAATATAGAAATTCACTTAATGTATTTATTCCTACCTCTTTTTGATCTCTTCTTGTTCCTCGTAATACCCAGGTTCATGGCTGATATCTTCTTCATTGTCATCACTTTCTTCATCACTTACTTTACTGGAAACATTCACAGCAAAATGTATTTAAAATACCACCTTTACTTAATTCCAGCAAGGTTAATACAAACAGGACTACTGCACTTCTAACAGTATAACATTTACAAAATTGTACATTTGAATTTTTAATGCTCTTAAAAAAATTAACATTAGTTCCTGTCCATTAGTTTTATTTTACAGAGTAAATGACTAAATGTAGATGCTTTGGTCATCAAATGTTTAAAAATAGAAATGGGTGTCAAAAAGAAAACACCTTTTAATAACGATTGCTTCAATATAAAACTGTAGGTTAATAAGATAAAACAAATTACCCTTCTTTTTCCAGAATAACCTTCCGGTGGTAATCTTTCAGATACACTGGCTTATCTTTCTTACTACTTGGTCCAGGTTCATCGGAGCTATCATCACTTTCTTCTTCCATATAAAAATACTTTCACAATTAAAAAACAAAACAAAGGAACACTGAATCGCAATCAAAGGCTTCATCATATTAGAAATTCATGAAACCAATACCTTCACTGTGATAAAACTTTGCATTTTTATCATAAATTCTTGGATCTTTGCTTTTAAGTGCTGCCAGTGTTTTAAACCAGTCTTCCTCTAGTTGTGCAGTAAGTGCCTGAATAACAAAATTTGAACTTATACCCAAATCAAATGTAGAATTAAATTATAAACATTTTAATTTTAAAAGAGATTTTACAGAAGCCTCTATTTAACTTTACCAGAATTAAATTTTAGAAAAATTTTTTAAAAAGATTTTACAGCATCTTCATCCTCAGATTCAGATGAGCTGGAATCTTCTAATTCTGCATCAACTCCATAGCGATCTCTTACTGAACACATAAAATCAAAGTGGTTTCTTTTTGTACACCTTAAATCCTAATTAACAGCTTTTGCATAAAAGCATTAAATTTTTTTGCATTCATATATTTTTAGATTCCAAAAATGGTACATGTAGTACAAAATGAAAAACATGATGATAAGAAATAGTGATCAATCTCAGAGAAAATCTATAATTAATATTTATATGTGAACAGAGCATAAAACACAGACTCCAGGAAATTCCAGAAGTGGGGTCAGGTGCCAAGAAGAATTTTAAAAGCATCCCCTGTTGACAGATCGGACCTGCCATAAACATGTTAAGTGCTTACATCTTACTGTCCCTGTCAAATCTCCTAAGTTATAATGTGCTGTAAAGAGTGTTTTCTATTTCTAAAATTAGAGAAGTAGTCAGTTAAATATACATAAACTCGTCATGTTCGTAGATTATGTAATAATCATTCTTTTTATCAAATTCACGCTATTCTCTATTGAGAAGTCGATGGCTCCATTGTTATTTATTTTCACAATAATTCTAAACAAATATCCAAGACTTAGTACATATACAGTAATACTTAGTATCATACTCAAGATAGAAAGAAAAAATAGAGATTTTTCGAACGGCATACATAAGCCTAAACTGGCCAATTTGTAAGGCCTTGTTCAGAATAGCGTAAAAATGTCGACTTATTTCTTACGTTTTTGAAGTTCTTCTCTCCTTCGCCAATCGTTATATTTAGAAGCATATGCTCTGTTAATCTTAAATCCACCAGAATCCTCATCAGAACTGTCGGACATCGTGCTTTTGTTTTGATTTTTTTCTTAGAGGGTGTAAAATAAATCGTACGTAAATCATGTCGTAATTTTAAAAAAATTTATCAGCAGATCGTCCTTTGTTGAGTTGGACTTTGTCCTGTGTAAGGAAAGGGAGGGGATGGAGTGAGCTAATCAGCAAAGAAAAAAAGACACATCTATCCATTGATATCTCTATTTTCAATTCCATACTGGTCATGAAATTTTATCGTCAGGATGAAATTATACATGCCAATGCATAATGATTAATTGTTCGATGGTGTTTTATCAATTTTAAATTATATAGTTTTATCAACGATTACAATGATTCGATCTATCAAACTGAACTCAAGAAAAAAGACATTATGGACGCTGACACATTTGATCATATCTGGATTTTTTACGAAAGAAACACACACTAAATTAAACTAAAAATGTGACGCACGTGACTTCAATCATTTTTGGTCGTCAGTCCCCTACAATCATCATTTACTGCAGATAGGGTTAAGGTACCCCATTTAATTTGTTGATTTATTACTTAAGAGTATATGTTCATCGTGTGAAAAATTCCAAAACTGGGAGACAGGCTACTGACAAATGAGTTGATGATACAAGAACATTTTGCAAATTCAGTGGCCTTGTTTACAAATATTATATGATTGTAAACATATGCCACTTGACTTTTATATGATGCTTTTTAAAGCAATATGAGCTGGCGTTTTGAAGAAATTAAATTTGCTGTTAAAATATGCTGTTATGATAAGTCTGTATGTTATTTAAACCAGTATCTTTAATCAGACTGAAATAAAGAATTGTTTTGGTTCTCAGAAGAAAGATTTCTACAAAGGAATTTACAATGACGTTGTGCACGGTGTTGGTGTCAGTTTCGGTAACGTCAAAATTTTACATGAAGTTCTAGAAAATTAATTTGACTTTATTTCTTTGCTAACATTTTTTATGACGGAAAAATAAAAACCCAGCAATGCCACCAATTATATAAGACAACAATAATGTAATCTTGCTTCAGTTAAGGCATATAAACAGTTCTTCTGTTGGAAATATATAGAATAGAAGTTAATAAATGTTCTTCTTTTCTTTCATTTGAATAGTTCATTACAATATTGCAAAAAAAAAAAAAAATTCTGACATCAAAGATGCAGCTCATATTGCTTTAAATTGATTTACAAACACATACACTTGACGATACATTCTTCTTTTATTATATAAAAATTATAACTCAATACCTTATTTGATACACTGTATTATTAGGGTTAATTTTTTTTTTGTTCGAAGAATATGTATCGTGAAGTGATTGTGTTTATAATACAACACTTCATACTCGATCTATTCTTTTCTATTCTGAAGATGAATGTGTATTGAACAAAAATATACTACACAAATTTTTTTTAAGGTAGGTTTCTTCACTGGTCTCTGACTAGATGAAATATTTATATATTTGCTTATATGTCTTATATATTCAAATGTAAGAAATTTAGAAGATCACATTTTTTTTTCCTCATCAGAATTGTACAACTTAAAATAGAAATGATGAACTGTGTTTGGAATCTGGAAAGGGCTTTTTTTAATGGTGGCGTATGAATGTACCATCCTTTCTGCTTCTCAAAAATATTATATATATAATTAATCTAGCAATAATTTTTACACAAAAAGACTTGAAGAAATTTTCAAATGTAAGTACAATTAATAAAAATAGAAGTTTTATTACAATAAATCAAATAAATGAAATATATGGAGATAACGAAGAGTATTTCAGCTCAAAAGTCCATAAAACAATACGAAATAAGAGAAGAGCGAATACCGACCTCAAACATGAGAAGTGGGATCAGGTGCCATGGAGGAGTACATGTAAGCATCCCCTACCGACCGGTCACACACGTCGTGTGCTCCTTGTCATGATCGGGATATAAGGAAAAATCCGTCGTCAATTCAGTGTGTAAATAATGGTTTAACAATAAGTATTAAAAATGTCAGTCAGCATTTGACTCAATAACAAATTGCACGTGCTGACAAGGTCATTACTTCGATCATAGAACGTACGAAATGAAGACTATAAACGAGATTGCTGTTATTTTTGTTTCATCAACTTGTTTGTCAATAATTATCTCGTTTTAGAAACTGTACATACGTAGAGCATGCTCTTGCGTATCGAATCAACTGAGAGATATAAACTCCGTATGCAGGTGATGAAGGTACAGCTGCATATGTTTATTGCTGCATAAGTAAGGGAAGTTGACAATTGAAGAGTTAAAGTCATCACGTTTATCATAGAGCTTGGATGTTAAATTACCATTGACGTCTTTTTCTAGTTAGATATCCAAATACAATGAAGCGCATTGAAGTGGTAAAATTTTCCGTTCGAATGGAACGTTTTGAGCTATATTTAGAGTGTTTATTGTCATCTTTTGACACGCCCATTTCTTTAGAAATTGATAAAACGGTCAAGTTGTTTCTTCAAATACAATGAAGCGCATTGAAGTGGTAAAATTTTCCGTTCGAATGGAACGTTTTGAGCTATATTTAGAGTGTTTATTGTCATCTTTTGACACGCCCATTTCTTTAGAAATTGATAGAACGGTCAAGTTGTTTCTTCAAATACCTGTAGAACAGGTTTTCCATAAATATAATAGCCAATCAAATTGAGGATCTAAATAAACACCGAGTAAACACGTGTTCGACCAAAACATGTGTTATGGTAACTTCAATAGACATGATAAGTTCAAAAATATGTACATATTCGTTGCAATTTGTGTTTAACAGAAGCGGGTAGTATCTAACTCCCTCTTCTATTTTTTTTAAAGCTCCATTTCAGTGTAATTCATGATGCTTGTCGCGAAGAATGGGATGTCCTAAAACTACGACGAATATTACTTTCTCGTTTCTAAAAATATGGGCGTGTCATTATGTTATAATTGACCTTCAAAACATGACTCAGAACTTTTCATCCAAACGGAGAATTTTACCACTTCAATGCGCTTCATTGTACCTGTAGAACAGGTTTTCCATAAATATAATAGCCAATCAAATTGAGGATCTAAATAAACACCGAGTAAACACGTGTTCGACCAAAACATGTGTTGTGGTAACTTCAATAGACATGATAAGTTCAAAAATATGTACATATTCGTTGCAATTTGTGTTTAACAGAAGCGGGGAGTATCTAACTCCCTCTTCTATTTTTTTTTTTAAAGCTCCATTTCAGTGTAACTCATGATGCTTGGCGCGAAGAATGGGATGTCCTAAAACTACGACGAATATTACTTTCTCGTTTCTAAAAATATGGGCGTGTCATTATGTTATAATTGACCTTCAAAACATGACTCAGAACTTTTCATCCAAACGGAGAATTTTACCACTTCAATGCGCTTCATTGTATGAAACAGATGTGTTAGACTCTGTGGTATCTTAATATTAACTATTGTTAATTGACAATACGTTGTCGACATATCTCAAGGTCGAGTTGAAGGCCACAACAAGCGTTTTCTTCTTTTCACGTTTAAGATTTAAGACAAATTCTGCTTTATATGAATACAAAAATAGGTCTGCTAATTATATAATAGTGTTGCATTATGCATGTACTATGCCTAAATAGTAGGCAGGGTTTGACACATGGTGCACGAGCCGGAGGCGAGTGCACTATGTGTCAAACCCTGCCTACTATTTAGGCATAGTACATGCATAATGCAACACTATTGTTATTATTATGCTGACTGTTGTAATTATTTATGCGGCAATTCATTTGACTTTTTCCTGAAAACATCGGTGCTAACACAGCGCACCTGCAAGAACTGATTCAAAATCTTCATGCTAAAATTGGTTGCATGCTTAGTTATTTTGATTACTAGTATTTTCTCTAAATAAGCCGGGATTTTCTGTACCAAAGCAACTCATCTTTATTTTCCGTTGTGTAAGTAAGACCGATTTGTTTGCAGACGTCGATTCTCATTGATATTTTTCTTTTACATCCTTCAATCAAGCTGTATAAAAAAGCGTTTTAATGACCCCATGACATTAGTTCATCTAACGATCTGTATGTAATTAGTTTGAAACTTTGTTGTACACATTTATCTAAAGTTCTTTATAACTGTTTATTTGTATATTAATGTGTATTAATAATATTTGTCTATTTTCTCCTTCTTGTGTCAATTGTATAAATTAAGTTTATATATGTAATAAAATCCCTCTTGTCAGTGATCGTCTCTGTGGCGTAATCGATAAGGCATCGGTCTGGCAACCGCATGGTCGTGAGTTCGATTCCCGGCGGATGCATGCAAGAATTTTATTCAGTAAATAAAGCCGTGCATTATTTCGGCATAGTATACTTACGCTATATAAATCCTCAGACCACTATGCGAGAATAGAAGGGTATGGGTTATATATAGAGACAAACTGACAGGAAGCATAATAATACATGTAATGGGACGCAATTCGCAAGTTTCGAGATTATCTCCCTTGTTGCGCTCTTTCGTTGAGGAGGGGAGTTTCGTTGCCGCGTAAACAGACAGGTGGGACAGATATTTATTATTTATATATTGGATATATCGATACAGATAATCTACTGGTTTATCGTCTCGTCACTTCATGATTGTAAGGATGCACTCTACAACTCGAGAATAAACGAATTAATGTAAAGATATCAATTTTTAAAGCAAAAAAAAAATCGTAACAAAAACGAAAATATCAGTGGATGTGAGACTTTTTAGACGAGGGAAGAGATGTAGACCTCTAATAAATACATGCATCTTATCATTGGATGTCGGAAATCTAAATTACATATTGATTCTTTTTTTATTATAACTTTTAAAAAACACTAATTGTTTAGAAAATGTTTGTACAATCAAGAAAATCGGTTACTTTTTATAAAGACTACAACGTTTCTTTCGTTTTCAGGTACCCTATAATTCAAAGTAAAATTGCAAATGTGCATAGTTGAGCTTGATAAAATCATCAAATGCAACACTGCTTAACATCATTATCTTTCTATAACATTTAATAAATTCTAAAAGTCATAAATATCGTTCATTTATTCATGCACGTTTGTATACAGAAGCAACCTGTCCCACCTCCACGCTGAAATGGATACTTTTTGCACCTCCATCGTAGGAGAGTTACAATCTCGAAACTCGCGTATTGGCACCATCGGAATTCCAATAGATTGTTGGAAGACCTGATCTCCAAAATCACATAGATATTGTCAATCAGAAACTCAAGCATCTTTTTTGACGTCAACTTCAGAGTACTTGTGTGAACAGAATTTTTTTTAACAAGATAATTTTGCAAATGACCAATGTCAAGGTAAATTAATTTACGAGTTCCAATTTTATTGAGAAAGCACCTGTCAATGATATCAAAAACTCTCGACTTTAATTTACCTTGGGGTATGGTTGTGTGTGTTGAGAAGTTGTAAGTTTTTACGCTATTTATTGTGGTAAAAGCTTGGGAATTCAAATTTTCCAGAAGTTTCTTGGAATTTTCATGTATCTACTTCTGATTTACACAACTTCTCGAAAATACTCGTATTGTTGCACAGTATAGTCTTAAAGTTTCTCCTTCACTACTGTAGATATTTAGTGAGGATAAAGAAAGAAGCTTGGTTGAGCATTTACTGGAACACGCTGTTTCTTTGTTTGCAAGGATTTTTATGAAGTTTCGGAATCCAATATAGATATGGTAATTCAAATTCATTTTGGTTGATTTTCCAAACAAACTACAATTGTGTTTGCTTTTGAAAGCTTCCAATCTAAGTACAGATTGAGCTAAAATCCTTAAAAAGTGGGGTTTTTTTTCTCTAAGAAAACGATCAAAAGTGTTTTGTTTTTGTATCATTTTGTATATTTATATGACAAATTTACCATATATGAAAACAAGAAAAAAATGAAATATAGGAAGCAATATACATGTATGCTCTTCTAGACATTTTGCCAAAATACTAAGATCACTAGATTGTCCCTTGAAGTTGCGTTTAAATTTATCCTTAAAATTTAAGAAAAGTAGAGAAAATTTGGATAAGTCAATATCAAATTAATTGAATTATTTCTGTCAATTTGTTGGTATCATCTTATAGATCCTATATTGCAATATCTTTTTATGCAAGAAGAAAAACATAAAATGTTTTGAATTAGGCATCTCATGATTGGCAACAGTATTTTTTACTCCTAATGTCCTGGGAACAGGTACTGACCTTGCCTCTAATATAAAACGGCCAATTGAATCAATCGAACTGATACCATCACTTAGTGATATAGTCTTCTTCATTCTGTTGAAATTTCATTAATTTTTAAATACAAGGAATATGAGAAGAATCCCTCCTTAAGCAATTTTTAATATATTGGAATTCATATTCATTTTATGATGATAGAGAAACATATAGGGAATCTTTTACTGGCATATTATCCATTTCAGCTTTTGCCTTCGTTTTGATATACTTAATGTTGATTTCATTATAGGTTAATTTTATTTCAGAATCATTATATAAAGATAAAGAATATAATATTTTCCAACTTTTATGAAGAATTAAGAGGTCAATATTATATTGTATTTGAAGTTCACGTTTCGATATAATTAATACACTTGATCTTGGACATCGATACGTAAGGGTGTATTTCTCTTCATGACGCATGCAGTAGAGGCAACCGAGGACGTTTCCTCGAAGACCCCCCTCAGCGCCCCTGGAATATAAGTAAACACACGTACTCACCTCACAGCTTTGTGATGACTAGATTAGAGGCAGCTGGAGCCAAAACGGTTGCAAAACAAAGAAGACCGTTGGCACGCGTGTAATTTGTAGACGTAGTTTATAATCGAGTAGTAGAAAAGATTCCCAAACATAAAAGTAAAACTTGGTGAAAACGGATCATTATTTTGATGTAGAATTAGTACGGTAAGTTCTGTCAATAATGTATATATGAATGAATGTGACTAAAAAAATTCCTAGAAATCTAATTGCAGGAACCTAACTTCGCCTACCTTATCGTTATATGATCATTACACAATGAATTTACATAACAAGCGAAAGATTCCAAAGCATATATTGATGTACATGTAATTGTATAAAAAGAGATAAAACCATTGTTAAATCAAATTTCTTTAAGATTGAACACTTATGGTGACATTATTTAATTTCTAAGCGGATCTGTTAATTTTGTTTTTGTTTATATATATGTGTTTGTGTGTGTGTGTGTTCTCACTTAAACATGCATCAGTCTAGTTTGACCTTGGGTAGATTTTCATTACGTACGAACTTGTTGTTTACTCAATTATCTCATACAGTAGTTTACTACAGCATCAAAGTTTCTAATACAGTAATTTAAATTATAATATATATTGGATTTTAGATTGTAATAGTTTATGTTCTTAAATTCATGCATGCACATTTTTTTGGGGGGTTAAAAGGAACATAAAACAAAGGTATAAAAGGAAAACATAGTTAACTATAGTGTAAGTAAAATTTTGTTAGGGATATACTTATGTGTTGATATTTCAGCATATCCGTGCTGTGAGAGGGGGCGGGGCATGAGAGATAGCGTTCATGACATTTCGCGGGAAATGTTTTGTTTAGTAGTGCAAGTTGTTGCCTTCCACAAAGTAGTTTACTTTAAAAGCAACTTTGTTTTATTCCCTCTTCAAACACAACAATTGCAAATTCACACCATTGAAAAGCAGATTCCTCCAAAACTCAGTATGGTTCTATATTTTCATACACAAGGTTTTATTTTGGTGAATCAAATTACTTTTCAAACAACTTGCCAACAACTACAGCACAAATAAATAAACCAATACATAACACAGATAAACAGTTGCTGTCAAATCTACTGCAATGAAATCTTAAGTGAACAAATTTTCTGAAAGGACAATTATTACACGATGTACACAACTTGCAGTCAATTTACATAAATGAGATTTTTAATTTCTTTTATTCGCACTTTCAGAATAAAGATAAAATGTTGGAAGAAGAGAGTGATTGGGAGGATTTACCGGACATCCTGTTGGAGGACATATTTACTCTGTTAGAGCCTCGTTATCGACACGAAGCCTCACAAGTTTGCCGCCGCTGGTATGAAACCTTTTATGCTCCAAGAGTCTGGGAACATTTTATGTTGAAGGGAAATATCCTGACCAAAAGACGGTACAGCATTTTTAAAGGGTATCAGCGAGAAACTTGTCCAAGGAAAACGCAAATTTGTCTGCACAGGGTGGGATACCTTTTCAAGAAAATTACTATCACACCCATTCATGACTTCCAGCATGTATACGAGTTTATCCGCATACTCCGTGCATTTCTGGGTTATTTTGATGAATTCCCGATGCCCCTACTGCATACGTTCCATTTTACTTTCACTTGCGAGACAAGGGGCATCACCGGTGTTATCTTGCATGGAACCGGTGGTAAAATGATGGAAGAGCTTCGCCATCTTCTCCAAAATATGAAATTGCTGAAGGACCTGAAACTAAACAATCTTATGTTAGATGAAGTTGAAGTTTCTGGCTTGTTTGAAGCAATTGCTAATAACTGTAGCGACACAATCCAGACACTGGAAATTTTGAACTTTACGAAAGTTCCGCATCCCATTCTTGACGTCACGCTGTTTGACAATTTACATACGTTGAGAACAAGTCCCCAGCACCTCGATGACGAAGTTATTGTCATTCTTGCATCATCAGGTGTCTCTAACCTTCATATAATTCAAGGACGTTATACTTGCAACGCTGACCCAGTGTCAGACGATGCATGGCGTCTGCTCAAGGAAATGGCGCCACATTTCCGAGTGACTTTGGAAGTTCGTGGTCACACAAAAACACCGTTAATGCTTCAACCTCACGCCCCTGTAAACCGTATCGTGTACGATTCATCAAACTTGAAATTCCCTCACGAGACGGCTATTTGGATTGTTCACTATTACCATACATTACTTGAGAGTTTTGTTCAAAAGCAAATCCCGCGAACACATGGACCTCGAACTTTTCATGATCGAGGTGACGCCGCCTTTTTGATGTTGGTCAGGAGTTGTCCAAAACTTCACACGCTTATCATCAGCGAGAGAATTTGTACAGCGACAGCACTTGTGATCGCCAAAACAAAACCATCTCTTCAGAAATATATTGTGCGTAAAAACGGACTTCTGAAAAGATGTGATGGCCCCAAAACGGACAACTTCTTCAGAAACGCAGATATTAGAAAGACGGCAAGATCGTACGAGGCAACCAACCAACAGATTTCTGAAATCCTTGGTGGAAGATGGATTCTAATGTCAGACAGACACTTTAAAAAGTTGTGAGCTTGAGTTGAAAACAGTGAGCTCTATTTTATGATGCTGCATGGTGCTTTCAATATAACTAAATATTTGTATTTTTGTATTTTTTTATCATATAATTTCACGTATAACAATATTTTTTCACCAAACCAATTTTGTATATATAATGATTTTGTTCAATTATTTTTTTTTAATTGTATTACAATATTTTTCATATAACAAACACCCATCCTTGTTGGTAAAGCAACATTTAAGACACGGAGCAACACCAAAACTTCGAATCTTGTTCATATGGAGCATAGTTAATACTTGAAAAAAGAATGGACTTAGCGTATCAATGTGCTTCAAGATGAAAATATCGTTTATCAATTTTTGAATGATTTTTTCCCTGCTAGTCCACAGCACATATTTTAAGCTCAAAAAGGATGTCAGTATTTAATTTAAGAGTTGTCAACACAAGTTCAATATAAAGATCGACCTGAGTTTTTTTTATTTGTATCGATGCTATATCATTTTATATATTTATAATCATTGGTGTTGTTATCAGTTATTTTGTTGCCATATATATCATAAAATATTTACATGTATTTTTAACATATTATAATGCGATAACTTCTGTTTTATCTGTTTTTGTACGTATTAACTTCATACAATTGTTTCAAGCCAGTTTCTATTCTTCACTGGGGTTCTTTCTGAATACATTACGGTATATATAATTGATGCTTATGTGAGGTGTCCTTTGTAATTATGAACCTTCTAAGGGGCGTGGAGGCTATACTTTTGTGCTGTATTTGAAAAATAAAAAAGTGATACAAAATATGCTATCATCTGATACCAGTTATATTTTTCTAAAAGAATATTTTTATCCACATATAGGTGTACGTATTATGAATGACATAAACAATTATGCAATACTCTGCATTCTTGATTATGAAGAATCGTGTTTTCCTGTTATCGTATGACAATACATGCAATTCGAATACAGCATAGTACAAATAACTGTCATTTAAAATTATACAGAGCTTTGCACTATTCATAAAGATTACTATTTCTACTGGAAAGAGGGTATATTATTGCAATGTTGTCTGAAATTTGTTTTCAAGAAGGATATGGAGATAACGAACAGTATTTAATCTCAAAGTCCATAAAACATTACAAAACAAAAGCAGAGCAAACACGGACCTCCGAACAATCAGAAGTGGGATCAGGTGCGATGGAGGAGTGAGCACCCCCTGCTGACCGGTCACACCCGCCGTGTGCTCCTTGTCATGATCAGGTAATAACGGAAAAATCCGTTGTCAATTCAGTGTATCAATAACGGACTAACAATTAGTATGAAAAACGTCAGTCAGCATTTGACTCAATGATAAATTTTATTTGCTGACAAGGTCATTGTATCAACCATAGAACTTACGAAATGATGACTTTAAACGAGACTGCTGATATTCTTGTTTCATCAACTTGCTTGTCATTAATTTACCTCGTTATAGAAATTGTTCATACGTAGAGCATGCTCTTGCGTATCGAATTAACTGAGACACATGTATATAAACTCCGTATGCATGTGAGAAATGGATATTGCTGCATGAGTAAGGGAGGTTGACGACAGGAAAGTTAAAGTCATCACGTTTATCATATAGCTTGGTTGTTAGATTACCATTAACGTCTTTTTCAAGTAAAATATCCAAGTATGAAACAGATGTGTCAGATTCTGTGGTATCTTTTATCTCAAGCTCATTAGGATGTATCGTATCGGCACAGGAATGGAAATTACCATTGTTAATTGACAATACTTTGTCGATATATCTAAAAGTCGAGTTGAAGGCCACAACAAGTGTTTTCTTCTTTTCACGCATAAGATATTGCACAAATTCTTCTTCATATGAATATAGAAAAAAGATCTTCTAATAACGGAGCGCAATTGGTACCCATCAGAATTCCAATAGATTGTTGGAATACTTGGTCTCCAGTTACCACATAGATATTTTCAATCAGAAACTAAAGCATCTCTTTGATGTCAACTTTTTATATTTAGTCAATTTTTAAACTACGTACATGTATTTCATATGAGGGGGGGGGGGGGGGTACGAATGTACAGTATATTGGAACGTTAAAATTAGGTGTGGCCTATTTTTTTTAAATTCATATAACACTATAAAATGCCAAATCATTAGCATTTTCTAATTTCTTAACCTAATTTCAATATAATTTTATTGGAGATATAATATGTTAATTTTAAAATTGAAATTTTAATTTTAAAAAATACAGATTGAAAAAAAAATGATCATTAAAAATTTTCTTGAAAATTCTTAAAAAATGATTTTCGAATTATTTTCAATATTCAACATTTCACAATTTTCACAGAATCTTCGGATAATTGAGTGAAAAGAGAATTGGGAAATACTTAATACAAGAATTCATATTAAAAAAATTACTATATATATTCAAAATTTTCTCCTTGAGAAAAAGAAAATTTCTTTGTCCTTCAACTTCAAATTCAGATATATCGCCGACGGTTTGTCTATGAGCAGTATAGTTAATTCCATTCATGATTTATATCGACTCGATACATCCAACTGAACTAGATAAAGAAGACACCACGAAGTCTGCCACAACTGTTTATATTTGGACGTTTTACTTACTAAAGAAAGTATGAAGTTAACAAACAGCAATAAAGCTCAAAGGTGCACCGAAACAATAAAAATGGAACAAAGCAAATACGGACTTGAATTGAACATATTTTATTGTAATATATATATATACAATGGGATTGGGCACAAATTCTTAAAACTTATTTCGCCCTCTCCCTACATGAAAAGTATACAAATACGGACTTCTAAAGACAAAGGTGGGATCAGGTGCTATCGAGCAGTAAGCACAAAGCACTTGATTAAAGCCCTACTTCCATTCTCCTTGGTTAGCATAGAAACAACTCTTAAGCACAAATATGGTGTAGTTCTTATATATGTACATGCATAAGAAAAAGGCGGTGTGTTGCTGTAATGACAACTTTGAAAAGCATTAATGTAATGAATGTTTTGACATACAACAGTATTGTACATAACACTTTAGCAGCCAATTAAGCATATTTTAAAATCTATACTAGATAATAAGTCTAATAGAATTATTAGTGGCAAGATACATACAAATGTACAAGTTTAAAGTTGAATTTCTTCCAAAACTTTATAATTGATCATTGTCTACGGGCTATTTGTACAAAAGTCCATATCAGCATTTTCTGTTTCTGAAATTTGTACAAGTAAAATTTACATTTGACATGTATAATTTACTCTACAACATAAAAATTGTAATTGTTCTCGGATTTTGTACATTTGGCCTGTTTATTTAACTTCTATGAAATATATGGAGATAACGAACAGTCATCAAGTTCAACATTTTTTGTCCATAAAGCAATACAAAATAGGAACAGAGCAAACACGGACCTCCAAAACATCAAGGTGAGATCATGTGGCATGGAAGAGTTAGCATCCCCTGCCGACCTGTGATTCCTTTTGCTCCTTGTCATGATCGGTAGTTAACGGTAAAATCCGTTGCCAATTCCATGGGTAAAATAATGGATTATAAATTAGTATGAAAAACGTCAGTCAGCATTTGACTCAATGACAAATTGTATTTGCTGAGCAGGTCATTGTATCAACCATAGAACTTACGAAATGATGACTTCAAACGAGACTGCTGATATTCTTGTTTCATCAACTTGTTTGTCAATAATTTACCTCGTTTTAAAAACTGTATACGTAGAAGATGTTCTTGCGTATCGAATCAATTGAGAGATATAAACTCAGTATGCAGGTGATGCAGGTATATTGCTGCATAAGTAAGGGATGTTGACAATCGAAAAGTTAAAGTCATCACGTTTATCATAAAGCTTGGTTGTTAGATTACCATTAACGTCTTTTTCTATACACCAGCAACACAAACTTTTGTCCTATTGAATTTATGTACACAATATAAAAATGAAGTAGTTGAAGGATGAAAATGCTTAAGTATTCAAAAAAAAAAATACAAAAGTTTTGATATACAAGTTTTATTAAAATACGTATGTCAGACAAATTTTGTTTATATGATGTGTAGTGGCAATCTACAATGTACATAAAATTGAGAATTGGGGAGTTTTGTGTTTAAAAAAAGATGAAAGAAAACAAATAATAAAGACTTTAAAAGACAAAATGCAGAATCAATAAAGAAACAATTTAACTATAAAGGTATGAAGGTTCATCTGCCATTTAAATGAAAGCAATTAAAAGTTAATGTGGATAAAAGACATCCACGGGATCAACGGGAAAAGAATGGTGACACCATCCTTAAAAGCTTCCTTTACCCATGTGCCACAATATGTAAGACAGAAGGAACAACCAAACTAAGTCAAAACCAATACAAATGTAATAGATGTATTGCTGTGTTGTAATAGTTCTAGCAGATACCAATTGCAGAACTATGAGTACCTAGTCAGAGGTGTACATGAACATGCAAATAGTTATTCCTCATTTTCGAGTTTAGACAAAACTTGTAAGAAATTGCTTAAGAATGCTCCTGTATACCTATAAAAAACATATGAACAAAATACGACAAGGAGCACAAGGCGGGTTTGACCAGTCGTCAGGGGATGCTCACTCTTCCATGGGACCTAATCCCACCTATGAATTTTTGGAGGTCCGTGGTTGCTCTGTTCCAATTCTGTGTTGTTTAATGGGCTTTTGAGCTTCAATACTGTTCGTTATCTCCATACATTTTATCTAGCTATAGATAGCTGCAAAATAATTAGTTAGCGTGAGCAGAGCAGATTTTACAGAAATGGAATTCTGTATCAAACAAAAGTAAAACAGGTTTCATGCGACCAGAAAGCGTTGTCGCTCATCAAAATCAACTATACAATGGTCAGATGCACGTGTAATCATTGGAGGTCAGTCGACAATATATTGATACCCGGTATAAATTAATATTGCACCAACCATATTATTTGTTAAAATATACAAAATAACGGAGATATAGCATTAAATATTTAAGTCGTCCAATGTCATACCTTATAAAAAATCATTATTCAAAAGTTGTTTATAAATTCAGGATCATCTGATTTAAAGATAAGAGGAACATCTTCTGAGAATTACACAATATTGATTTGATGACATTGAAAGATAAAAACATCAGTTCTATCGATGTACCATAAACTCGTGTTCTAAAAAATTCAAACCAACAAGGTAGAGATTGAGGAGATCATTTAACGATAACGTCAAATAATCATCGAATTGAATAACTTTACATTGTATTGTACACATTTGGCTTTCAGCCTCAGTATTAATAGATGCTATTCCAAAAGTCTACAAGAGATATCGATCTGATGCAAGCCCAGTTATACCTGCCGATCAATGGATCGATTTTTACCTGTCACATGCTATAGCCGTATTATGATAGGCTCAGAATGAAGTTTAATGTTTTATCTGGAAACCAATATCCATCAGTACTGCCTGCTGAACACAGCGTAGTAGGGTTCAGATGATGCCCTCTCTGTGAAAAGGGATTTAATCTCAATTTTACATTTCAAAACAGGAAATATTTCAAAAAAATGGAGGAACTTTTGAAAAATGAAACGGTCAAGAAAAAAATTAAGGGGCTTTCCATTGAAATACGGGTAAGTCGGTGTGCCAGTAGCTGATAGTTTGGAATCGATTTCCCCTCAATTTAACGATTAGGCAATTACATTTCCTTTCACGCCATTTTAATCATGGCGGAAAATAAGAATTTGAATATTCTGAAAAACACAGTAAATTACAAAATTATACAGCCTTAATAGCAACTGGGGAAATAAACTTCATTACTTTTCTGATAACTTTTAAGAAATAGCTAACATTTATTGATTAACTAATATGTGATAGCTGGTGTTATTATGATATTTACATGTATTATTCAATACAGTCAAAACAGTGTTGACAATTCGACTAATTTTTTAGGCAAATCAATTAGTTACTTTTGAAAATAAGGGAGATGTACCTTAATTAAATAAGAAAGAAAGGATCGGGACAATTTATCAATGATGTACACGTACCTACAGTGTTGAACACAAAGAAGTGTAATTATAATTATATGAAAAGTGAAAAATTTGATTTTTAACAAGATGTGATATCTTTACACACAAACGTAAGAGAAAGGATTAACAGTTGTTTTGTTTTTTAAATTATAAAATGTTATGCAGTTGGTAGCTGGACACAATTTCAAAGAATAGTACATTTTTGGCTTCTTGAATAGAAATTAAAATGCTATGATCAGTTCGGATGGCGAAGCTATAAATGATGATGTTCAAGCTTCCAGTAATAAATAGCCATAACATAAAAACCGTAACATTAGAAAACATTTTAATTCATAATACGTGTATGTCAAAATGCTACATATTTTCATGAATTTATCTAAGATTAGTTTATAATTCTACTCAATGATAATAATAAGCAAAATACTAAACATTTGATAAAGGAAATACTGATAAGCCATACACTGAATATATATAGTTCAAAAACATTCTCCATATATAATAAATCACCAAAGCAAATAGCAAATAAATTTATGCAAAACATAAAACATAATGGGTATATTTAGTCGAATTGTTTTATGTTCAGTAATTATGAAAAGTTAAATTTATCCATTTCCAAAACTCTTTGAAGACATGTTTATATGCAGCAATTTTTATACCATGGTACCATGATCCTCAGTTAATTTAATAAAATTAACTCACGTTAAGGTAACATGAAGACAAGTTATTACACAAATAAAAGTAATGTCACAGGCTTATATTTTGTTATGTATTTTTTGTTTACTAAAATAAATTTGTAATGTTAAGATTATATTTGCCAACAAAAATGCTTATTTGAGGAAAACGGCAAAAAATGAAGCTTTTTACCCTTTGAAAAATAACACTTGTGAATGACTGGACAAATACGTATGTGATCCAATCATGAGGATTTATAAATGAGGCTTCCACAGTATAGCACATTACTTAATGCTTTCATTTCAATGGTCAGCTAATCTGACTTGACTCTCTATGATGGTGCTGCCATCCCGTGTGGCATTTTCCATTTTGAAGATAATTCAAACGAGCCTTCAAAAAGCATTAATTAAGCATATGTGATGTTAAGTAATGAATTTTAGTAAACAAATAAGATTATTGTATTGTACAGATAGCTTTTTATTCATGTGGAACTGTATAGTAAATTTGAAATGTACATGTATAAAGAATTCCCAGCATCATTAGACGTTAGGTCGGAAGGGAAAAGAATCATAGTTTCATTTAATAAACTGTCGCTTTCCCCAGAACTATAGGACATACATTTGTACTTCTGTATTCAATCAAGGTGGTTTATTCCCTCTTTATCACGTCGCAAGAAATTATCTTTTTTCCTCCGGAATTTTTATTTATTTTTCAAAATAAAATACACAGTCACAGGTCTAAAGTAGATCTTTTCCACTATCACTGAAGAGTAGGCTTTTTGTCCTCTTGTGTTCATACTTCAAATAATCTTTATGGTTATCTTTGGTTCCGTTGTTCAGTGTTTCCTTTTCAAACAACGTTTATCTTTACTTATCGTTCAAATTTTCATCCTAATATCCATTATCGTAAAAGGATAGACTTTTGGGACGTTCCAGTTCAATAATTCATGAGCTTCTCTTTATTTGTTGGTACAGTCAGTTATAGATTTCTGTAGGTTTAAGTTTAGAGCTTACATTATTAATTTTTAAAAATGTATTTAATAGTTTCCTTTAAAAAACTCTTCTTTTCTTTCTCTCCAAAGTTCATATTAATTGTGTCTGTTTTTATTTAAATTACTTTGTACTGTATCTATCTGCTTTCTCAGTATGAACCTTTACTGTGTGAAAGATTATTTCTTGGAAGACTGTCTGAAATCTTCAAATAATCTTCATTACTCGTAGTTATTCACTTTATATACATGTATTCCATTACGATATGAAGAGAAAGGTATCTCCTTCTTTCTCCCTATTGATCAGGCCTAACAAAGCTTCACTGACTTTTTTGTGTTTCTATTTTTTTTTTTGGCTCCAGAGTGTTCGATTTAACTTTAAACTTTCTTTCGATATTGTATTCTACGAATTATCACTGTGTAAGAATAATGGGTTAAAGGATATTTCTCACTGGGCCTTTGATCTGGTATCAAATAAAGACAGGAACAATTGATTATTTCGCGCAAATTAAAATTCGTTAACAGGCTCCTTTGTTAAACATCAAATGTTGACAAGTTCTTGCAATTTTAATGATCATTTGAGATCTTAAAGCAAAATTATCATAGAGGTAAATTTTATTAAGGAGAAATCAATGATAGCCTATGTATAAATTAAACCATTTTGAATCTGCTTCAATAGGCTTTTCACAACATTGCTTCGTGAAAAAAACTGAATATTCATTTTGTGCGGTCATTTCTTTCACATAATATGCATGTATATTGTTTACTTGCTAAACAACATTATGATAATATGCAATATAAACAATCATATACAATGTAGAAGATTCTTTTGATATTAAAATTTCCCTTCTTTACATGCTATTTCCTTGTATTGTTTACACAATGCTATATTTACAAATATTGCCATAGGAAAACACAACTTTAAAAGCAAAGGGATTAAGAACTTCATTAAACTGAAACAAATGTTTGTCTTTTTAGTGTTACTTTGTGAAAAGGAATTTATTTTACGTACTTCTTCAATAAACTTTTTGGACTTTATATTAATTGTTAATATCAAAACTTATTAAATTCTACAAAACCTTACGTATACACCCTCCTAATAAAGACATAGTCAGAGATGGACAATTGATCTTATATTTGACTCTGTTGACCCTTGAAATTAATCCCTTTATTTACATGTTGGTACATAGTGTCATCGGCCAAGCAATGCTTTTTGAAAGTTGATTTAACATAATTTTGAATCATTTTATTTTTGATGTATGCGTGTTAAATTTATGATAGATATTTAAAATTGGTCCTTCTGTGTTGTTAGATCTAAATCACATGTGAATTAAAGTATATTCCATTTTAACTCAAAATAAATTACACTGACGACAACAAAAACACATGTTTGCCCGTTGGATGTCTTTGTTCAACAATAAGAATAGCTGCAGATCTGTAGCGTTATTTTTTTTATATCTTTGTCTTTGACGTTATGGTCAAAGACAAATATATAAAACCATAACTCTACAGACCTGCAGCTACAATGAGAAGAACTGTGGATTGGCCAAAATTTATTAAGAATCGTCCGTATTACTTGAGAGGACAGAATCGCCATATAATATTAAAACTTATTTAAAGAGCCTGCAATTCTAAATATAACGATAGACAAATTAACAATAACGGTAGTAAACCCAAGTTAATTTTAAAAAAACTCTCAAAAGGGACCAACTGCAAAGCAAAATTTAAAATAAAAAAATTCTCAAATAATTTTGAAAACAAAGATCATATAAAGATGATAACATTATTTCTAAATAGTATCTCAATATAGAGGCATATTCATTAAATTTTAATTTTCTTTGTGAATGAACTTTAAACCAAATATATAAATAAACCATAACAATCGAAAAGGATAAATAAAGTAAGAAGACTTCTTCTGTACCCACACACGAGCGAAAATAAATAGAAATCAATTAATTCAAACCCAACTTTTCACAATGTCGTGTTAATAATTATTTCTGTATCGGCATGCCTAAATGGCGTCCATGTTTGTTGGGTATACTCACGCTGATTGATTTCCGGATTTGTTGAACCGTGAAATGAGATCTGGGCAGATCTCTGTTTGTATTGTGACAGCTTCATTCGCTAATGAGATGCAATTAACTTAACAATAATGGAAGCTGGTGCGAATACTATCACCATTTAATATAGGACTATATGGTTGAGCCGATTTGCTTTAAAACAAAAAAAATTATATTCCCTTGATTAAAAAATAATGAATTGAGAATTTCTCAATTAGTCCGAGAAAAGAATCTCCCCTCTCTTTCTAGCTTACTTCGATAATTTCAGTGATGTATTATTTGGAAATACATGTACATGTAGTAATTGAATATACAAGCAACCGTTCCATCTGATATGAAAAAATAATCCCGTTTGAATTGAAGAACCTAAAAATAACATAAAAACGTACTTTAAACTATGCACTATGCATAATATTAAACATTACATTTTTACATTATGCAACATTTACAACTGAGGGTAAAGGGTTTTGAACTCTGAATACTGTCCAATGTCACTCGATATCCTTGATTCATCAACGTTTATGTCAATAGCTTGCCTCGTTTTAGAAATAATTCATGCATTGAGTATGCTCTTGCCAGCTAGTCTAATCAGCTGGGAAACACAAACCCCGTGAACAGGTGATGTGTGTATATTGCATTACAAGTAAGGGAAGTTGTTGACGATTAAAAAGTTAAACCTAGCTGTATCTCCCTTGCTAAGGAGGAAATTCTTCAAAAATTCAAAAATCATACGTCAGTTTTGAATATTTTTTATATTCCAAACAACCAAAATGAATTTGAATGACAATATCTATAATGGATTTGCGCAGAGGTGAATACTGGAAAATTCCAAGGAACTTTTGGAGCATTTGAAATCACAAAATTTAACCAAAATCAACAACATAAAAACTAACCACTTTTCATCTGTTATACATATACAACTATTTCCCGCGATAAATTACGGTCCAGGCTTTCTGACATCATTGACAGCTGCTTTTTGAATAAAAATGGAACTCGTAAATTTACTTGTGATTGGTCATTTGCAAAACTACATGTACTTTGTAAAAAAAAAAATTCTGATTGTACACCCAAGTACTCTTATAAAAGTTGATATTAAAGAGATGCTTAAGTTTCTGATTGACAATATCTATGTGGTTTTGGAGACCAGGTCTTCTAACAATTTATTGGTATCCCATGGGTACCATTTGCGCCCCGTTATTAACAGACCTATTTTTTGTATTCATATGAAGCAGACTTTGTTCAAAATCTTTTACGTGAAAAGAAAACACTTGCTGTGACCTTCAACTCGGCATTTAGATATACGACGTACTGTCAATTAACAATGGTGATTTCCATTCTTATGTCGATACGATATATCCCGTTGAGCTTGAAATAAAAGATACCACAAGGTCTAATACATTTGTTTCATATCTGGATCTTTTACTAGAAAGAGGCGTTAATGGTTATCTAACAGCAAACCTTTATTATAAACGTGATACCTTTAACTTTTAAATCGTCAACCTCCCTTACTTCTGCAGCAATATACCTTTATCACCTGCATACGGAATTTATATCTTTCAGTCGATTCGTTTGTTCTGCGTATGAACAATTTTTAAACGGCAAGTAATTGAAAAACAAGTTGATTAAGCAAGAATATCAGCAGTCTCATTTAAAGTCGTCATTTGTTTGTAAGTTCTTTGGTCAATACGATGACCTTGTCTGCAAATACTATTTATCATTGAGTCAAATGCTGACTTTTTTTCATACTGATTGTTAGGCTATTATTTACACACTGAGTTGTCCGATTTTTTCCCCCCGTTATTTCCCAATATTGAAAAGGAGCACACGGCGGGTGTGACCGGTCCGCAGGGGATGTTCACTCCTCAAGGGAACCTGATCCCACCTCCGGTGTTTTGGAGGTCTGTGGTTGCTCGCTCATATTTTGTAATGCCTAATGAACTTTTGAGCTCCAATACTTTTCGTTATCTCCTCATGTATCATTTTGGTTAAAACGAGAGTTTCTCCTTCACAGGACCTTGGTGACATTTTATAAGGAAATAATGATTGACGGTATGATCGCTGTTACATGGAAAAAAATTATACATTGTACTTAAATTTGAAACTTAAAAAACAAAACCCTTGTAATGTATCTTTTTTGGAGTACTAATTTCAAAATTTATTTTGCATTCATGTTAAAGATACGATATACTAGTAGCTGTGCAAGTTTTAAAAATTTGCGAGATTCATTTTTTTTTTACTGGAAAACATTATTATTCGAGTCGTTTTGATTTCAAGAAGAAAAAAGTCAAATTGTAGCACAAAATGTAATACTTATAATTAATTATTGAATTATAATGATCTTGAATACTGTTCGTTATCTTCATATTCCAAAAATCACTATTCAACATTTCAACATTTCACCTTTTCATATTTTTTTTTATATGATTTATTTTTAACCCCATTGGATCTAAATAACTTTGAATTATTATCGACATTTTGGAAACGAATATAAATATATCCTATACTATAAAAACACAATAAGCAATACCATTCTGTAGTTAGTGATTGTTTTGTTCAAGAAACAATTACAATATAGTTCTATTTTTACAGAATATGGTTTAGACAACAATAAGCAATACCATTCTGTAGCTAGTGATTGTTTTGTTCAAGAAACAATTACAATATAGTTCTATTTTTACAGAATATGGTTTAGACAACAATTTCGGTTGTAATTTAAGGTTTGATCAGTACACATTGTTATAATTATTCTTTACCACCTCACTCAATCCCTTTATCAGAAGAAACTTACTGTAGTATATGTCTCAGAAAAATATTAAAGTAGTCTGCTTATTGCAATGTTTTTCTTCATTTATATTCTCATGTTTTAATGAAATGTATGGAGATAACCATGATAATGAACAGTATTCAAGCTCAAAGATCCATTAAAAATACAAAATTGGAGCAGAACAAACACGAGCCTCCAAAAAATCAGAGGTCACATATATATTCAAGCTTCTTTTTAATATTAATATTCAGAGTACCTGTGTGTACAATCAGAATGTTTTTTTGAAAATAGTTTTGCAAATGACCAACGACAACTAAATTTACAAGTTCAATTCTTATCGAAAAAGCAGCAGTCATTGATGTCAGAAAGCTTTGGCTTTAATTTATCGTAGGGAATGGTTGTATTTCAGGTTGAAAAGTCGCAAGATTTTGTAATGTTGATTTTAGTAAAATTTTGTGATTTCAAATATTCCAAAAGCTCCTTGGAATTTTTAGAATCCACATCTGATTTAAACCACTTCTCGACTATATTGTTGAAGAGTACTCTAGAAGTTTTTCCTTCACTACTGTTAATATCTTTGTGAGGAGAAAAGAAAGAGGCTTGGTAAAAGATTTACTGGAACCCGCTATGTATCTTTATCTGTAAGAATTTTTATGAAGTTTCGGTATCCAAAATAGATATATATTTGAATTCATATTGGTTGCTTGGGATATCAAAAATATTCAAAACTGACATATGATTTTGAAAATTCCCTCCTAAGTAAGGGAGCTATGAGTATAAGTTGTATTATCCCTTGTAGAATTAAATCCAAGAAATGACAATAGTAATGTAGTTTTAAATTAAAACTATTGAATTTCAGTTTGTTGTTTTTTTAAAGTCTGTACACAATGTCCAGAACCTGAAAGGGTTATCTTGTCAGCATTTACAATACCTATATCATTCTGTCGAATGCTGACTTTTTCACACTAACTGTTAGGCATTATTTTCTACTGAATTGTATACGGATTTTTTGTTCGTCCGATCGTGTAACAATGAGAGCATGACGCGTGTGACCAGTCGACATGGGATGCTTACTCCTCTATGTTACCCAATCCCACCTCTGATGTTTAAACAGTGTTCTGCTCCCGATTTATATTGTTTCACAGTTTTATTGAGTTTGATAACTGTTAACATCATTATAGATGAATGACATATTTCCAATCACCAGACACGATAAAGCAAGCAAAACAAAAATACCAGCATTGAGTTTATAATTTTGAAATCACTTTGAAAATTAATCTAGAATTTTTAGTCTGAAACATTCAGAATTTGATCAAATATTCTTGAAAATTTTCTAGAACATTCCTAAAAATATAGCCATGTACATAAATCATTAATGTCTCTAGATATTATTTTTGGTTATTATTTTTATTGCAGAAAGCCTTCATTGAATCTCTACTTGACTTATTTGAACAAGAGACAGAAGACATGATAGACGCTATTGAAGAAAGCAGGATGGAACTTCGGGGAACCATGCTGGATTTTGAAGACGAAACCGAACAACTGAGAGCCGAGTCTCGAATGCTTGGTATAAATAAATGTGATATCTTGTCTACTTCAGTTTACCAATTTAGAAGTATTGATGATGATATTTTTTTCTTGAAGCATTTAATTGCATTTAATTGCTACACTGCCCATCTGAAGTCGAGAATTTCAAATAATTGATGTAGTTTTGCAATTCGGGTGTATTGATATTTACTCAGTCACGGACATTTCAATGTCGTAATGAAAACAATTATATTGACAGAACAACGACGAATTGAATACGAAAAGCAAGCGGTCGATAAGTATCTGGAAAAGAAAGGACGAAAAAGTCAAGCTTCCAGAGCCTCTTCTAGAATTTCAATCGTTAACGAAAGAGATGATGCTAGAAGTCGAGCAGCTGTGGTGGACTATATCCGGAAAAAGAAGGACAGGACCGGAAGTTCTCTCAGTGTTCACAGTAACCCGAGCATACATTCCCCTAACAATGAACGTCCTGTTAGCGTTATCAGTTCCAGAAGTTTACCCACACCCGTCATGTCACAGAAAACCATCGAAGAGGTAATGACATGGTCAGGAAGATATCTGTTATTTAAGCAAGAACCTAAACAAAAGTTCTCATAGCTTTCCCGCCAAAATGCCATTCCAAACTTCAGCATGAATACCTATTTTTAATCAAGATTTTGCAATGTCATATTAGTTTAATTCTTTAATTCTCGAGGACTATATCATATGAAGAGTTTAAATTTGTTTTTTGAAAACTGGCATGACACAACACATATGCATAAATGAATATTTCAAACATTAATTAAAACAACGAATGATCCTTTAGGAGACTGATTTGATAATGAAGAACATGGCGGCTGCGGACCATCAGATGGAGTATCAGAGACACCGTCACGCCGAGATGTTAGAGAAGAGGCGACAGGAACGGGCAGTCAAAAAGAAGACCACAGAAGAGAAGGCCTTGGAATTACTGGAGAAGGCCCTACTGGTGGACAAACAGTAAGTATACAGAGAGAGCCTTAGAATTACTGGAGAAAGCCCTACTGGTGGACAAACAGTAAGTATACAGAGAATGCCTTAGAATTACTGGAGAAGGCCCTACTGGTGGACAAACAGTAAGTATACAGAGAAGGCTTCAGAATTACTGGAGAAGGCCCTACTGGTGGACAAACAGTAAGTATACAGAGAAGGCTTCAGAATTACTGGAGAAGGCCCTACTGGTGGACAAACAGTAAGTATACAACACAACCTCAAGGGACATCTTATCAGATATTCGACGATATCTAAAACAAACAGTTGCTCAAATGGATTTTGATCTAAAAATATTCTCTTTTTATTAGCTTTTTTATTCATTAATTTATTGACTCCCACAAAACCGTAGATATCGCATCTTGATTTTTCGAAAATAATTCTTTGTTTTTATGAGTTAAAGCGACTTAAGGACAGATGATACAAACAATTTTTTTTTTCTTTGGAGGAGACTTAATATCATGTCACATGTTTAAAAAAGTGGATAATTCTTAGAATGTTTTCTCCTAAGAACTGGAAAATGAAGTTTTTAAAAAATAGACTTTTAATCTATAAAAGATGAATGGGATATACCACAGGTGCTTGTGGACAGGAAACCCCACTTATTTGACATTTTTTAACACAATTTATATTTAGACATTTATTCAACATGTTTGCAATAGGAACAAACGTCAAAACACCAAAATAATGCTCCACAAAAAAATACCCCACTATACATTATAAGAGAGATAATGTATAGTGGGGTATTTTTTTTCTCTTTGAAAACATGTTGAATAAGTGTACTTAATATAAATTGTGAAAAAAAAATGTCAAATAAGCCCTGGGATTGAATATCGGGGGGGGGGGGGGGGTCCGGACCACAAGCACCTGTGGGATATACGAGGAAAACTCAAAATTTGAATTTATTCATTATAACGAACTGCAAAATCCTACTAGTCTTCTCTTTAGTAATATTTTGTATATTTCAACACCACTAGACCTAGTTTTGTTAGGACCCCTGAAGCTAGTCCCAAAGAACTAAATCTATAGAAATCATCTAAGCCCCTGGTATACTTCGTAACCTCTGTAAAAATTACTCGTACACAAAGTTGATCATGTGATACAAGTCAAAACGAAGAATAAATATCGCAATATATACTGAACAATAGATGTTAATGAAAATTGTTTAACTTGAAAACAATGAGGATTTTAACCTTTTGGTACATATCAGGATATTCGATTTTCTTTTACAGTATGATCGACTATCTGGCTTTATATTTTCCGATATTTCTGCATTATGACTACCTGAAAATATTTTTACTTAAGCTTTCTCTTTTTCTAAGCGATTTCGTTAACATGTAAATAGGTTGAATGCCTTCTTTGTGCAAAAAAATAATGACATCTACAATACTTCAGGGAATATTCATCATTTCAATGTAAAATCAGCTAGAGATAATCATTTGTTACGAACACTAAGTGACAAAGCAAAAGTTTGCAATGGCCTGTGAGTGTAACATATTCTCTCCTCATCTGATGGAGAATTCAAATTAATAAAAACAGTTCAAACTCATTCTTTTAAACAAATGAACTTGATTGTAAAAAAAAATATTGATATATTTTTTTTAAATCTTTCAAGATTATTTAGGGTTAATGATAACAAGAGTGAGATTAAAAATTCATTGCTGTTGTCAACCGAACACAAGTTAAAGGAAGCTTAAACAAGTACGTGAAATAATAAATCACCTGCTTTGTTCCTCTCATAAAATGTCAGACCAGTGTTCGGGAGAAACAGTTCCCATCATTAATTTTTAGTCATCAATATAAAGAATTGAAAGGGAAAGGTTTTGATCAACAAAAGAATCCAAACAATAGAAACAAACATAAGTAGCAAACTTTTGATAGACCAGGATCGATTATGCCCACCCTTATAATTCCGGAAACCATTCTTAATGCAAAATTGACAGAAACGAAGTCAATAAATTCTGGTGTTATTACAATAATTCTCTCCGAGAATTTTAGGCGACTATTGAATGTCTAAAACGGATCTTGCAAAGTATAAGGATGGAATTGTGTCGTCTTCAAAGAAACCTGACTGCATTACTTTCATGAAAAGACAGATACTCAGTAATCCTCATTAGAGAGAGGGAGATTGAAAAGTCCATTTCCGGTGTAATGGTTTTCAGTGACCCCAATTTCCAAGAAAAATATCAATGGGTTTTCTTAGAAAGTTGATTTGGAAGAAGTAATCCTAGCTAGCAAGAGCCATAGGAGGAAACGGGAGTATGGAACAAATGTGGGGAATCTATCTGCAACGTTGTCATATTTATGGCTTCTTAATCTCTCTGGGGTTAGAAAAGGGGTTCGTTAGCAATAATATGAATAAATAAACAAAAAAGGCAAGTTTGGTCCAAGCAGGGCTCATAGTGACTCATTTGGTAAATCTAGGTCAGATCAAGCATCCGAACCCAATCCAGTTGTGCACAATTCTTAAATACATGATACTAACACATGCAAGTATGGTCCAAGTAGAAATTATAGTTATTATAATAAGGAATGGAACTGCTAAAATACTTACCTGTAAAATGTAAGTCAAATCTAGCGTCTGAAGCAAGTCTGGTAGTGTACATCCCTACATGTAGATGCATCATCCTAGATGCAAGATATTGGTCATGGGAGGACTTATAGTTACTTGGAAGTGGAACTTCTCAAAAACATTAAATCTTGGTCGCTCATCTGATAATTGAAGGTGAGATCCAGCTCCTGAAGCAAATTTTGTAGTGTCCATCCCTAGAAGCAAGTTTTGTACAGGTGAGCTAAAAGTTCTTTGGATACTAAAAATCAATACATGTACTTGGAGAGGAACATTACTTAGAAATTTAAGTACGGAGGTAACATCAGTAATCGGGCTCAAAAGTCCATTGAGACATAGTAGTTCAAATACAGGCCTCTAAAGCCATCTGAGTGTGGATCAGGTGCCATTGAGGAGAAAGCATCCCCTTTCGACCGGTCATATAAATTAACGTATCGCTAGCTGTCAATCACAACAAATTTTCAACCAATGAAATAATTTTATTTATTCTGCGCGATCAGAAAACACTTGCTCCGCCATATGCTCCGACAAACACTCGCAGTGAGCCGAGCAGTCGGCAATGAAGAAATTGAACAAATAAGTCCAATTATCGTTAAAAGATTCAGTTTGGAAACGTGTAACACTGACGACAGGTATAAAAGGGAATCATGGATGTTTTTGGACAGCGATGATTCGGTACGCCGATGTAAAGGGACCTGACAACACGTTTTAGAAAATGATTTCTAAATATTTTGGTCAGGAAATGAAATAAAACTTGTTTACTTGGTTTTTTTTCATGTTTATACATTTATACTTTCTTAGTTTGATAGATACACAAAAAATCGGTATTGAGTGTAAATTAATGATAAATCTATGCACAGTATCACAGGTGCAGTGACCCCCCCGAAAAATACACTTTTTTTCAATATAAAATAAAATCTGATTCATCTCTCTTCATTTCCAATTTCTGAACAACTTAATCTATATGTTTCTATTTGAAAATGAAAATATAAGAATCATATGCAACTTCTATTCAGCTGTTTCTACGTTCAACATGATTTTTTTTAATATTGAAACGGAAGCTTTTGAAGACCTTGACAAGCACTAATTAAATCAAAATGATACTTGTCAAAGTGTTTTTAAATATATAACATGCATATACAAACACATAAGAATATATCTAAACTCATCAAACTGCTGTCCATTAAAACTTGGGATTAGACTGATTTAGGTCCTCAACATAGCAACCTTTTCTCAAAAAATTAAAACTGGAACAGTTTGTGACTGTGATCAAAAGTAAAAGAAGGAAATTATGGCCCCCAATTCTACATTAAATTTATTTTTCAATAATGTTTATCATTCAAGATTTTATCAGAGAAAGTATTTTATTTTTAAAAGATAACTATCTTTTTGAGTTAGTAAAAATAATTATCCTTATTATATTGTCAACAGGCTCTTGAAAAGTTTTCTTTTGCTTGATTTTAGTGACTTTTTAATGTTTTGAAATTTTACTGTTTAAGAGAACGAGAGAGAGAGAGAGAGAGTGCATTTAAATAGATTTATCCAATTTTATTTTGTTGTGAATTGTCACTAAAAATTAACTTTTAATGCCCCCATTACTAGTATATAGTAACATGTCATTATGGCAAACATCAATTTTGATAAAAATTAAATGACATCAGAATTATTTGTTGAAAATGATTTGTTTGTAGTTGTAATACATTTTAAAAAATCCATTATATATGTTTTTTTTTATTTCTCCACCGTAAGGAGGAAAATTCAAAAACAATATAAAATGCACTATTACTTTTTGACATGAACACAGATTTGAAGTTTTTAATGTTAATTTTTTTTTGTAAAAAATATTCCATTACTAAACAATGCATGTATTTGCTGACAAGGTCGCTATATCGACCATAGAACTTGTGAAATGAATACTTTAAACAAGATTGCTGATATATATTCTTAATTCATCAACTTGTTTGTCAGTAATTTACCCCGTTTTAGAAATTGACCATTCGTAGAGCATGTTCTTGCATATCGAATCAATTGAGATATATAAACCCTGTATGCAGGTGATGAAGATATATTGCTGCATAAGTAAGGGAATTTATTTGAAATGTCAAAGTAATCACGTTTATCATAAAGCTTGGTTGAAAGATAACCATTAGCATCTTTTTCTAGATGATTCAAATATGAAACAAATATGTCAGAATCTATGATATCTTTTATTTCAAGCTCACCGAGATACTAGTATATCGTGTCGATATAAGAATGGAAATAACTGTTGCCGATAACGGGGCACAATTGGTACCCTTTGGGAATTCCAATAGATTGTAGAACTTTCATCTAAACACGCACTGTAGATAATATTGGTTAAAGATTTTATATCCAAAAAAAAAGTTCTGAATGATGGAATTTAGGCATGAAGAACTTTTCACTTTAAAATTTCAATTTTAGAATTTTTTGCTCCGACAGCTAACGGTCATACTGGAATGAACTTTCACTGCTAAATTTATTTTACAAATAAGTTGCAACATTTCACCTAGAGGGGTAAATATAGTTAGGTGAAACAATGTAAATACATGCAAAAGAACGAATAAAAATGACATTTTTTTTACTTCGACATACTTACCGCGATGCCAAGTTTCATGCTTTATAATATGCACTTGCCACTGTGAGGTTTTTAAGCAGAAAACAACACAGGAAACGTGAAATTAAACATTAATGTAGATGTTCTACCTGTAATATTAATTGATACCTTGGTAGCCAAAATAGGCTACGTTTTCTTTTTCAAAACATTAATATGTAGCTGGGAAGAGGAACCTTTTGCAGCATTCCAGTTCACGATCTATGGTATCAACATAAAATTTTCTTGGTGCAGAAAAGTAATACAATTACTAATTATTGGTAAGTGGTCAACAGTTTATGTGAGAGCAATAAATTTATATAGCTTAGATAATGGAATGATCGATCAATTAAATTCGATCCATCATTTTAATGGCTGGGATTACTTAAGAAATGGCATTGGTCTGTAATATAACTTCAACTCGATCAGATCTGAACCATGGATAGAGTCTTATTGTAAAATAATAAAATAATAGTGATCGATCGATAAGTCACCAAAAAATATAATAAATCGTAAAACCATTTACTGAATCATGGCTACAGTGACAGCTAACTGAAAAAGCTTCATTAAAGTTCTGTCCAGTTTACTGGAGGTATCATGGTTAAAGTCAAATCTACAGCTATCAAAAAGGTAACTCATCCAGAGTCCTGCAAAAGGATTCTCTTCCCTGCAATCAAAAGGTCAGAATTGTTGGTAGCCAGTGGAAGAACTTGCCACAAGGAATACTCAAATAAAACATAAAAGCGCTAGCACCAAATATTCAAAAGTTATGGTCAAGGTTTCAGTTTATTAAAAATGGGTCAAACTCAAAGGTAAAAAAATACAAAAATATTTGTATGCAAGGAAAGTTCTACTTACATGAAATGTACTTGTGAAGTATGAAAGCGCAAACAGATTTTGCAAAACTGAGTCAAACTCGAAGTCCAAGGTAAAGAGGTCAAATATAAAACCAAATCAGAGGTCAATTATAATGGTACCCAATAAAAAGGTCTTGTCAAAAGAAAACAAATGTGAAATATGAAGGCCATAGCTGTGTCTAAACAAAAATTATGGGCGAGGTTCAAGTTTTTGAGAACACACAGAGAGAAGACAGCTGACAGACGACGAACATGCCAAAGCTATGTGCCCCTGACCTGTCTTTGAGCACCATCACATTTGATCTCTTGACTAAACTTTGGACTTTGAATATTTTTTGCAAAATTTTACCAAACTTTAATTAACCTTGGCTATTAATTATCATGCGCCCGGATCGATAGATCCAGGGCGTATATTGTTTTTGTCCTGTCTGTCTGTTTATCTGCAAACTTTAACCTTCGCCATAACTTTTGAACCATGAGTTAAAATGGTGTTTACGGTTTCTGAAAGGTGTGTATGCATAGTGAGGGTTGTAGTACCTGGGAATTAAAAATTAAAAATAAAAACAAACATTACATAATCTTCCATTTGTGTTTGAATGGTGTTGATAACTGACCTCCACTTATGCAGGTTTATCATGTTCCTCTGACATGACTGTTAGTTGTCCATAGGCGTCGGAAGCAAATTGATAGGGGGGGGGGGGGGTAATTGAAAGTGGGGGGCTAATCCAACGAAAAAAAGGGAAATACCAATTTTCAATGCCTATATCATAGGGATGTCAAAATTGTCAACAATTGATATTTGAATATTCGAAAGGAGTATTCGAAAATATGCGAATATTCGATGAAATAAATACGTCTTCAATTATAACATATATATCTTCACTCTCCTGTCAACCAATATACGTTTTATAATATGCCATTATATTTAATCAAAAAAAAAGTTTTGTAAATGTAAAGTTATTAAAGTATCTTAATTGTAATTTTCAATTTTATGGAATATATCAAGGGTAAACATCTATAACATATTTCTAAACAAAAATATTTTGAAATTTCAAAACTTCACTGATAAATTTATGCCACGTGAAACCAGTTACTTACTGCAAAAGAAATTATCTTGACATTAGTTTTGAAATAAAAACAGATAACTCAAAAACAATTATTCTTATAAATAATTTCCTGATAATGATTCTTAATTATATAAACATGAACAAGGGATTCGTGTGTATAAGTGTACAAATGCTTAGAAATAAGAAAAGATTGTATTGTTGCTTTGTTGACTATAAAAAAGCTTTTGATTATGTTAATAGATCTAGTCTGTGGATGAAGCTTAAATTATTTGGTATAGATGGAAAAATGATGTGTATAATTAAATAACTTTATCAGAAGGTGAAAGCAATAAATTTATATAAACATAATGGAGAACTGTCAGAGTATTTTAATATTCAACCATCATTTTGTATTACAAGGTGAAATTTTGTCACCATATATTGTTTTCAATGTATGTCAATGATTTTGAAAATCATATATTGTCCATCAATAGAAGTACAAAAAATTAATTTATTTTTACTTATGTATGCTGATGACACAGTATTAATGTCATTAAACACCAGAGGGTTTACAAAATATGTTAAATTCATTGTATACATATACATTAGAGTGGAGTTTAACTGTTAATGTTGAAAAAACAAAAATATTAGTGTTTAGAAACAGTGGACATATTGACAACGAACACTCAAATAAAACATAAAACTGTAGAAGTAGTTAATGAGTTTAATTATCTTGGTATGTTGTTTATTTTAATGGTAAATTTGCAAAAAAAAAACAAATTTTGCATCACAGGGAAGAAAAGCCATGTATAGTGTTTTGAATAGAAGAAAGATTTGAATTTTAACGTTAAAACACAATCATATGTAAAGAGGACAAATATTAGCCAAATACTGTGTTATGCATCTGAAATTTGGGGATGGCACAAAGCTAAAGATATAGAAAAAGACAACTTTCATTTTGTAAAAGAACACTTAAAGTTAGACAGAAACTTATAACAGTATGGTATATTGTGAATTAGGTAAACACACTTGAAGAGAAGACAGCTGACAAAAGAAAATCTTTAAATACTGTGTTAAAATTAAGAAATATGACAATTGCATTCTTCAAGCATGTCTACAAGAAATTTTTAGAAAATAATGATTAATGGATTGTAAATATTAAGAATGAATTTTATAGGCTTGGTTTTTGAACTATTCGATAGCAATTGTATAAATTTAACACAATTGATATTTTATATTAAAATGTGTTTACGGTTTCTGAAAACATGTATGTCAGATTGAGGTAAACCACCAAAATGTAAAAATTTATCAACACCTTAGATAATTTTACCATTTGTGTTATTTATGTAAACCAATACATCTAAAATATAGAGTAACAATTACCAGATTAAGACTATCTGCGCATAACTTAATGATTGAACAAGGGGGATATAATAAAACTTTGAGAAATAACAGAACATGTAATCTTTTCAATTATAACATAGAAGATGTCAAAATTCCATTTTGTGTTAAAATGTCCACATTACAACACATTAAGACAAAAATACGTCTTCAATTAAATATATATCTTACTCTCCTGTCAACCAATATACGTCTTTAAATATGCCATTATTTATTTGAACAAATATAAAAGAATTATGTAATTTAGGAAAATTTTTGCAATTTTCGAATGCCTGGAATATATAAGAACAGCATCTTTATCAATTTTATAAACAGAAATATTATATGAAATTTGTACATGTACTGATAAATTTATTCCATTATTGCACGTGTTAAGATGTATGTATATTTCATTATTATAAAAACATGTACAAAATGTGTTATGTCTATGAGATTAATGTCTCTAATGACTTCATTATAAAACTGAAACTGAACTGAAACTGTGTCCATACAACAATTAAAACTAATTGTAATTACTGAACACTGTTATACCACTAATTTAATTATCAAATGAAAGATTCTTATAGAAACACTCTTCACACCTTAAAGATAATCAAAGAGGAATGTACTTAAATTTTGTATCAAATCATATGCTCGATTCTATTTGTCTGGCTGCAAGACAACTTAGATTTTTTTTAACTTGACAGATTTTTCTCTCTTTTAAATGCATATATACTTAAAAAACGAATATTCGAATCATAAATTTATATTTGAATATCACCTCATCGAATGAATATTCGAATATTCGTTAACATCCCTACTATATTATGTATATATTTGCTAAGCCCCCCTAGCACCCCCCCTTCCCCTCCGGTTCTGACGCCTATGTTGTCCATACGTCCCTATCACGCAAACCCCAAGACACTTTATTGGGGTATCCCTTAAATAAGGTATCTAAATACATTATTCATTGGTTTGGCAGAAAAAGTATAAGGATGACTAATTAGGTTTTTTCCTTCATAATTTTTAATCAAAAATTAATAACCAATATTATATATTTTGAGAGTGACAAACTACATGTATATCACATTCATTGTATGAGATTCTAAGGAAAGAAAAATAATCTTTAAAATAATCTTTTATTGTTTAAAGTCATAGATCTTAATCAAAGAAAGAGAGAAAAAAGGAACACAAAATAGAGAAAAAAACAGTCAAAATTTAATGAAACACTTTCCATCTCATGAGAAACTGAATGTTTCTTTTATATTAGAAATAACTTGATGAGGTATGTCATTGAGTGTCATGCTTGAAAATATTGATAATAATGCAATAAATAAATAAATACAGGTGTGTTACTTTTGTGTACATACATGTATATCAGCAATAATGGTACATGTATATATTAGAAACAATTTGTCCTCCTCAGCCTTACAACTCTCTCAAAAGCTCAAGCTGGATTTCTAGAACAATTCATTATCAACATTGTGATTTCATTAACCTCATCCTTTTAATGTTGTTTCTCTTGCTACGGATTTTCTATTTTTATTACTGATATTATCTTTAGTTGTGATTTTATCTTTAGTTGAGTGTGGGATTACACTTTTAGAGGGACGAGCTGCTAAATTTGTTGGCTTCTTTTTCCGTGAATTCCCAGTAGTTGCTGACTTGGTAACTTTTAAACTCAGTTTGTTTGGTATATGTGGTGATGTGAAGACTTTCATTGTTGATGTTGGGGCTAGGCTAGTCTGTGTTGATACGTCATGCACAGGAGCATTGAAAAAATAGAGCTGAAATAAAAAAAAATAATGATATAATCCAAGCATTTTTTAATTTGCTGCTGTTTGTGGCTCACTTTTATTGTAAATAACTCTTTAGTGCATGATAACTTATCATAGCAAATCCTCACAGGTGTGTGTTGATCAATACGAAATATTTCTGAATATCTTTTCATACTGTATCAGTGGAAAACAATATATTTGAAAACAGCTTATAGAGACAAAAGTGATACATTATCGCTAGCATGTAGTAATATTAGAATAAAAAATAGGAAAAAAGTGTGTCAACCATGGATTTAGAAAACGAAAATGGGGAGGGGAGCAGCCCCCATGTGTCTGTGACATCATTTACAAACATGGTTTCTCTTGCTGCTATAGCATGATAATTTATCTTCAATGGTTACCTTAAAGCCTACAGCCAGTGATGTGTGGCACAATAAAATGAGTATTATAACAAGCCAGGCAGTTTTCTTTGTTTCCTCTCGAAATGCAGGCCACAGAGTGAGGGCCAAGACTCCACCCGACAAACCAGCTCCAACCAGCACCAGAGTCCACTGCAGCCAACCAAAGGGAACCACCCATAATATCTACAGCAAAACAGAAAAATGTGTGCTAAAAGATTCCTCACCAACCATAAAATTCAACCACCTGTAATATCTATTATTATCTATAGGAAAAATGGTGCTAAAAGAATCTTAGCTGCTCATATGAAACTACCAAAAATACAGGTTTCTAAAAATGTTAGTGGGCTATCCTTAGTGGTGTCTGCACCGCTGTACAATGAGAATTGTCCTCAAAAAACATTCCAGGTTTAATAAACATTCTTACTGAGATTGGAATATAAATGGCTAGAGAGTATCCATATATACAAAGAATCTCCAGGAATGTGTAATTTGCTTTGCTGCCTTTCCACCATAGAAAACCAAATAATGCTGCAGGAATAACCCACCAATAACTGAAAATGGCTGTTGCAGCAAATGTTACTGAAAAAAAATATGGGTAAATTTTTACAATTACTGAGGTTTGCAGGATGTAATTACTGGTAATTAAGAATATTTTGTACAAGAATCACATGATATCAGTACATGTACTTGTAATAAAATATCCAAAAGAATAATAATTTTTATCACAACTAGTATCTGTACAGTAAAACTCGGTTATAACAAGTCACTGGGACCTTTGAAATCACTTCGCTATATCCGTAATCCGTTATATCCATACAAGGAACTCGTTAAATTTGTGTGGTTGGGGATACAAGATCACTTCGCTATATCTCTGTGATAATATGCACTATCCGTGTTCCTTCTAAATGAGTTTTACTGTATGGCATATACATGAACTTTGAACTTTACACTGAATATTAACCAAGTAAATTCATTACATTATTGTAAACGTAATTTATCAAGTCAAAGTTGAATTAAATTTCTACTCTGTTGGTTTTGATCATTAAAGCATACAGATACACTGACATACCTTTGTGAAAATCATATTTCCACTTAAATCCTTTTCCTTCTGTGGTGAGATAATTTGCAAGGTTTCCAGCTATGGCTGTTGTGAAGACAAGTGTTGTACAAATCCAAAAAGGACCTGTAAAAGTAGGACTGCTATGAAGCATGGTACATGTACATGTATGTAAATGCACTCAGCTAGAAATAAGTGCAGTATAATATTATAAGAAATGTACAGTACATTAAGTATGTACAGTAAAACACAGTTATTGAGAACACTTTTAAAACTGTTAAACAAGACAAAATAACATTAAAAAATTCCGTTCCGATGAAAAATCGTCCGGATACTGAAGCGTCCGGATATCTGGCGTCCTGATATCTGATAATCCACTGTATAAAATTTTTTGAATGGAATGCAGAACACACTAAAACATACCATACAGATCGGGATTAGGTCTGATGGTGGACTGTAGGTAATTAGACCCAGGTCTGGGGAGCATAGAACCGGCGATACGGTACAAAACCTGTGTCGTCTCCACGTCAAAGAACTGCTGGTAATACTCAAATGTCCAGAACGATTTACCCCCTTGTTTGACTTCATCTTTAATCAGCTTTGAAATACAAGTAAAATGTAAATATATTAATCACACTGAGTACCCAGTACTTTCAAATATACTGAGGTATAAAAACATTCCATTTAAGTTTTTCTAAGGGTTCACAAGAAGATCATAAGAAGTAATTTGTTGCACTGTGAGTAAATTAAATTTGAATTAAACTAGAAATATGTCCATAGAACATGAATGCCCCGCCGAGGGTATATTAGTAAAGCAACATGAAAATTTGTATTAGTGTACGACATTTGATCAGAATATCTTTAAAAATGATGCAGTTGAATTGCTTACATTAGTATGTATCAACATATGAAGTTTGACACTAATTTCATTAAGTGAGGTCAAGGTCAAAGGAAATGCCAAGGTCAAAAATGTTGATGCAGTTGAATTGCTCTCATCAATATGTAACAGCATATGAAGTTTGATAAAAATATCTTGAATGGTATCTTCAAAACTGAGGGAAACACTAATTAAAGATAAGTGAGGTTAAGGTCAAAGGAAAGGTCAAGGACGAAATGTTGATGCAGTTGAATTGCTCTCATCAATATGTAACAGTATATGAAGTTTGATGAAAATATCTTGAATGGTATCTTTAAAACTGAGCGAAACACTAATTAAATATAAGTGAGGTCAAGGTCAAAGAAAACTCAAGGTAAAAAATGTTGATGCAGTTGAATAGCCCTCATCAGTATGTATCAACATGTGAAGTTTGATAACACCATCTTAAATGGTATGTTTAAAACTGAGCTAAACACTTATTTAAGAAAAGTGAAATCAAGGTCAAAGGAAAGGTCAAGGTCAAAAAATGTTGATGCAGTTGCATAACTCTTATCAATATCTATCATCATATGAAGTTTGATGAAAATATCTTGAATAGTTTCTTTGAAACTTAGCTTTGAACAGGGCTAAATGCAAAGTGTGACGGAAGGACAGACAAAAGGACAGAAGGACGGAAGATGGACATAACAAACACTATATGCCCCAGCCATATTCATGGTGGGGCATAACAAATTGGTATTATTGAATTAAACTCTCCATGCGAACATCAGACCATAGGGTTGATAACAGGATTACTGGAGTTTCCTACCTGAGTTTTGTCATACACCTCGTCTTCATCAGACTCCGCTGTGGGAGGGAAGTCCGAGAATGTGTGAGTCTGCACCTTACCCTTGTCGTTAATGTATGGGTCATGCGGAATATCTGTAAGGAAAATGATGTTCCTTTCATTATATCAATAATCAGTGTTTATATTCATTCATCTACTATATTAAGATGGATTTCTTTACCTATTATTTATAAATTAAACTATTTATTATGATTAATAATGTACTCTAATTATTTTCAGCAACTACAATACATTTTAGATACCTTGAAACTGCAAATCATCAGTAATTTTCTTGTGTTCCTAAAAAAAATTGTCAGCAAAGTTATTTTATTCACGAAAGAATATTTAAAAAATAAATACAATGAAGCGAAATGGAATGTTTAATTGAGCTTTCTTTAGAACACTGATCGCTATTTAATGACACGCCTTTTTCTTTACATGAGTAAAAAGCAACCAAATGTTAATTCGAATACCTGTAAACAGGTACATGTATCTCACAAATATAACAGCGAATCAAACTGGCAAAAGTAAATCTGCATTTCAGTGAGAGTGTGGTGTCCACAAATATTAAAACAAATATTTACTTTTCATTTCTAAAAAAAAATCATGTGTGTCATAATGTAGCATCTGACACTCAATAAGTACGTTCTATTGAAATGAAAATTTTTACCACATCAATGTGCTTTATTCATTAAGCCTTTCAAGATACTACTCTTTTGCAGGGCAAATTAATAAAGTTTCAACTTTGGGAAAGTTTTTGTTGATAGATAATTAAATTACATATATCAAACAATTGCTTTTCTGTCATATTTTACCAAAATATATCATTTTGCACAGCAGTAGCACCACAGTTATTGTGAAAGGGTCTATTGTAAATAAAAAATACTGCACAATTTAGCAGGTCCACTACAATCACTAGATTTAGCTACGTAGGTAGAATTACCTATGTAGCTTTATTTACCTACCTCAGGTAGCTTTATTTAGCTATTTCAATGAAACTTTTCACAATTTTTCTTTTTATTAAAAAGAGACAAAAAAATCGCAATTAAATGACTTATTAAATATTTATACTATGGGGGTTTAAAAAACAATCCAAAGCAGAGTTAGTTTATACATTGCAGTATAAAGACAATTTGGAGCAAAACATGTAATTCCATTGTTTGGTTAACTGTCCTTTCTATTGTGTGCGATGAGGCATGACTGAGTACGATTACTTCACATTGTGCTGAATAATTACCGACCTATTATCACATTAACCAGAACTGGACTTCTTTGTCATTTCATTCATGGAGTAACTGTTCTAACTGTCATACATAGCCCCAAAACTTTCAGAACTTTGATTTCAATTGCGCAGAAAAAGACAATTCTTCAAGAGTGATTTTTACATGAATTGTTTTCAGATGTTAGTTCAAAATTGGTCTTTTCACTGCATCAAAATGACATTTTATGCACATCCTAGAAAAAATGCTTTTTTTATATAAATAAATATTTGGTAGCTAAATAAAGCTACCTCAGGTAGGTAACTAAAGCTTAGTACGTAAATCAAGCTACGTAGCTAAATCTAGTGATTGTACCAGAGCTGTTTAGTTTACATTATCTCTGATCTTGTGAAAATCGTTTAGTAATCAACTTATTCAAACAGGCAACCATAAAGGTCATTCAGACGAAAACAAAGATGATTTGTTGTCATTTTTCAAGAAGATTTTTTTTCAACTCCAATATTTTCCTTATTTTAAAATCCAGAATGTTCTTTCTAAAGGTAGACAAAGGAAATTCGAGTAAATGAACTTTTTCGATCTTAGTTGATAAAGTGTTTTATATGCCCAAGAAGTATCAGACAGAGTTAAAAGCGTAGAATTATTTTTAAATCCTTTGTCAAACTTAGATTTGTATGTTGTCATTAACTTTGTTACCTCAAGTCTTTCCAGTCGATGTTTACGTCGGCCATTTTGGTTTGTGTAAAAGTAGTAACAACAAGAGGCCTACGAGCCACAGCGCTCACGAAAACTGAGTAGTTCATCACCAATATTTTCCTTATAAAATCCGCAACCTTTCTAAAGCTGAAGGTCATGAATATGACGATTTGAACATTATATGCCCAAAACTTCACTATATTAGAAAACTTAATTTCATATTTTTCAGCTCTTCTAGTTTACTTTAGGCGAAAATATGTATTTAAATTTACATTTAATACACTTAAATATAGGAAATAACCCCACTTTTTGTGAAAATCTTGAATGCTGCGAATTTGTAACCAAGGAAACCATCTTGGATTTTGGACGTAGCATTAAATATTTATGCTAGCTCTCCATACGTAGCGGCTAGGTTAGCTCTCCGTTCAAGAGCGTAGCTTTACGTAGCGGCTACGTAGCAGCTACGCTGTTGAACGCAGCCCTGTACGTGGTTTTTTGAGAAGAGGATTTGTGTGAAAATTTTCCTATATATGCCTATTTAAATGTAATTTTTTGATTCCCTAGTCTGGCTCTATCCATTCCCTGGATGTCATGATTTGAACAATTTAGAATCTACAGTACACTACCCTATGAGGCTTCATTTTCACATATATTTCATTTTTTGTGACTCAGTGGTTCATGTGAAGAATACTTTTAAAGATTTGTCAATTTTATTTCAATATAAAACTTTTGATTCCCTTTTGTGGCCCCAACCTAGCACTTAGGGCCTTGATGCAACAATTTTAGACTTTTTACACTACTTAAGGATGTACAACACACCTACCCCAAAAAATTCCTGTGTTTAATTTTCGTTATTTTTGTATATGTAGTACATAACTATATCTACTGCATGTATGCATATTTTGGACAAAATCGTTCGAGTGGTTTTTAAAACTTTGGTTAAAGTTACCCCCCTAAATGGTTGTTTACAAGGAATGAAAATTTTTTATCAATGAACTACTTAAACCTTGATTTTCAAAAAAAACAGGTTAGATATAAATGTCAAATTTTATTGCCTTATTCCTTTAACCATTTAACACTAAGATATAGTCATCTTTTTGATATACATATCATCAAAACAATTTTTAAAGACCTTAAACTGAAAAACTGTGAATTTTCTAGGCCTTGAAAATTGCGTATTTTTCAAATTCAAATTTTTTTTGTGAAAAAACCTGTCGTTTAATTTTGGTAAAAAACTTTCTTTAGGTAGCTGGTAGTAAAAATAATCTTCATAACTTTTTGTATAATTTTTGTACGACCAGTTTTGATTTAATAGCGGAAAATTACCCCCCCCCCCCCCCCATTTTTTTTCTCAATAAAACACGTTCCCGCGCGTCTTTCATTCTGCATATATTTTGATATAAGAATCTACAAATACACATTAAAAAAATTAAATTGGAATATTGCTTTTGCTTCAAAAATATATTAACTTACAAATTTAAAAGTTCTCATATGTAAAGCGTATTTAAATGTAGATTTTTAGGCAATTTTTGAATACCCCTGTCACCCCCACGCCCTTCTTTTTTGCGTCGCAGACCATTAGCGTTTGACGAAACGTCGTTTACAGTGCAAATATACTGGTATTTCGTCAAGAATCCCGGAGGTATGCATTATTTTTTAAATTCAAGAATGCAAATAAATATTGACTACTCTTTTTATATGTATCAGGAAAAAATTACTAAAAGATTTTAGTGTTTAGTCCATATACATGTACGTATGCGTTATGCATTCCATATCACATGAAACCTGGATACGAATTCAAGTTTTGCTGAACTTGAATATGTTGATTCTTAATTTTATTTCTTTAATTTTGTTCATTAAAAAATGGTGTATGTTCAACTCTCCTGTGATATAAATGGAATAATTGTAGTTTCTTTCATGTCATTATTTCAAACGAGACAGTATGTGGCCGTGGGGATACATCGACATTTGCATTAGATGTACATACACCCCTCATGATATTGTACGCATTTCTTTCAATGTCGTCGCTTCTACAGTTAAAATGAAAATACCGTATTCGTCCACATTAACATCAAAATATCAATAATTAAACTCTTCATCTATTTCAATTTATATCAAATCGCACATTGATATTTTTTAAAATCTTATAGGCTACGTTTTGTTTTGATTCGAGGAAATGCGAACCGACATTGTTGACAGAAAGTGAAAATTTACGATTTGCTGCAGTAGGATATTCATAAATGCAGAAAATTTCAGTAGGCCTACAAAGTGAACAATTCTTTTCAATTCTATACTTACATTGTGTATATGAGGTCAAATTCAATTTCAGGATTTATCAGGTCTTGCTGTAAATGTATCTGCTGTGGAAAACCGTGAATAAAGGGAGGAAAATAAACATCTCCTACATTTTCAGAGTTGTTCCTCTTTGATCAATAAGGGTCTGAGAACAACATCGATTTTACATTGTAAAAAGTTTTTTGTTTATTTATTGTTGTTTTATTTAATTAAAGAAGAAAAACAATATTTATATCGTGTATGCACAAATTGTAATGAAGACCATTAATCGGAATGTTTTATAGCCAATTGTACATAATGAGAATTTCGGCAATGTAAAACAAAATTTTCAGAATAAAAAAAATGCTGCGCTTTGATCAAAAATACAATTTATTGTATATATGAAATGAAATAAACATTAAGGGATATATTTTAAGTGCTTTTTACGGAGTTTAATCGGGTTAATTAAAAAATACTTATGGATTGAGTATGGTACGCACAATCACAGCCAAGCCCCATATCCCAATTTTCTTTCATGGTTGATATACATCGGGATCGTTTTATTCGTCGTTTTGACGCTTTATTTTTGACGTTAAATTTGACGTCACGTCAAACGTTCAATTGAAATCTTTTATCTCCCCCAGTGTGTTGTACGTCTTTAAAAGCTTTCATTTTGTTTTTGTCTTCATCTCATAAGGGGACTAAACCCTTAATTTTAACAATTTTAATTCCCTTCACTTCTATAAAACTTTGGTTAAAATAAGCTAAATGGTTCTTGAGAAAAAGCTAAAAGTACCACAGTGAAATTAAGTTTACAAACAGACTGACAGACAGAAGGATGGATGGATGACAGGTGATCAGAAAAGCTCAATTTGAGCTTTCAGCTCAGGTGAGCTAAAAAAGCCAAGAAGCAAGCAAAATATCATCCTAGGTAGGATTAATTTTTAAATCGTATGTACTCTGAGGTTGATATTTTAAAAAATGCTTGAGTTTCTGATTGACAATATTAGTTACAAGAGGCAAATAAGGGAGACAGGAACAGATAATTGGAATTAAGAACATGCATGCATGAAATGGAAATTAACATTTTTTTTTCATAACATTTTATGTGAATTATTCTGCATATATTTCCATTTTATCTGTGAAAACTCTTTGAAAGTTAGGTATATTGATTTCTTGATATTTCAATCAGAATGTAAATTTTGCCTACCGAGCGAAAGGTCAGGAGCTATAAATTAAGAGGCCTAATATGCATGTCAATCTTCTGCGTCTGTCTTTGTGTCTAGTGTCAGTGGACGGGGACTATCGAAATTGACATGGCAGTAAAAGGCTTCAGTTGGAGTATGTACCTGATCTAAAAATAATTCACATTAAATATTCTGAAAAAAAATGTTTCCTTTTCATGCATGTTCTTTATTCCAATTATCTGTTCCTGTCTCCCTTATTTGCCTCTTGTAACACCACCCCCACCACCCCATAACAAAGGGCAGAATTAACTTCTTTAACATCCCTGTCTGATTTCTCAAGCAAGATTTATGGTTTTCTTAATTAATTTTCTCTTGTCTACGGTATTGAAATTGAAATAAACAAGAGATGTTCGTAAAACACTTATGCCCCCCTCCCCCAAATTGGAAATTTTTCAAATCCAAGGGGCATAAATCTATAAAAAAAAAAAAATTGGGCGATCGTATCCAAAACAGAACTTGACCTAGATATTCAGCTGATAAATCTGTATACTAAATTTCATTTCAATATGTGCAAACTCTGCAAAGAAAATGGACGGAAACTGCAAATAAGTGAAAATTTTCTACGTCGAAGGGGCATAACTCTATCAAAAATGGTCTGATCGTATTCAAAATAGAACTTGACCTAGATATTAAGCTGGTAAATCTGTATAGCAAATTTTATTTCAGTATGTGCAATCTATGCAAAGAAATTGCATGGAAACTGCAAATAAATGGAATTTTTTAGTTTTGTCAAAGGGGCATGTGATTGGATCATATATTTATCGTATTCAAAATGAACTTGACCTAGATATTGAAAGGCTTGTAAAAAATTTGTATAGCAAATTTTATTTCAGTATGTGCAATCTATGCAAAGAAATTGCATGGAAACAAAAATAAAATGGAATTTTTTATTTTTAGGGGCATAACTTTGACAAAATTGGTGTGGCGTACCCGTAAAACAGAACCTGATGGAAACCTAAAATCTGTTTACCAAATTTCGTTTCAGCATGTGCAACGGTTGTAATATGAAGGAAAACATAAATATTGCGAAGACAGACTATTATGTTTATACAAAGCGTTATACGGATATAACCCTTCTTCGATAGGGCGAATTAAAACTCTTATGTACATAAAATTCCCTGACTAAAATAATACATAAACAGAATGTAACTTCTAACGTCTTTTTAGCCTTTTTGTATATATGAAAAGAAAATGTCAAAATGTATATCTTGATAAGCAATTCTGCAATCGATTGTCATCCCTAAAAGAAATATATATCAACATAATCAAATATTTATAACTGCATTTATTTAAGGTAAATTCAACATTTTTTCACACAATTTAGAGTCCACATAATACATGTTTTCAGTTCTTCGTGTCTTTCCTGAATGTAAGCTGAGGTCTGGAAAATAAATGCCTGGGAGGAAGATCCAGATAATCCAGGCCTTGGTCATTCCTCTTCTGGTGAAGCACCTTCATTCGATGATACTTGAAAAGAAAAAAAACATAAAGTTCTATATTTTATAGTTTTCATACATTTTTTAATTATACTATAATGTATTTTTAGTCACATTAGAAGTATCTCATCTGCTAAACCTAAAGTTAATTACAAGACCATTTATGTGTTCCACAAGTCAGCTTATGCTTTTCTAGTTTTGTAAAGTAGAATCTTGTTCATCCAGATGAAAATAATCTGTACCTAGCGTGGTGTGAGAGCCCTGAAGTTTTATCGGAATGGCTTAATCACAGTAAAAAACAATAGAAACTAGAACTGTCCAAACGGGACAAAATACCCCCCGCTGGGTTTTTCAGAAGTAAGTTTTTCCATAAGAAAGATATGGACCTGACACGAATTATGAAATTTTTCTTCCAGTGACCTTGAACTTCCCCAAATGACTTGGGTCAAGGTCATGACACACCCTTGGGTTATGGGCAATCTTTGTGTGAAATGAGAACCTACCAAGTTTATCCATAAGAAAGATATGGACCGGACACGAATTATGAAATTTTTCTTCCAGTGACCTTGAACTTCCCCAAATGACCTTGGGTCAAGGTCATGACACACCCTTGGGCTACGGGCAATCTTTGTGTGAAATGAGAACCTACCAAGTTTATCCATAAGAAAGATATGGACCGGACACGAATTATGAAATTTTTCTTCCAGTGACCTTGAACTTCCACAAATGACCTTGGGTCAAGGTCATGACACACCCTTAGGTCATGGGCAATCTTTGTGTGGAGTAGTAGATTCTAATGTCCCTCTGTAAGAAAGATATGAACCGGACACGTTTGCACAGACAGACGGACGGACGAATAGACGGACAGACGGACAAGGTGATTCCTATATACCCCCCAAACTTCGTTTGCGGGGGGTATAATGAAAGAAAAAGTGAGCAAGCTCTCATACCCCATGCTCCCCCAAAAGTCGAAGTGCTAAAATTCCCAGAAAAAATAAAGGAATCAGAATTTCCTGGTAATATGCACATCTACACATTGTGTCCTAAATATCTGCAAAGTTTGACAAAATTGTGTTCAGCAGTTTATGAGGAGTTGCGCTGACAAACTGTTCATCTCTATATTCAAAATATGGCCAAAATCTAAGTGTAAAAGTGTGAAATTCCCGGAAAAAATAAAGGAATCCGAATTTCCTGGTTTTATGCACATCTACACATTGTGTCCTAAATATCTGCAGAGTTTGATGAAATTGTGTACAGCAGAGCTCCAGATAAGGTGCGTATTTGCAGAAATACGCATTAAATTTTACAAAATACGCATTGAAAATCAAAATAGAGCATACAATTACGCATTAGCAATCATAGATACGCATTACACCACGAAAGTACTGCGTACAAGTTGAAGAATACAGGTTCGACTTACTTAATGATACGAATTGAGGTTAACTCAGTGTTTGATTTTTCTCAAAACGAAGTACAGATTTAAAAAGCCTTTTAGTGACCAGGAATATTCTAGTAATGACGACGACGATCTCCATTTTGGGAGGAAGAATCGGAGATTTAAATTAAAATCAATTTCCATGTAGAAAAACTATGCACTAGGCATAACTTTTTTTTTATTATGGGTTCATAGCCAATTTTTCATCTCTCTCAACTTGCCATATTAACGAAGATTCTTTCACTCTTGATACGATATCTTTAAATGAAGGAAAAATTATCTGTGTCTCTGACTCTATCTTACAGTGTACCTTGACCTACTGTATAATCTTCCTTTTCAAAAAATAATGCTTCCCAATCTTAGTCCAAAGTCTTGTTGTTATTTACAAAATTTATTTAAATAAATACAGGAACTGATTTTTGAAGTTTTTCCCTCTTCAAAAACTCATACTTCGATTACAAGCTCAAAATAAAGGCCAAAACATTTCTATATAAACAAAATACTCTTCAATCATTTTGCTGAAAATCAAAATCTGCATTGATTTGAAAATCAGGGAGTAAATACACTTTGGGGTAAAAAATTATCTGGAGCTCTGGTACAGTGGTTTATAAGGAGTTGCGCTGACAAAAGAACAGGACTGACGGACTGACTGACTGACGGGTCAAAAACATAATATCTCACGCAACTTGTTGCATGGGGTATAAAAACTTACCGTTTTATATCTTGTCTCACATTCCCTCATATCCTGAAGCTCCTTATAGCATTCCTCATACTCTAAAGGTCTGCCCACTTCAAAAGCACATTTGAAAAAATCTTTGTAAAAAGTCAAACAGGGCTGATGGTATCCAATATGGTGAAGCAGACCTATTCTAAAGTATTGGCGAAATGGGTGGGGAACTTGAAAAACTGGGTACAATCCATTGATCATATATCTGGAAGAAAAAAATGAAACAATTAAATAGTCAAACAGTTTAAGAAATGAGAGTATAACTCAGACTGTAAAAGGACGGAGATTTGAAATTTTTAATGGGAGTTAACAAATTTGGTATGATAGAGCGGAAAAATATATTCAGATAATGTGGTGTCAAACCGTGTCATATAATTTTTCTGGGACACATTAAATATAGCTTGAATTCAACTTTCTAGGAAACTTGAAGTCCTGGGACTCAAGTTAGCAAAATAAATCCTAGTGAGAATTCTGGTGAGCCCCCCAATGATCAAAAGACTTGCTTACATAAACATTAAGTACACAGTGTTGAGAAGATGGGACAAACCTCTCAGAGTGAACAGATTATTGCAATGAAATGACCCAATCTAATTAAAATTAGATCTTTCATCGGTTCCAGTTTGATCGCAATCAAAGATCAAAGATCTAATTTTAATTAGATTGGAAATGACCTGACTTTTTTATTTTAATAAGATTGGAAATTACCTGAACTTGATGTACAGTGTTGTGTGGTAGGACTATAAGGAACTGGGACACTGATTTTATTAAAGCTCATATTTTACAAAATTTCCTAAATAATGTCATGACATACTTGTTGTTAGAGCATTTTCACATTGAAATTAGCTGCAGAACTGTAGCTCTCTGAAAAATTATATTGACAGACCGGAGAGCTACAGTGCCACCCAATGAAAAAACTGTATATATTTATTGCGCACAAAATTTTGTCCATTTAATTCAGAGTTCAAACCTGACCATGTTTGTTTTACAATAATTAATTTTTCAAACATTGAACACATGCTGTTCATTTTTGGAAAAAACAGACAGATTTTGCAAATGGGGATGGGACCCATATTCGGCCTCACACGGGGCAGTGGAAAATCCCTGATTTGTTTATCATAGAGAAGAATGCTGTAGACATTGAATTCTTAGATTACTAGTATTTATGTTAATTCAAATCGTTTGAATGAAATATTAATGAAAACTGTAAACAATGAAATTGTGTCCTAAACAATGAAAAATCCAGCCCAGGCCCCTTTAAACAGTTTAAAATACATGCTATCATGGTTATAAACCATTTTCAAATCAAAAGTTTGTAGTATTTACAATTAATTGAGATAATCAATTTATTTTCTTACATTTCTACCTTTCAAACATGCATATAAATCAAATGAATAGCGAGAAATAGAAAATAGAGAAAATTTGGACTATCAGTAATATCATGATGCACACAAAACAATATCGCTAAAATATTAATAAATAAAACTTACATGGGTTGAATTTTATTGACCTTCTCATTGAGAATATAATCTTTCTCTAACCATCTCCGTTTTCTAGCTGGTGTTACCATTTTATAATTTACTTGTCCTTCAATAGTTTGCAGAGTAACATTCGGAAAACTTCGGATAATTCCGTCGCTCTATTGGAGATGTACTAAATAGCCGAAGTGTATCGAGTGGTAGAGTGCCTCGGTTTACCCCAAAGGACTCAAAAATGAATAAATATTCATTATTGACATCAATAGTTTGTATTAAATAATAAATTTTACATTATTAAGTTTATATAAAAGTTTGCAAAAAATGTAAATTTACACTATTGCAAATTTTCTTTTAGAAAGAACTTAATACTTTTTGTGCATTGTACACCTGTACACACACAGAGACTGAATAAGAAAAAAACCTCAAACACTATAATCCAAAATCTTGTTAGAAGTTGTTTTGTTTTTAAAGAACTAAAAAGCTTTATGTTCATGTATCATTGTCCCTTGCTTTCGCAAAAGCGAGGGGACACTCTTTCCGTCTCACAATTTTTTTTTTAACCTTGATCATAACTTTTTAATGGGAAGGATATAGGGCTTTCATATCTCTTATTTATATTCTCCCTCACTCTGTTCGTCCGAATATAAATTAATTCTATTCTAAGTAATAACAAGAAAGACCATTTTAGGAGTGCTACGCGCTATATCCTTTAATCAACATTCAAATTTATGATATTTATTTTATTATTTACACATATACTTCAGTTAACTAAACTTGCATAAATCTATATTTCGACAGAGGATAAATCATTTTCCTGAAATTTCATTATTTCAGCGTGAATATACGTGTATCGAGGTTATAGCGAGAGTCGATAAAGAATGCTGTATTTATAGTTACCTAGTCACGTGATCTATGAGTATTTTTAGCAAGTAAACAACGAAATGAATTTTATCTATATTCTCCCTCACTTTGTTCGTCCGAATATAGATTAATTCTATTCTAGATAAGTAATAACAAGAAAGACCATTTTAGGAGTGCTACTCGCTATAACCCCATGACAAAGGGCAAGTCATGTTTTCTGAAATTTATGATCATTTACTTATTTTAATCATATACATTTACACTGAATACATTAATAATAATAACTCTGTTTTCTTATATTCCCAAATTTAGAGAGACAGAAGTCTGTGTTTTAACACTATCCTTAATATATCCGTCTTTCGCAAAATCTGTACGCCATCTGCCGTGCTCTTTAATCAACCTGTCGGACACACAATTGTTAGATGCTGCAGTGGCGCCCCCCCCCCCCCCCACTCCTCAAACTGTAGAGAAAAAATGCTTTACTGTCCACGCCAATCTGTGTTACTGCTTCTAGAAAAATTTCCCTAGCTCTGGTATATGACAATGGACGATTTTGTGAAACTAACTTATACTTTCCTTGTGATTTAAAATATCTAACAGATCTAAAAACGTATTCATCAGAATCAAAACTCAACTTGCCAAGTCAATATAATTTAAAAGCCATTTTACTGGACAAGTTGATGAACCTGTCTTTGAAACAATAACGTTGTTGCCTCTTTTGTAAACGTCTGTCTTTCCACATTCAATATTCAAAATGATATACGCATCGTGAAATTTTATATTTGACATTCTTAAATTAGCAAGCTCACTGTACCGCAGAAAACCCGCAAAACACAATAACATCATTGCACAAATCCTGACATTGAATAGGTTTGAAAGATCTGCACCAAATTTTTTCACAATCTGCTGTAAATGACTGTTATAAATAGGCTCTTTTTTCGTACTTGGTTTTCCAAGTATTCTCTTTGCTCCTTCTGTCATCATTTGAATTAATTTATCATCACACGGATTTTTCTTTAAATTAAATTCATGGAACCACTTGATGCTGTAGAGATGTGCACAAAACACAGAAAAAGACACACTTTGTTGAACAAAACCACATGCAAGGCCCGACTATGATTTTTGACGACGTGACCTTGGCCTTGAAGATTTACCTACTCTTCGTTCTTTATACTTTTAAAAGATTAAAAATAATGCTTTCAAGCCTTTCATATTATACATGTGTATATATTACCCATGACAAGACCGTTCTAACTTACTAACTTATGTTTTTTCAACCCTTGACCTTGAAGTTTTACATACTTTTCAAAAAATTATCTCTCTAAATAAACTTTGATTGAGAAGAGATGACTTTCATTTTGACATGTGCATTATACCTGTGAAAGATTTTTTCCCTGAATGCTATGATGTTTGACCCCTTGACCTTGACCTTCGATTCATGTGTGACCTAATTTCAAAACATTATTTTTTGTGATTACTGTGAATAACATACGATAGAGCGTTCATATTTGACATATATGCCATAAATAATGGCATCCCATCCACTAATTAAGACACCGAAAGCGTGGGGCCACAGTTCTTTAAATTTGCTTAATTGTAGCATTCACATTTTCAAAAGACAATGCCTTTACTTTCAGCATTTTTATGCATCCGTATGCAAAGATTCGCCTTAGTCCTGTCCGTCCGTCTGCCTGTTTGTCTGTTTGTCCGCAAAACCTTAGTTTAAACCATATTTTATTTGAACATGACAAGCAAGAAATACAGATAGGAAGTACTCCTGCAAATTCCATATACTGTTCTGACTAAATACGCAGAGTTAATTAAAGGCGGTCGGAGTGACCGACCAATCCAGTTTAAGGGGAAGTTTACCCCTGAACACTTGATATACCTCTGGAATTTCCGGATCCGTGTTTCATGCTCTCATATATTTGTATTGTTTGTATTCTTTTTAATCAGTCACTGTTGATAATAACTTCACTCTTTTTTCATTTACTGGAATTATTTTCGCTTATTAAACTTTTCTTGTAGTGTAGGAACAAACATGTGCCAGAGATTCATGTTTATCGGATCTCTTTTTCCATATTTAATCACAAGCAACCGAAAGAGCAAGGTTCAAGAAATGTCAGAAAAAGTAAAAGTGTTTACTTTTTAATTGCCAATGCAATCACTCTACCCTAAGTAAATGCGTATCTATCAAAAAACGAGGTAATTTTCTGGCTAGTGAAAGACATAACGAATTGCGCTATTTTTCCTATATATGAAATATGGCGATATCCAATCTCACAATCCATTTAAACAATACAAGTCTGGAGCTGAGGAAACACAGACCTCTAAAAACATCAGATTCCTGGGATCAGGTGCCAAAGAGGAGTTAGCATCTCCTGCCAAACGTGAAATGGCCACACCCGCCGTGTGCTTCTTGCCAATTATAAACTGGAAAAAAGAAACAGTTCAGTGCAGAACTGTAGCTCTCCGAAAAAAAAAATACTGAAAGACCGGAGAGCTACAGTGCCACCCATTGAAAAAAAAACCTGTATATTTATTGCGCACAAAAAAGTGCGCTGTTTCACGATTTTTATTTCTTCATGTTTTTAATAATGTCATCTCAAAATATTACTAATCGTGTGCTCCTAACATATTCTTTCACTGTTTCTACAACAACAAAAAATCATTATAATTGTTGTTTATAGCCCTCCTGGCCCTGAAATGGAGATCATCGAAAATTTCGTCATTTATACTGCCATTTTGGTTTGCAAGATAATTCCGTCCAACGTGCTTTGTGCATATGTCAACTACGAGAATACTTGATAGAAGAGTTTAGGAATTAATATCAATCAAGCTTTCTGGCACTTGAAATAAGAATTTGAGAGAATTAATCCAGAACCAAGCGCAACTTTCTGTGCACAATAAATATACAGTTTTTTTCAATGGGTGACACTGTAGCTCTCTCTGCCAAATTATATTTTTCGGAGAGCTACAGTTCTGCAGCTATTCAGTGTATAAATGATGGTCTTAAGATTAGATTGGACAATTTCCTTTGGCACAGTATTAATGCTGACAAGGTCATTGCATCGACCAAAAAAACATGCGAAATGATGACTGTATCACTGTCGTTTTTTCTTTGTTTCATCCAATTGTTTGTCAATAGCTTGCCCTGTTTAGAAATTGCTCATACGTAGAACATCCTCTTGCATATCGAGTCAACTGACCATTTGCAGATGCTAAGAGTATAAGTAAGGAAAGTTAACGAAGGTGAAATCAACACGTTTATCATAAAGCTGTTTTTACTATTAACGCATTTTCTAGTAAAATATCCAAATATGAAATGGACTATTTAGCATTTTTTTAAAATTTCAAGCTCACTTGGATACTGGTATATCGAGTCGATATATGAATGAAAATAACCACTGCTAATCCATATAAATATTTTTCCTAAAACTAAAACAAGTCAAACTTTAACCTATTTTTCCCAATATTTTGAATAGAGGGTAACCTCTGATTTAAAAAATGGAATTATAAAATATTATACCAGGTATGGTTTCTGTAGATTACGAAATATGTTTTAGTTTTAGCTCACCGCAACGAAGTTGGAATTGGGGGAATATAAAACTGGCGTCGACCCAGGGTCAAGTACTTTCGTATCACAGGAGCATGGAAGATGCTTCTGCTAGTATGTTTCATATTGTTCCAGCTAGAAACAGATCTGTCAGCAAGGGTCCCGCAGAGGGACAGAAATCTAACAATGCAGCTTAATAGATGAGAATTCGACTTTGGAACTTAAAGAAATTTTTATCCAAATTTCTTTACGAAATTAATTTTTTGAATTTAAAAACGGGAGGGGGCGTAACATACATAAATGTAAGGAAGCACACTACTAGAATTAGTAAATAGTGGGACTTTGCCTAAAAGTATCTTAAAGACAACATTCATTACAAACTTGGAAAAAATACTAAATTGCTAATATATATATTTTAACTGTAAACTTCTAGAGCTGCAGTCTCGTCCAAGACATCATAACTGTAGTCTCTGTTACAAACAACCAAAAACAAACATATTTTTATCGTTATTTGTTTTTTATTTTGTTTAATTTCCAAAAAAAAAAAGAACTAGAACTGTCCAATAGGGACAAATACCCCCCGCTGGGTTTTTCAGAGAAGGTGCCAATTCAAAAATACTTTATGGATCTAGAGGTGTTCACAATTTACTTACAAAAAATTGCAGTGAAATACAATTGCTCATCATGTTTCTTAATGAATGAAACAAAGGTGCAACCAAATGAAACATCAAAACTAATACATTGTAATTCCATTGTAACATTTCGTTTTAATTTTTTCATTTTATTTTTTTTTTATTACTGCATTAAAAAAATATATTGCAATTATGTGTTACGTCACTCTGCAAACTGATTGTTGAAAAAAACCATTATACAAAATCAAATTAATCTTGATATATCAATTTGAAATGCATTTTGAAAATAAAGAGCTGGTCATCCAGTAATGAAGTGCTTTGACAGACAATAAATTACAATTAAGAGAATAAGAGAAGAGAGATCTTTAATTCTTGTGCCTTATTCCCTGGAGATAGATAACACACACACTTGATAAGAGATATGCCTTAACAACTTCCAACACCAAACTCATTAATTTATCTTTAACTGGATGCATGTCCAGTCATTATTCCCAAGAGACAAATGAAATTACATTATCTTCTGTGCAATGTAAAAACTGTTTTTAACACTTTATGATGTTTCTTTTTTTAAGTTTTTATGAGTAGTTTTAAGCTGTAGTATTTTTGAACAGATATTCTAGATTCTATATCTCAAACCTTATACATGAACCCAAAATGAACAAGTCAATTAAAATAAAAAATAAAACCTGTAAAATGCAAAAAAAATTAACAAAAAGAGTTGAAAATTCCAGGTGCACACCTTCATATGGTGAATAATAAGTGTACAAATTTTCAGATTAATCCTTGCAATAGTTTATGAGAAACGGTCCAGACAAAACCACAAAATAAAAATGAAAAAACACCTGTAAAATTCAAAATAATAATCCAATCAAGATGAAAATATCAGGTGCACAACTTCATATGGTGAATAATATGTGTACAAATTTTCAGACAAATCCTTCCAATAGTTTCTGAGTAATGGTCCGGACAAAATCTCGTCTACAGACAGACAGACAGACGGACAGACGGACATGGTGATTCCAATATACCCCCCCTAAACTTCGTTTGCGGGGGGTATAAAAAGAAGAAGAAGATATAACAGGTCAATTTAGCCCATGAAGACTTGTGTTGGAAGGGAAATTTGGCTAAAAGAGTAAAATGCAATTTCTCCTTCATCTACAACTGCCCAGTGAAGCGGAACCTCATCATCATAGTAACTAAAGATGGAGGTCAAAGTGGACAAGGATGGAGGGTCTTCATCACTTCTGAAAAACATTGATTTACGTTGTATAAATTCACACTGGTACTATTCTGAGATTTATTTCATGAAATCTTTTTAGTTTGAGAGCATGTGCACTAGGTTTCATATATAAAAAAATATATATTTATAAATATATATATATATATATATATATATATTTTGGCATTATTAGCGAGGGTGCTAACATCACTAAGATTTAATATCGCTAAAAATTAATTGCGTATTATTTGTAATAGCTTCTATAGTTAGCATTTAAAAATCGCTAAAATTACTTCTCACTAAAACAAAAGGCCCATGGGCCTTATAGGTCACCTGAGCATTATGCAACAACTTTCCAGTGATTTAATTTGATTCATGTTTTAAGCCAGATGCTATGGCGTTCACAATTTTGAAAGAGGCACCATTGATCATCATAACAATACACTTAGCAGTTGCTTAGTTTGTAAGTATCAGTAATATTCAGCAATAATCAGTAATGCCCCTATCACACATGAACCCCTGACCCTTAGGCCTAGATCCACACATTGCACAATTTTTGAAAAAGCACCCTTGCTTTTCAAAAATATTTGATTAATACCAAGGAGCAGATCTCAAACAATTCATCCAGTTTCAGTGTATAAGTACCCCCCCCCCCATGGTACCCCCTGACCCTGGGGCCTTGAAATTCACAATTCTGGAAGATTGGGTCCTTGCTCATCATAATCACATAGGTAGTTCATCTGCTTAATACCCAAGAGCAGAGAAGAAAATTTTCAAAGATTTAATGTATTTTCACTATATAATCAATAGAGCTCCGCCCTATCACTAGAACCCCTGACCCTAGGGCCATAAAATCAAAATTTTGGAAGAGGTATTCTTGCTCATCATAACTATGTACTTAGTTTATTTAATTCCTAGGAGCAGAAAAGAAATTTTTTCAAAGATTTCATGTATTTTCATTATATAATCAATAGAGCCCTGCCCTAACACCCGAACCCTGACCCTGGGGCCATAAAATTCACAATTTTGGTAGAGGTACTCTTGCTCATCATAACTATGCACTTAGTTAGTTTATTTAATACCCAGGAGCAGAGAAGCTTTTCATAAAATTCATGTATTTTCACTATATAATCAATAGAGCCCCGCCCTAACACCAGAACCCCTGACCCTAGGGCCATAAAATTCACAATTTTGGTAGAGGCACTCTTGCTCATCATAACTATGTACTTAGTTAGTTTATTTAATACCCAAGAGCAGAGAAGAAGATTTTCAAAGAATTCATGAATTTTCACTATATAATCTATAGAGCCCCGCCCTAACACCAGAACCCCTGACCCTGGGCCATAAATTCACAATTTTGGTAGAGGCACTCTTGCTCATCATAACTGTGCACTTAGTTAGTTTATTAAATACCCAGGAGCAGAGAAGAAGAATTTCAAAGAAATAATGCATTTTCACTATATACTTATATAGCCCCGCCCTAGCAATAGAACCCCTGACTCCAGGGCCATGAATTTCATAATTTTGGTAGAGGACTCAATGCTGATTACAATCATGCAAACAGTTTGACTGCTTGATGTCCAGGAGTAAAGAAGAAGATTTTTAAAGATTGCATTAATTTTAGTGGTTTTTGCCCCACCCCCCAGGGGGGCAGGGACCATGAAATTCACAATTTTTGTTCCCCTTCACCCATAGATGCTTTGTGCCAAATTTGGTTGAAATTGGTTCAGTGGTTGCAGAGAAGAAGCTGAAAATGTTCAAATGTTAACGGACAATTCACGATGACGGACGAAAACAGATAACAATAGGTCACCTGAGTTTACTCAGGTGACCTAATAAAATACCACAGTTAGGTTGAAATCGCTAAATTTGCGTCTCGCTAAAATTTCCACTTATACAGTATGTTAAAATAATTCTTTATTACACATCATCCTTGCAGTATTAATTCAATGATATCTATGAACAAAATATATTTTTACCAAATTAAACTTTATGGTAAATATACATCAATAATCTCCTTTACATTACTTCCATGCAATGGTACCTTTTCAAGATAATTTTTTTTAAACATTTTTATATAGAGTTAATAAGGAAGGTACTAAATTTTAAAGAAAAAAAATAATGTAGAAATGCCAATAAAGATTACCCCACAACACAGATTCTGTGATCAGGTACTCCTGGATTAGACTTCCTAAACTTTGCATCAGGCTTGTATACATCATATGAGACCTTTGGAATTTCTGGTTTTGCTGCAGTGCTTCAATTTAAATCAAAAACATACTTGAATGCCCTGTTCACATGGAGAGTTTAATTTGCAGCAAATTAATGTGAAGTAAAATAATGCGAATCAAAATTATGCAAATTAAATTGCATTCACACAACATCTAAAGCAAAGCACAGCTCCAGAGAAGGTGCGTATTTGCAGAAATACGCATTAAATTTTACAAAATACGCATTGAAAATTAAAATAGAGCATACAATTACGCATTAGCAATCATAGATACGCATTACACCACGAAAGTACTGCGTACAAGTTGAAGAATACAGGTACGACTTAATTAATGATACGAATTGAGGTTAACTCAGTGTTTGATTTTTCTCAAAACGAAGTACAGATTTAAAAAGCCTTTTAGTGACCAGGAATATTCTAGTAATGACGACGATGATCTCCATTTCGGGAGGAAGAATCGGAGATTTAAATTAAAATCAATTTCCATGTAGAGAGACTATGCACTAGGCATAACCTTTTTTTTATTATGGATTCATAGCCAATTTTTCATCTCTCTCAACTTACCATATTAACGAAGATTCTTTCAGTTTACTCTTGATACGATATCTTTAAATGAAGGAAAAATTATCTGTGTCTCTGACTCTATCTTACAGTGTACCTTGACCTACTGTATAATCTTCCTTTTCAAAAAATAAAATCTTAGTCCAAAGTCTTGTTGTTATTTACAAAATTTATTTAAATAAATGCAGGAACTGACCTTTGAAGTTTTTTCCCTCTTCAAAAACTCATACTTTGATTACAAGCTCAAAATAAAGGTCAAAACATTTCTATATAAACAAAATACTCTTCAATCATTTTGCTGAAAATCAAAATCTGCATTGATTTGAAAATCAGGGAGTAAATACACTTTGGGGTAAAAAATTATCTGGAGCTCTGGCAAAGTAAACTAATGCAAATTAAATTTTCATTTCTACAATAAGGCTATTCAGTAAGGCAATTATGAATTCCTTTGTAAATCACATCACTTTATTGCAGAGCAGATCCATTTGACATAAAGTCAAAGTGTCTGTATACACATTTTAGTGATTAACACAATTTTCCCTAGTTTTTCACATTTTAAAATGGCACAAGTACCTAAACCTGACCACTCTCAAGTGGCATTGGACTTAATTTTGCCTTTACGCATGTGTCAAAATTTAACTCAAATTAGCTTTGATTGGCATTCACGCGGAGCTAATGCGAAGTAAATTTATGTGCAGTAAATTAATTCAAATTAAACTAATGCATTAATCTCTCTGTGTCGACGAGATTCAAATCTAATTCGCATTAACTTATGTTTAATTTGAATTAAACTCTCCGTGTGAACAGGGCATAAATCTTGAAACACATTAGTAAAATATCTCTATCAACTACCAATCTGCGTTGGTAATTATAATTGGCTTTAAACAAATCTGACTCACTTGTTTGAAGAAACTGATTTATTATCCCATGTTTGAATCACTTTGAGCTTTTCCAATACTGAAACTGCAGATGAAAAAAAAATCCACATACACATTTTTTTGCATATCTAAGAATAAAATTTATGGCATTAGGAGAAAATTATTTCAAAAAAACTTATTATATGAATAATTGAATGAATTACTTGTGTTTTTAGCATCTCCTGGTCTTACAAGGGGGGTAACTTCGTCCATCCAGAGATGTTCCACTGGAGAAATGAAGTTCTCTCCCTTCACAGTTTCCAGCATTTTCTCCTTGTACTCTCTCCAGTTAGAGGCCGATACTTTTTTGACAGGTTGAACCACATCACAGGAAAAAGTCAAGTCAAAAAAATCAAGATCCTGTCCATATTTTACTTTGGAATTTTGAAATTTCTGTGATTGTGTTCTCTGCTTGAAGAATTGTTCTACATCAACCTTAACCCTAGATAATGGAGGGATTCCTTCTGGTAGATATCTCTGTGGAATTTCCTCCAGCTGAAGATCAGCAAAACTGTCAATATCACTTATATCAGGGAACTTTATCTCCTCAAAATTCCACACACTGTATCTAGTGGCTTTACATTCTCCATCCTTTTCCCCAATATCAACATCATTGCTGTTGTTGCCCATGGATTCTTCAAAGTTTTGCTGAACTTGACCTACCCCAGTTGCTTGAAAATTCTTTTTCTCCTTTTCTTTAACTGTTAAATTATCAAGTCTACCCTTTACACCTATATGTTTGTTCTCCAGGTCATCTGACTCTACAACTGAATCAGATGCGTCGTCCTCCATGGGCTTACATGTATTAGGAATTTCTCTCAGTTGTGTCTTTGAATCTTCAGAAGACTCCCCATTATCAGAGAGTCTGACTTTTTTCTGTGGTGTATCTGCTGTCTCTTTATTTTTTGTTGCTGTAACCTGAGTCTTCTTTCTCTTTTTTAGGTTGATATGCTTGTCCAGCTTAATCATCCGTTCATACTTAGTACTCAACAACCTTAAAATATAAGAAAAAAAACAGATTTATGCTTAAACCTGTTTCCAAGCAATAGAAAGTTTTGTGTAACTATCTTTCTAGAGAGAATTTCTTATCAGTCTTCAATACACTTCACTGGGAGAAATCTATGCATTGCAGTGTTGGTATCAAATAAACAACTGAATAAAAAACAGTTTTGGGGGGGTTTATAGTGTTTGCCCTGACCGTCTGTCTGTCTGTTTCTCCACAAAGTTGTGCCATGACATGTCTTACCTCCCCTGATGACGAAGCACCACATATCCAATCCTTCTAAGATGAGCATAAACTAGGTACTCCTCAAATCGGAAATTTTTCAGGAATTCTGTGTAAGCTTGTTGAATACTGACAGGTAATCCTTTATAACACACTTCTAAAGTGTTCTACAAATTTGAAAATAGTCATCAATTCAATATGTCCTCCAAATTATTTCTCACAAAGTAAAACAACTTAAAATGTTACACAGTTACACATCAGGAAGCTAGGAATAAATTTTTCATTGTCCGTCTAAATGGACTTGACATTGAATCAAAGACATTGTAAAAAAAAAATTAGAATCCTTTACATAAACATTTCTACTCTATGTTACATACTGTCAAATTATTTTGCTTGCCTATGAAGAACTCATTTTCCCGTACATGAAGTTCTAAGCTCAAAGTCAGAATTAATTTTAAAATCTGTCAAGTACATTCTGTAACATAGTTTTTGCAAATGTAAATACACATACTTTTGTATGATTTACAATGAATTTCATAGATGTAGATATGAATTATTGATATCCCCATAAACTCCTGATAAGCAAGTTTCATTACATTAGTACACACCGTTTCCATCAAAAACAGTGCCTCCTCTGGGTACAACCATTTCCTGCTTTTGTCTGAGAACCCCATACAGGACCAAAATTTACCCTACAAAAGACCAATGTTTTAAACTATATATAGTTCATCAAGTAATGAACAATAGGAACAAAAATTTCTATTTTTCAGTATTCATTGCAACACCATTTACAAATATATTTTGCAAATTATGTATCTTGGTGAAGTTTACTTCAAGTATGTTCATGAACCAAATGCAAGTTTTACTGAAATCAGACAAAAATTAAGTAACAATAGCAATTCTATTTATTGAAATCAAAAGCAGTAAATAGAATTACAGCTGTATTAACATGATTAAGTTTGTTGTAGTTGACCTGTGTACAAAGTTTCACTAACCTTGGAATTAATGAAAAGACCCTAAAATCTAAAGAAACATTTCCTAAACATTGTCCATCTTATTATCAAATGTATTTTTTTTTATCAGAATTGTGATATCAAGAATCTTGACCTTCTCTTTAAACCATGAAATGTTCCAAATGTAATAAAATGTCATTTTTTATTTACTACAAATATGACATATGTTTTTTATGTAAAATTTCCTCCTAATACAATATGTTTTGTAAACATTTAACCTTTTACCCTGGTGCAAAATAAATGTTACTCTCTTACTTTATATGTAATTTATGTATGTTAATTATTGCTATGATGTTATTTTGCCTCATGTAATATATATTATTTGCTGTGGCTATTTATCTTACCTCCTCATGTAAATACATTTGAAGTAATTTACCATTTCTTTATTTGTATTTATTATTTCCTCCCTAGTCCAATGTACGTAATAAATACATTTGTAACAATTTACTTTTCCTCCTACTGTCATATACATTTATAGCTATTTATACCATTTCTTCCTTATGTAATACATTTGCTGCTTTTTACCATTTCCTTGTGCAGCTCCACAAGCTGCAACTGTGGATTCCATTCCCCAGTAACAAGACTCCCACTACAAAATAAATTGTACACAATGATTTTAAAAGTTAAAACTTCCCTCTAAAAATTGTCCAAATAACCACTTCAAGAAGCATAAGTTTTTACTTTTTCCTTGTGTCCATATTTGATTATGACATCAGTTAAGACAAATAACAACATTGAAGCACAAAAGAGAAGACACACTGCAAAGACACAGTATAGTCCTTTGACTCGCCACCTAAAATATACTGAATGATCATACTACCCTGTAAATATTTTGAGCAGTAAGTATCAGCTTAGTATAATAATTATAATTTTTTTCCTTGTCACATTTTTTGCTCATTTGAGTGTTGACTCACATTCTTTCTACCCTTGGTTCTGCTAATACAGCTCTTCTTTCTTCATAAAACTTTTCCAGTCTTTTGGCCTGGAGCCAGGAATCATCCGGTGAGAAATCCTTATCCCCTCCCCGCTGGGGAACTGTCTTGTCTGTTGGCTTCCTGTGCTTGAAAAGTTCTTCATCACTGAAACAAATTATACAAAAAAGTGAGGACTGACCTCTGTATACATTCCTAGTTCTCATGTAGGTCATTTGAACAAGAATAAATCATTTATACTATTTGTCAGGTTAACAAATTATACAAAGGAAACAATAAATCTTGGGTTTTTATGCCCCAGTAATCAAAGATTTGAGGGTATATAGTTTTGCCCTGTCTCCACCCCTCTGTATGTTTAGCTGTTTGTCTGTCAAAAAAACTTAAACCATGCCCATAACTTGTGAGTGGGTGGAACTATTGTTTTATTATTTCCTATTCCTTTTGACAAAACCTTTCTTTTGGTACCACCAAATTTGACCTCATGACCTTGACCTTGGAGTTTGACCCACTTTTACCAAAAATTTTAACCATAGCATAACTTTTTGAATTGTTAGCGCTAGGGTTTTCATACTTCATATTTAAATAAACTGTGACTAGACCTTTTCATTTGTTTAAAAAAAAATTGATCTTTTGACCTTGTCCTTAGACTTTGGCCTACTTTATAAAACTTTAACCTTGAGTATAATAACCATAATGTTTGAACTGGGGTTTTCATATTTCACAGGTCTATTCCTTGTGACAACACCTTCCTTTAGACACCAACAATTTTGACCTTGATCTTAGAGTTTGGGGGAGGCTTATAATGTTTGATTAGTGTTCATCCAACTTCAGTGTGTCCCCAAAAATCAACACTTGTCGAACTAGGAGTAACAATGGCAAAAATTTACTTGTCAGAAACACTTTTCATTGGCACTACGTTACCTTCAGTTCTTTAGAGATGGTCAGACTTAAGCCATGGTTGTAGACTAAATGTGCCTGCCTATTTCTCTGAAGGGAATGTTCCCTAGGCTATCATGCCAATGTAAGCACACATGTACTAAATATAAGGACGAACAAAGAACTTTACAATCAGACTATTCGACTAAGTAAATGTACACTGCACTGTAAAGTTAAAAACTTCAACTAAATGGTTCATATTACCATAAGACTTTGTCACTACACAAATGGTTGTGTCCAATATTTTGTTCTTGCTTGTTTTCCCGGGATTCCATGTTTCATACATCATCGGTTTCCTAAAATCAAATAAACGCTTGAAATAAGCAGCATTGACATCAATATAACAGAAGAAATTTGACCCTGATTATCTCCTTCATGCGCAGGCGCATCTTGCAAACATTTTTCAATGGAGGAATGTCAATGTAAACTATCCAAAACAGCAACAAGTTGAAGTCATAAAAAACAGATTTAAGCAACGAAGCAAACGCAGTAATGGATAGTAAGTGATTTCTAAAGAGAATTTTTCAAAAGGGGAACAAATTCAAATGAATTACATGTATACCACATCCAATTTTTAATTTTGAATCCTAAAAACAGAACCCAGTAAAACATTGCTTATGCTTATAGTTAGTAAACCGGACAAGAACTTTGATTTTAATCATTTAGGTGATATTCGGATTGCCTTTACCTAAGGTAGCAAGATGGTTCCACTCTATATCAGTATGCACAAAGAACGAGTTCTTAACTTGGTCTGTCTTTGCGTCAGGTATTTCTACTGCTCTGCTGTTGTTTCTTATCCTACTATATATTATGTTTGATGTTTGGTAAACTTCGTACAGTTTGGGTCTGATGTTTCTTTTCTGTTTTTGAAATTTAATGTATTGACTGGGTGCAGTGGCTGGTATCTGCCCCTCAACCACTTTATAGAAAAAGATCAGACGTTGTTGTTGACGTCTTGTTTCTAGTAAGGGAAGGTCAAGGTCTTTGAGCATTTTTGTCGGGTAACGGGATGTTTCGCACCGATGCATGGTTCGCACTGCAATGTTTCGCGCCAAATCTGTTTTGCGCTGAGATGGTTCGCCCCGTGATGTTTCGCTCCAAGAACATAAATGTATGCTATTTATTTCGTTCGTTTTTTTTTTTGGTTTTTTCTAAATGTATTATAATATTTGTAAATATTGATGTAAGTATCGAGATTTTGTAGAATATTAATTAATTTTTTTTAAATTGTAGAAGTTTATTTGAAGTACATGTACTTTTTTATAGTCTAGTAATTGTATATTATTTTTACACTCTGATAATTAGGTTTATAGTAGTTACTTTATCATACCGCCATCTAATTAAGTAATTCTGTAATAATTGCTGGCTTGGGGAACCTTTTGATCTCCAACTAATTACAATTAAATTGTTGAACACACACGCTGAGAAAACGCGGGCACCATATTAACATTTACGATCCGTTACCCGTGTCACCGCATATCATTAAATCATGATTTTGAGCATACAACACATATTTACATCTAAGATTTAATACATGATCTTAAATTATTACAAGATAAATGAAATATTAAAAAAAGAAGGGAGATGTTTTGCACCGAAATCGGCGCGAATCATCTCAGCGCGAACCATCTCAGTGCGAAACAGAATCGGCGTGAAACATCCCGGATTCCTTTATCATTGTGCCCTCTTCCCTTGATTTATAATCTTTTGTTATGAATCTTGCACCTCTTCTTTGGATGGATTCTAGTTTTGTTGCTTCTTGTTTGGTGTATGGATCCCAGATGACAGCTCCATACTCCATAATGGATCTTACCAGTGCAATATATGCAATTTTTCTACATTCCCTTGGGCAATGTTGTAAGTTCCATTTTAGGAAGCCTGAGGTGGAATTGGCTTTTTTTGAGATGTTGTTTATGTGTTCTTTCCATTTTAGATCTTCTGATATTTGGAGTCTAAGTAGGGGTTTCATGCCACTTGTTCTAAGGTGTGGTTCTCAAGGGTGTATTGGCGGTTTATCTTTTTTACGGTGTAACCATTGGGGCGAGCGCAGTTGTACCTTCAAAAATACACCTGAAACGTTGATCGGCCACTTCAAGCGTCAAGTGGCATGAGACATCGAGACTGTGACGTCACTCAAGAACTCATCAGGGTTTACGGAAACAGCCGGGCTTCTAGTTGAAACTATAGACCTAGAGCAATTTTTGTCGAAAGACATTGAAGAGTTATTTTGTATTTCTTTTAAAGATTTCTACAAACTGAAAGCTTTTTATGCTTTACACTATTATTTATTTGCGTAAAGGGCATTGGGTAGCTAAGGAATTCTGGGAAGGTTTCACAAGAAAATTTGCCTGACGTATGTACAGATTTCAATTTTCATTCCGAATATCCTGTTCTAACACGTTAGTCTGAGTCAGTTGAGCTTGCTGTTACTAGATTCTCATCCCTACCTGCCCCAAATTTTTACCCCCACCTCAATTCTTTTATTTCCGTTTTTTTCCATCTGAATTTTGATCGTTATTCAAATACCATTCAACTTTCCTTTAAAATCCTGCGAATGTCGGCATGATTTTGACAGCTGAAAAGATGGAAATTGCTTTAGTATATATTAAACAAAGGTTATTGGTTGTGAAAGATTGGTGATGATGTTTAGTAAGAGTATAATGGACCTCTGTTATGACTTTTATTCAAGTACAATTGATAATTCAATTGATAATTCTAATTTTAAACTCTTTATTTTGAACTCATAAATTTTATAAGTGTTATGTCATTGGTAAGCAAAAAAGTCAACAGGTGTCTGTTGTTTTATAGGGTCAGGATATTCTAAGAAAAAGGTTCCTTCTGAAGAACAAAAAAGAAATTTACAGGTAAGTTTGAGACCTTCTTATGATTTTTCAGTGGTCATTGACTTATTGTAAACACTTAGTATCTCACGGCTACTCACGGGTACTCACTTTGTGATAAAAAAAATTAATGAATTTCATTTTTACACTGGTTGTTAATACATTTTAGACTTTACAGAAACTGTTCCAACAGAAACAAATTCTGATAACATATACATTTTAATTGGAGCTTATAATGCAAGATTTTTTGGCAAATAAGGAGTGTCAGATACTTAAATTGCAGAAAATGGAACTTTGTTTGAAAAGTTCCTGTCACTGATAAACAAATTATATTAAATTAACATTTATTTATGATTTTTGTTAGAGTAAGCACGGAATTGATATAATTGAACAATATACATTGTACATGGTATTCTCTTTTTAATGTATGTAATTTTTTTCCTGGGTAAAAGCTTTGTATATTGATATTTTCTTTTTGAATTTGTATGTAGAAAGCCGCCATGCAAGAAGTGTTACCTGGGTACGAGGATTACCTAGTTTTGTTACAGGAGAGAAACAGGTAAAAAATGTTATCTAGGTCATGTAGGTATGCTAAAAAATCATTAATTTCAGGAAAGAATTAATACAAGGATATTAGGGTTACATAGTTTTGTTTAAGGACAGAATTGTTTTAATACAAATATTATCTGTAAATAAGACCATCTTGAAAAAAATATTAGCTTGCTCTCTATTAACTGAAAATTTTAAAATTGTATGTGTATGTGGGGAGGGGGGTCACACCTACTTAACAACCCAATTTTTTATCCCAATTTTATTCCCAAGGCGAGAAAGTACAGACAAACATTATATTAATGATGCTTAATGTCTTAATATAATAGCTGTTCACGTATAAATAAAGATATTTATATTTTTCTTAATTGTACAAGTACTTTTCTTCTTGCAGCATTGACTTCTATAAGTAGATCTAAGTAAAATGTTCCAAGCATTTTTAATTAAAATACTGGTATTTATTATATACCTAATGTATATCACTCAATTTTACTGTTGAATTTACGTTATCACGTGACGTCGTGATCCGACTTTCCGGATCACCACACTGTGGTTTTCTGAATCCATATCACCACTCTCTGAAACTGATGACGTAATACGCAGAAACATGACGTTATTTTTTAAAAAGTCCCTTGTTATTATGCTTTGTTTTATGGATAAATATTATACAATTGATCTCTAAAGTTTTCTTTTGCCATATTTAGCTAGTTATAAGTGGGTGTGTAATAAATTTATCATTATAACAGTAACTTGATCCAAAGAGCTGTATCACATCTTGTTGACAGGTGTGGATCATCAGATCAAACTCGACTCTTCGTGTCTCGTTAGATATGATGATCCGCGCCTGTCAACTCTATATTTATGTTTTAGACTGCTGAAGAAAATGAGGAAGAAAAGTAAGAAACAAATTGATAACGAAAGAAAAGAACAAGGTTTCTCTATATATGTGAGTGGTGCCAATGCAGGAAAACAGAAGCAGAGAGTTTCTTCTCATCATGAGGAAAGAACTGACTCACCAGAGCCAATAACAGAGAGACAGAGACTAAAGACTGCTGGGGGTAAACAAAATCACATTAATATACTGATTGTAGGGCTCAAAATGTCTATCAATAATTAGATTATGATTCTGTTTGAGTGTTGTGGCATAGCTACTAAAACATGTGAAAATATTTCAGATTGCTTCTCCTTCAATAGACAATTTTGAATTTATTTAAAAGATAAAGGAATATCCAATTCATTAAATGTACAAAAAGTTTTCTAGTCAAGTATGACTTCTTTCTTCATATATTATAAGTAGGGATGTCAAATCGGTCAATTTTTAATACTCGGTTACTCGGACGTTTTTCCGATCGAGTACCCGGGTACTCGGTAAAAGTCTAAATAAATATGAACAAGTTAATTGATAACTGTAAAACATTGAAAAAAAACCACATGGTCTGATGGGAGGCTTACCTGTTAATGTGTTGTAACAATTATGACAACTTTGTGCCCGACGAAATTCAATCTAACATTTTTTTAAAGTCCAATTTATTTATCAGATAAATACGAGAAATAAAATCATAAATGGCTCACAGTGGTTTTGTTTTTAAAAAAATAATCTGTACCCTAATTGTAATGTAACTCTATCAGTGCGTTTGACGTATAAGTGATAAGTCGTCAGAGCTACATGTACAGTATCAACTTGATCAAGTTCTAACGGAGCGGATTTACGATCTTCGTACACTTTTCGATCATTGATTTCATTAAAATTACGAGACGGTATGTTGTAGTTTGGTACAACGATGGACATAAGATTTTTAATACCTTTGGATTCAACCATTTGCATTAATTGGCACGTAATCAAACGCATCCATTCAACAATTCAATATTGTCTGTCTCTTTCCCCGAGAATTTGGAGAATTGACAAAATTATCTAATTTATTTAAACATAATAGACCTTAAACGATGTTCAATGAAAACAAATAATTAGAGCAAACTAAACATAAGGGTAGAAGACAGCCGAAGGTGAGAAAAGCCAGGTAGGTAGCAGGTGCTTGGTCACGGTAATTACTGTATAAACACTGCCACAGGCGACAACAGTCATTTGGAGGCTCAGGAAACCCTAATTACTGTATGTACAAGTGCAATGAACATTTTTCGTTTAAAACCGATATTTTAATGCATAAATAAATAAGCTTAGAAATATTTTAAATATACATCCGAGTAACCGAGTACCGATTTTAGTATTCGATACTCGGACGTTCGATCGAGTACCCGGTTAACCGGGTACTCGTTGACATCCCTAATTATAAGTACAAACCATTAGAACTACACACTCACTGGAGATGTCTGCTTGTGGTTGATTAAATAAACAAGAAACTACAAATGTTATATTTATGATAGAAAAGAATGAGCTAACTGTCTGCAAAGTTGCACATTTATCAAAAGAATTTATCTTTTGCCAAACCATATATTTTCCTTGAGCAAAAATTAATGAAACCGTAGTAAATACAAATTTGATTTTTAAAAGGATTACACGGTGACTTCTGGTTGTAGATGTGTCTCAGAAAAGAGTTATTAGTCATAGAGATCTAGAAGTAATAGCTGCAGAGGAGAAAAGAAAGATGGAGGAGAAAAAGCGTGTAAAAACGGCTCCAGCTCGTGAACGCCGGAGGAACTGGTTAGCAGGATCAATCAACATTAAAACAGAGCGGGGAGAAAAATGTCGCCTAAAGGCACCAGGTATATAACAGAGAAATTTTTTTTTTAAATACATATTCGTGATTAAAATATTAGCAACACTTAATTGTAGCATTACCAGAACCATCCCTGTTTGTAGCAAAATTACATGTTTGCTAAATATTCCCACTTTAGGTATACACATGTACATTATGTAAATTTTATAGCACTATGGGAGGCAGTTTTGATAAGTTTTCCTTCATCACAAACATAGATTTTCTGATGTCAGTTTTTTCTCTGTACAGAGATAGTGACAGGGAACTATGAGGATGATTTTGAGGACAGTGAGGAAGAGGTGGGTGACAATAAACACTCAAAGGTTGTTTTCAGGGATTTATCAAGGCCGTTTTTACTACCGGTAAACGGTACCTTTCCCCTCTTGAAAAAGGTGGTTTTCCGATTAAACGGAGAATATTTAAAACATCGTTCTGAAACGATTGAAGTTTTACAGCTAATTTACCATCCTAGTCATTCAAACGCTTTTAAAAGAAAGAATATATTATTCAAGCTTTTATTTGATATTGATCAGTAAACATGTGCCAAGTCCATGATGTCGAAAGATACGCGTGCGATTGCAAGAGTTAAAAAGAAAAGTGTAGATGAGTAAGATGGAGCTTATATCACTATGAATTTGGAGTAACAACAAAAACAATGTTAGTAGTGAAACATGAAAAACAGAACTGATTTGTGATAGATATTTAGAGAAAAAATTAAATAAAGTCCTGACCTGGTTAAATTTTTTTTGTGTGTGTTATTTAGTATTTTGCCTAAAAAGTGAAGTTTTTGTGGCCTTTGTAAAGGTCTACAAATGACCCTCAGAAGCTCTAAGAATGCAGGATTTTGCTCCATTTATTTAAAAATTTTCCGGGGGGGCATGCCCCCGAACCCCCCTAGAATACTCGCGCCTCCGGCGCTCAGATCGAGCCTGCGGCTCTCATTTTCCCCTTTACATATAAAACGGTAGTAAAACAAAATAGCTAGATAAATCCCTGGTTTTTTGTTCTACCATTACAGAATACAGTAGTCTTTTTGGAAATTTAAATTTATATATTTGTTTGAGTTTTTTGGTGTAAAATACTCTATCACAATTGATCATTATTATTTAATTTTATGTACTAGGAAGAAAAATCTGAGATTTATTAAAAGAAATTTATTGTGTTCTGATTCAATATAACAGTGAAGAACATAAATTTCAGTTTAATTCAGCTGGTGAAGATGATGATTCTGACAGCGAGATAGAAATTGATGCTTCCAAATTCACAAAATCACCAGTAAAAACTTCCCCACCTAAGAATGTACCCTCCAGGACAGTAAAATCAGCACCAGCTGCTCAACAGAGAAAACCAAAAGTAGCTAAAAGTAAACCCCCACCACCCAAATCAGAGTCAGAGTCTGAAGAAGAGAATGAAAAACTGATGCTGAGTATAGCAGATGTCAAGGTAAGCAGTGTGTGATTCTGTGTGTGTTGATGGATGGGGGAGGAGGGGGATATAGCAATCAGGTGAATAGACAGTGTTAAGTATACACATATACATACATGTATACAGTGATTAGGGGGTAGGGGAATTGAGATTCAGCTATCTTGGAAGGAGAGGGTTATTAAGCAATTAGGGGATCAAGTAAGTAAGAAGGGTCAAGGGTTATCAAGCTTTGTTCAGATATGGCAATGATGCAGGAATCATTTAAGCAAGCAGTAGATGGGAAGTGGGGACCTAGTGGAAGTTTCTGATTATAAAACCTGATAAGGACCAATTTTAAGACAAAGTTAAATAGTTTATAAAATGTAGTCATGTAGAAGATGGCAGTTAATTAAGTGTCATCTTTAAGAAATTACCCAACAGTGACCTTCTAATCCTAATTTCTGTGTTACAAAAGTAATGAGCTACATAGAAACATGGAAGAAATATAATCATGCAGTAGAAGTTTAACTTCAGATGCATTATTAAATACCACAGTAAATGGACTTATAAAACATTCAATTCAACAGGGGAGATAATATTGTATTATGCATGTCATTTTAGAAACTTCGACAGAGCCTGGCAATGAACAGAAGCATTCGTGAAAGTTTGGCCAAGGAAGTTAGCAGTGTAAGTAAGAATTAGTATAAATCATCAATTTAGTATTGATGCTGTTTTTTCACAGATACAGACAAATGAAGTTTATTATAAAAAAATTATTTATGAGATGAAGTTGTTTGAAGGACAAAATAACATGTCAGCATTAATGTAGGATCTATCTGATGAAGAAGAAGTTCCTGAATGCCTAGATTATAGTGGCTCTTCACAGGTGGAGTAAAGAATAACCATTGTACTTGCATGAACATATGTTTATATTGCAAGATTGTCTGCTAAGATTAAACATGAAGTACATAAATATGTGTCCAATATTTTGACACTTGCTTTACAGAAGTTAATAAGGATCCTGATAGGCAGATGGAATTGAATTGTAATTTAAATAATTTGTTTCTTTTTAATCTGTATGCAGCATACTGTCTTGCTCTTGTATCTTTTTTTCATTTTCTTTGTGTTTTGTTTTTGTTTTATTTTTGGTAACTTTGCTCATAATTTTGTGCATGATGTGGATGGAGTGAATGATAAACATGTATTTATATGTCAGAGTAATGGAAAAAAAAATCTCTGTTTTAAAGTAAAGATTGTGATTTCTAATGCTGTAACTTCTAGATGAGTGTATGAATATGTAAATGTTATAATGTTGGTTGAAGTCTCTAACAGAGAATTCCATATGCATATAAATAAATGATGTTGGTTGAAGTTTATAGAGAAAATACCTAAGACACTGTTTGTTTACAGGATGAGGGGGAGTCGGAGCGGGCCTCCCCGATCCCTGAGGAGGATATTGAGGAGGACCTGGTCCCAGCTATGGACAGTGTGTGTTTAGAAGACAAACAGAAATGTAAACCCTCTCCATTTAAACCCACAGACACAATTGTGTTAGAGCTAGAGGTCCCTCCCACCAAGAGTAAGTTGAATACATGGTTATCACGATGCTTTAATAGTATGCATATTTATCAAATGTGTATCTTGGGAAGTCTCTAATTAAACTACTTTCCCCTTTAAGAGTTTCAGGTATTTAGGAATTTTTATTTTTAGTAAATTCATAAGAATGCTATTTAAGGGAGATAATTCTGCTTATATAGTTGTATAATATACATGTATTGCAAATTCAAATTTAGTAATATTATCACCATCACTTAAAATGGGATCTTTTTCATTGCGAAAATTGCTACTTTAAGTATAGCTGTTAAATTACAAGGTAAGGGATATCGGAGCTAACATGTCATAATATTGCCACTGTAATTGTATAGATAAAGTCCAGAAGAATTTATCAGCTGCAAGGAAAAAAGACCTGGATGAAGATTTAAGTGAATACAAATCAAAAAGGAAAGAGCCTCCAAAACCCACAGCACCTTCTCAAACAAGTTAGTAACTTAGTTTCTTTTTCTTTTGATGTAGAATCAATTTACATAGGAATACTCTTTATGAATAAGAAAAGAATGTTGAATAAATTAAATTATTTACAGGTATGTCTATAAATTTCCTTTTGGCTCTTAAGATAACTTTTGAATAGTTTGTTACACAATTTGAAATGCATGTACAATACACTGTATTTCAGACCAAAAGAAGCCTTCCACCCGTCCCTTGTCAGCAAGTCGTATCAGCACTAGGACAGTGACAGACTCACAAGAAGAGGCCTCCGCAGTGTTAGAGGCCATGAGGGCCGAAAATGAGCAGGCCTCAAAACTCAAGAAAGAGACACCTAGAAAGCTACCACCAACTCCTAAACAGGTAAACAGTGTGGTATACTGTCACAGAAAATCCTTGAAACTGGAAAAGTTCATTTGAAATACTGCAAAACTTCATTGATGAATTTAGTGAATTACTTATGTATTCAACTCTCATCTCAAATTCAGCATGATCAATCTTTAACGTGTAGATTCAAGAGGGTTTGAAATTACTAGATAAGAAAAATGGTTTGGAATACCAATTCATCTCACCTTTTATCCCTGGTATTCAAATTATTGATGTCACAGTTTGAGATGAAGTTAAATGTAATTGTCAATATTTTCCCTTTTCCTATTTACCAATATCAAGAGGCAAGATCAAGATGTTTTAGACTAAGAAAATCCTCAACCTGTATAACAAAGTGTAAAGTATATGCACATTATTTAATTAATGAGTTTGTATTTCAGAGGCTCCGTCCTGCCAGTGCTGGTCACATTCCGTCCTCTCCACTTCCCTCTGCGGATATTCCGCCTTCTCCACGCTCCAGAAATTCTCCACGAACACCCGTCAAGGAAAGCCACCAGTCCACAGACGTAGGAAACAGTGTCAATGTACAGGACAGCTTCCTAGCCAATGACAGAATCTCAGAAGTCATGAAAAAAGTTCTCCTCATGCAACCAAAGTAAGGATGTACAGAGGGATTTAACTTTGTTGGAAAAAATGGTTATTATTGTGTATTTGAACTTTAAGTAGCAGTCAGTTGATATTTATAAAAGAAATTGTAATTTTTCTTTGTTATTAGTTGAATTAAAAAATAGTTCTGTAATTTACCTCCCCACCCTGCATTGAAAATGAAGAAAGAGGCTGTATATACTATGACTCTCTTACATGTACTTCATGTTGCAATTTTTAATCTTTAAATTTTTTTTTTTAGGCAGCAGAAAAGGTTGATGAAGGTCCTCAGTAAGATTGACACCTCTGTAGATGAAGAGGAGGAAAAGTCAAACCGACCTCCATCATCTAAACCAGTCAAGGCCACACGTCCAGTTAACGACATGGTCAACAAAAATACAAAGGTGAATTTTCATTCTTTTTTTTTTGCATAAATTGATTATTTGTTGCAACAATATTTTCAATTTACATTCTGTTTTGAAACATACATGTGTGTACTAGCCCAGTAATTCAGAGTCACATCGTTATTATTATTTGTCAAAACATATAAATTTTTTGTGATACACAGAGGTCGGTTGGGAAGTTTTCACCAAATGAAGACAGTATAGAAGTGAATCTTGAATTGACCTCAAATTGGGGTCACAAGAATCTGATTGGTCTGACAGAAATCCAGTTCTATGACATGGACAGACAACTCCTTCCTGTCCGTAAGGAGGAAGTCACAGTTCACGGAGCCTCGCAACAACAGAACTCCATTGATGTCTTGTTCAATGGAAAATCCAAGGTCAGTTGGAATGCAACTGTTACAATCACACATGTACTTAATTTTCAGAACATGTACATGGTAGATTTTTTCAAAATGTCAGTGAATTGTTACTCAAGAGATATAAATTATATGAGAAGTTGAGATTCAGTCAAGCCCAGCAGTATTTGGATTATCATTATCTTTTACAGACAAACAAGGAGAGAAATATGTGGTGCTGTAAATTTAGGAAATCTGTTCCTGTAGAGATCTGTTTAAGCCTTCAAACAAAGAAACCCCATACAGAGGTGTCTAGAATTAAAATCTGGAACCACAACAAGAGTATCACGGTCAGTAACCATTCTTAAGAATGAAAATAAAACTGTGTATATTTTTATATATGACTGTAGATTTCAAAAACTAATGTGATGTTTTTAATTATTAAATTTGTTATCATAATGTTCACTTAAATGGATTACTTTTTTAAGCTTATCAGTGAGCTTTTCTGAAATTCTGTAAACTTTTCACATTTTATCAAACTTGCCACAAAGTATCCTTAGGTAAAGGGGATAATGTTTCACTTGAAAAAAAATGGCATTTTTAAAAAAATCTTCTTCTCAAGAACCACTGGGCCAGGAAAGATGAAACTCATGTGGAATCATCCTCAGGTAGTGTAGATTCAAAAATCATGACCCCCGGGGTAGGGCGGGACCACAATGGGGAATCAAAGTTTTACATAGAAATATATGGGAAAATTCTTTAAAAATCTTCTTCTCAAGAATAACAAGGTCATGATTGATCATATTTATATGGAAGCATCCTCAGGTAGTGTAGATTCAAATTTGTTCAAATCATGACCCCCAAGGGTAGGGCGGGGCCACAATGGCCGACCAAAGTTTTACATAGAATTACATAGGAAAATTCTTTAAAAATCTTCTTCTCAAGAATAACAAAGCCATAACATAATTGGTCATATTTGAATGAAAGCATTCTCAGGTAATGTAGATTCAAGTTTGTTCAAGTCTTGACCCCGGGGGGGTAGGGCGGGGCTACAATGGCGGCCCAAAGTTTTACATAGAAATACATAGGAAAATTCTTTAAAAATCTTCTTCTCAAGAAAAGCAAAGCCATGATTAGTCATATTTATATTGAAGCATCCTCAGGTAGTGTAGATTCAATTTTGTTCAAATCATGTCCCCTGGGGGTAGGGCAGGGCACCAATTTTACATAAAAATATATAGGAAAATTCTTTAAAAATCTTCTTCTCAAGAATAACAAACCCATGATTGATCATATTTATATGGAAGAATCCCCCGGATTTTGTGGATTCAAGTTTGTTCAAATCACGACCCCCGTAGGTTGGGCGGGGCCACAATGGCCGACCAAAGTTTTATATAGAAATATACAGGAAAATTCTTTAAAAATCTTCTTCTCAAGAATAACAAAGCCATAACTGGTCATATTTATATGGAATCATCCTCAGGTAGTGTAGATTCAAGTTTGTGCCAATCATTCCATCTCTCCTTTAAGGAATGGTTGGGACCACTTTTTGGTTTAAACTTTTCAATAATAAACTAATTTCTGCTTTTATGCTAGCCACAATGCTCAGGTGAGCGATGTGGCCCATGGGCCTCTTGTTTCATACTTGTATTTTCAGGATTTGGATATTGGTGTGAAACATGCCCGGATATTTGTTGGTGGAGTTCTAGTTTTTGATGGCAATATTGAGAAGGGTTGTGGAAACCAGGTTTTTGATTATGGCTATGTGATATCACTGAGAGACAATGGTGATAAAATCTCGCCTCGTGACCCGGGAAACAGCCCTAGCCCTATCAGTCTTTCTCCCGTGATCCACACCCGATCTCCGACCTCCGACAAAGCCTCCTCACAGAGGAGGTCACAAACAACCCCCACCCCCTCCCCCTCAGCAGACAGTGCTCAAAGAAATCCATTTGAACAAGCTTTCATTAGGTCTTCCAAGTCAAGTGTGCAGTCCCCTTCTCCATCCCCCAGGGTGCCTCCGTTGGATCTCAGACAAAATGGACCCTCCCCATCCTCCGGGGATCGCCCAGTGATTCGCAGTGAGACACGTACCATGAATCATGCAGAGAGGGATATTCAGCGACCTGTGGTGACCTCTGACAGGTCAGGGTCAGAGGCCGAGGAGGGGCACCATAAAGGTAGGACTCAGATTGTTTCATACATAACATTCTGTCTCTTTTGAAAATTTATAAACCTTCCAAATGTTAAACCCACTATATTTAACCAGTTGTGCAAGAGAAAGAGCTTAGACATGGAAGGAAATTCTCATTTTACAATTGACACTGGCGTCTATTCTTTTCACTTCTTTTTAATCAGCAAGGTTAACATTCAAAATTATCTTGTTTATAAACTTTGATCTCCCTCTTAGAATTTTTTGCAGACATCATTTTTCAGCTATGAGTTGAATACCAGTTGTTAATAATTGTTGGCTCATTTTTATTTTGATGTATTTCATGCAATTGTATACAACTCCACATGGAAAGATAAAAAAAAAGAAAGATAATTGATGACCTATCCATTGATACACTTTCAAAATGAAGGCTAGAGGTACAAAAACAATTCTTTAAATGTTGACCTGATCTAAAAATTTGCAATTTCATTTTTCCAATGAAATACATGATAGAGAGCTCACTGAATTTCTTCCACACTTAACAAATAACAATTTGTGCATTAACCTGGAAATGTATAAAAGAATGAATTTAATTCGATCATAGACGTACATACAATTTTAAGGTGCACATACATAGAAATAATTTTAAGCCCAGCTGAGCAAATGGCAGATGTTAGCTTTTCTGATAGAAATTTGTACTTTTTTGGTTTTTGTCATCATTGTAAACTTTTTACAGTATCATCTTCTCTGTGCTAGAACCACTGAACAGTTTTGTACGAAACCTTGCACAGAACATCCTTGGTTAAGGGGCATTCAATTTTGCTCAAATGAAAATGAAATGGCATCTTTAGAAAATTTTAATGAAATGGCATCTTTAGAAAATGTTAAGAACTTCTGGATCAGAAAAAGTATAAAAACTTATCAGTGAAACTGTATTACATTTAGATTCAAGTTTCTTCATATCATAACCACAGGGGGTATGATTGGACCACAATAGGAAATTAAAGATTTACACAGTAATTAATTTATTTCAAAAAATCTTTAAAGAATAGCAAATGCTTGAATAATTAAAATGTTACAGAAGCATTCTCAGGTTTGTTCAGGCCATAACCCCCAAGGTTTGGGTAGGTCCACAACAGGGGATAAAGGTTTATAAAATAAAAATATAGAATAAATCTTTGAAATTCTTCTCAAGAACAGCAAGGAATGATTAGTCTTATAAATAAAAGCATCTGTACTTAAGAAGATTCAAGTTTGTTATAAATGACCCTGGTGGTGGGATGAGACAATCAAGCTTTTCATATCAGAATATTTGTATATAGAAAAATCTCTATTAAAAAAAATCTCAGAAATAGCAAAGGCATACTGGGTAATTAATCATGTAGATACAGAAGAATCCTCATGTCATACCAGAAATTTAAGTTTGTTTAAATCATGCCCCTCAAAGGCCACAGAAGGTGAGCAAAATTATATGTAGAACCATATAAGGAGGAAAATCTGCTGATAAAGAACAGCAGGGCCATTGTGACTTGGATCATTAGAGTTGTGGCCCTTTGGCCTTTTTCAGAAAGTGTCACTGTGTATGACAGTTGGAAGATGAAATATGGAAAGATGGCAAACATGTCATAGATTTAATGATCTTTTAGTCAGGCATGATATCAAGCCATTACTTTGCATTTCAAAAATTGAAATATAGTGGTCCTTTTATGAAAAAAAAAACTCATTTCTGAATTGTTAAAGGTGAATAGCTAAAGCTATTTTTTGCTTTATACCTCAGTCAGGAAAAGTATTCTCAGCAGCATCATTGTTAAAGCAAGGAAAAAGTAAGTCTCCTTATATAAAGATACAGCAGGGCCATCTTTTCTCTGTTAAAGGATATAAGTAAAAATATATAATTAAAATAAGGAAATGGGTTAACAGAATATTTTTCTTTCCTAAAGCTATTTTTTGCTTTCCACAAAATACCTCAGTCAGGAAAAGTATTCTCAGCAGCTAGTTCTCATTGTTAAAGCAGAAAAAGTGTTACTGTTAAAGGATATAAGTAAAAATATGACATATATTGAAAAGGGGACCATGAATATATCATATAAGCGAAATCGTGCAAACATTTTTACAAGTTCAATCCCGATCTAAAATAATGGAGAACAAACCCGAACAAATTATTTTTGTTATCGTTTATCTATAACAGCAAACAGATTACATAGAATATGAGTCCTTGAAAGGTTAAATATTTTTTTTTTATTTCTGTTTCATTTCAAAAATCTTGAAATATATTCCCCGATCGCATTCATTTACGCTTTGGAGAAAATTCACCGGACTTAAACGGTTGTAGTACTGCTGACCGCTGCTTATATTTCGTCGTAAGTTTACTCGGGTTAATCCCTTAGTTATTTCGAATTTAGGCATATCAATAGCCATTGACGGTACAATTTCATTTCAAAGTTATGTGTTTTTCCTAGATCTGTGAGGGTTACTATATCAAGTTTAGCTAATTAGTCTGACTCTCGATATGTCCGTATTATATAACGCACTACATGGACGCAAAGAATTTCACAGTGAAGAATTTTATTTCGTAGAACATGCAATATAAAAACACATAAGGTAAAAACTTAATTAATCACAACTGTGTATATCAACTGGTCAATCAGGCATAATTACTGTCACCAACCGCAACGACAGCCTCCAGGGAGTACTTCAATATAACCGTTATGAAAACAACTCATTATCACCTGTGGGGACCGATCAGTGGCTTCAATATAAGCGAAATTTCAATATATCCGATTTCAATATAACCGTTATTTTAATGCAAAGAATATGAGAGGCAAAAACTGGGGATTTATTTCTATTTCAAAGTAAGCGGAATTTCAAAATAAGCGAGTTCAATATAAGTGGAGTAAAATATATAATTAAAATAAGGAAATGGGTATTGAGTGTCACAATTGATTAATTAATTTACCCCTTCACTTCTTTTATATGGTTGTCATTTTGGCCAAACTGGACATTTAAATTAACGCCGTGACCTTAATACAGTTGACTTTAATCTGTGACTGGTTCTCCCTCATTTAACGTCCTGAATTATGCTATATTTTACATATAGACTAAGCACTTCCAGGGCATTTAAATCCAGTGTCACTTTATTGTTGACTCAGGTTTTTCTCCTTGTTTGTATCTCTAAGTATGGCTGTCATTTATTTTAGTCTTATTTGGCAAGCCCCAGTGAAAGTGTGGTAGAATATTACGTGAACATACTGCATATTTGTCTACAGCTTGGAACCTAGTAAAGAAAAAAATAAGATATTACGTTATTGACCTAGATTCATTGCCATTAATACGTTTTAAAGCTTGTCATTAAGTGGAAGCATTGAAATTTTGCCATTGTTTACTGTGTTGTCAGGAAATATGGCGAGGTCTGTACGATAACACAGAGCTGTGCATATAGATTTTTTATGTCTGTTGACGTGTGAAATACATAGGAGGAATCAAGATCACAAATGTAAGAACTACGACATGAGTCATGTGAATGTGTTGTATACAATCTGTGTACTTGATTCAGTAAACAACCTGCGAGTAGACATTTGATATAGATTTTCCTGTGGGGTTAACGACAGAGAGAATGTTTCTTTGGAAGTATTGATTTCATAATTATGTCTGTGAAAGCAAATGGATCTTCACCTCGGATATTCCTACCCCAGATTTCAGCTCATCAGACAAACAGAAAAACTCACAATAGCAGACAGGATTTATTTAAGCCAAGCCAGGGAAACCCATTTGCTCATAACTATGGCCGGGAGAAAAGCAGAGATCAGTTATTTCAAACAGGTTTGAACAGTAATAAAGAAAATTATCAAAATTCTTCTGGAGTTTCCTTACCCAAAATATCTAAGGTACCTCCCAAAAAGAGGAAAACGTGGGGAAAAGTTGTAGACACACGATCTATTGAGGAGGAGACACCCTCTAAACGTGGTTCATGGTCTATTTACGAAACAAACTTAGCAGTTCCCAAACTTTATGATCCTAATGGCTCCAAGGTCCGCGATCTTCCATACAATTCCTTTGAGAATCCAGATGATGTGTCTTCCAGTATTGAGAACAGTGATTCATTTGGGGGCAGTTCGTCTGGCAGAAGGCGAAAGCAGTGGTCAAGGCCCAACAAAAAAATAGCCAGGCAGGAAATTCCAGTCTCTATTGATGAAGAAGGAGAAAATAGTCGCTATGGAGCTGACCAAGGAGCAGATCCATATCATAGCACTCCTAGGATTATATATGACAGACATGGTCCTGTTACTGCAACATTTGAACCAAGCTATGGCGGTCCTCCAATTCCAACCAATCACTATCCTAGTTCTCAGAGGTATTACCGAACACCTCGTAACAGGCGTCCGGGTCAACCCTCTAGTTCTGATTCTAACTTTGCGCTCAACACTGGTTCAACGCGGTCAGAAGACAGTGAACAAAATATAGAAAATCTGCTGGATAAGTTTGCTTCAGATGTTGACAATGAGGCATATATAAATCTAAGTCATCGCAACAAAGCAAACATTTTCAGTGGCAACTTTAGACCTTTCTATCCCTCCCCAAGTAACTTTGTAGTAAGCCCCCCTCCTCGTGCCAAAACTAAAGCCAAGCCAGTATTATCAGACAAAAGAGCAAGTGCCCCACAAAGGCCTGTACAGCAGGAATCCCAACAAAGAAGTGGTCCTTCTGAAGTGCCTTCCAGTCAACCTACTGCTGATAATGTGGTTACTGGTAAACCACCGCTAAGTGGGAAAAGGGTGAATAACCCAAGAAAGAAAATTATTTCTGCACGTTCTGATGAAGCCAGACCCGCAAAATATACATATACTATAGAGAAAGAGGACAATAATAGTGATTCTAAAAATGGTCAAGCAAGTACCGGTACAAGTGAAAAACAATCTGATGATAGACCAGCTAAGTACACTTACACTAAAGATGATGACGATAGACCCGCTAAATACACATATACTTTAGATGAAGATTCCAAACCTCGAACTGTGACGTTCAAAGACGAAAATAAGAAAGATAGCAAAAACTCTGTTATAAAATCTAAAACAAAAAATAAGACATTGGGGTCAACAAATAAAAATAATACTTCCTCTCAAGGAAATTCTTTGAAAGACTCGACCACTGTTGACCAATCAGAATCCTCTTTTTCTCCAGGTCGTAGAAACTGGTCCCCACCAACTGGTGAACTGTTTGACGAAGATCCTCGGCAGTTCTGGGTGGACATAAATCCCAAAAAGGAAGGTAAAAATAAATCCTGAACAGGTGTTTGTGGAAAAATTTGCTTTGTAGAGGGTTTTGGGGCAAAAGGAGATCTGAAGTGAATGTTCAAAAGTAATATCTCTAGTTAGTGTGACTTTCCTAATGATGAAAAACTACCGATAACAAGAAAAAAAATACAGTTAAACCTCGGTATCTGGAATTTGATGTGACTGACCAGAAAACAGGATATCTGAATGTCTGTGATGAATAAAACTCAAAATTAGACTATGGTTGGGACTTTGGACTCAATTCAACTTATCCCTGGTATTCAACCTAATGGTATTTGAGATACCGAAGTTCAACTGTGATTTATTTCTTGTATTACAGATAAATTTACTTTATTTGGAATTATTTTTTCCTATTTATAAACATTTTGAAAATATTTTTAAAATAATGACCATGCCTTTGTCTTCCACAATGAATATTTTGTGTACACAATATGCATTTTCCTTGTAAATTGAGTACTTACTGTAAACCAACTTTTATTGGCATGCTAGAAATTTTCACGAGAGAGATGTCATCGGTAATATTTCTCGACGTGTCTATTTAGAATAAACCCAAAAAGGCTTGATCATGAAAATTTTACGTAGCAAATTAGTTTACCCGAGGTAAATCGCGAAACAAAGTCGTCACGAATAAATGTTGGTTTACAGTACTTCATGCTTTGTAGTCCATTATTAACACAGTACAACATGTTTATAATGAACCATGAAAGTCTGAATACATGCATGCATATAATGAAGTGATATTTGTAAAGAATATATACATTGGATTACCGGTAAATGAATCTTTCAAGTGCATTATAACCATGTTCTACTGTGTAAGGCATTATTATTATTAAGGTCCATTATCCCTCTGATAGGAGAGATAACTCTCTTGAGATAAAAATAAAGTTAAAAGGCCATACCTGCCCACAAGACTCTGCAAATTGTGTGCTTTTTAATTTTAATAGCTTTGATGAAGAAAATTATTATTGTGTATTCCAAATTTATATGGGTTACCAGAGGGACAAATGGATGTTTAGTAAATCAATTTTGCTTGCAGGTTGAAGAACCATCTCATAATCTATACTTTATGTCTTAATATATAATGCTTCAATGTTAATCTGTGGACTGATTCATTTTCCACATTTCCATTTGCTTATAATATTGGAGGCTTATAAATCATTAAATTCATTAAATCATAGTCGTTGCTCATTTTGACAGAGTTAAATTCTGAGGAGAAAATAAAATGAGGAAAAATTTCATTTTCAAAGAATGTTTTTATGAAAGCCATATTCCAACGATCAAAAACCTATATATTAGGAAGAAAAAGCATAGATCAACATAAAAACGCAACATTAATGTTAATTAAAAGTTTATTACTGTACCAGTAACTCCATAGTTTCCCCTTTACTGAATAATGTAGAATAAAAAAATAATTGATAGTACATGCATAAACACAAACACCGTTTTTTTAACTCAAAAATTAAAGTTACTACTTAATACTTAAAAAAAAAAAATTTGAGTTTTTTTAAACTCAAAAATAAAAAAGATAAAACAATTGTATATTTAATCAAAAAGATTTTCAAGAGATGCTAATTTTTGTTCATTTGGATATATTTCATTTGTGCATGTACGTGCTTTTAATTTTCATACCTAAAAACTGATCCATCTGAGGATGGTAAACATACAAAAACCTTAAAATGGCCTACCGCTAATTGATTGTTAAAAGGTTGATCATGATTTATAAGTAGGGATTTGGTCAGCTAAGATCATAAGATTTAATTACATAACAACCCAAAAATTCCATTATCAAAACCTTTGGTGTTCTTATGGATTGTGTTCTATTGAAATTGTTAATATTAAAATATCACTTTTAAATTTTTTTTCATATTATGTTTTGAATAATTATGTAGAATACAAGAAAACGAACCTTTGATACCCATGCATGCTTTTATTTCAGTAATACTACTAAGAAAATGTCCTTTGATTTTTGAGATTCTTGATTTTACACATTCACGGTGACACTTTTACTTCCCAGGTATAACTCTCTCTGATATTAGATTTTCTGGGCTCCCTTGTAATTGATTATAACCAATCAATTGACTGGCTGCCGTGTTTAAGTAATAATCATTCCGGTTATAGAAAGATATAAATACATGTAGTAGCAAACAGGACAATTACTTTGTTGATACAATATATATTTTGTGTTGACTTGTAATAAATGGTGGATTTAAATGCTAAGTGCACAGACAGTATCATTTAAACTTTTGAATGCAAAGAATGGACTAAAAGCCGAGACAACTATCTGCTAACATTAGATAACTAAGTATTGACATGGCACCTGATCTTTGAGAATTTATCTAAATGTGTGCTTGTGGTAGGGAGAAAAGGACCATTTTATGATATAAAAATGAAAATAGAAACAGTGTTGCAGGTTTTACAATCAGTCTCTAAATATGCAGACTTAAAAAAAAAATATCTGGAACAAGGAATGTGTCACTTCTGGAGTTGTTGATGTGACAATGTGTTAGAAGTTGGAATTAAAAAAAATGTCTGTACGGCTACCTAGTATTTATAAACATTTGCAAGGTTAGAGTGAGACTTGTATGGAATATTTATTTTATTTTCATAGTAAATCTAAAATCAAATGTATTAAGAAAAAAATGTGTTTAATTTACTCTGGTATATGTGCATTTCAGGAGAGTAGTTACAATTCTCTTTATTTTACGGTTATATGTCGCAAATTTTATCTTTTTATTCTTTTAATTCAGTAACAGCATGGTTATATAATCTTACTGTAGTTTATCCTGTGTTGTAGGTAATTTGTCATATTCTTTCCATCAGTCAAAATACAGCATTAGTATTTTGTTTCATAGATGCAGAGTCCAAAGTGGCAGGAAAACAAAAGGGTGGAGCAAAAACTCCCCGGAAGTCAAAGCGGATGGCGGCCAAACTTGATGGGCATTCCTCCACAGAAGGGGAGATCACTGCTAACAACGGGTCCAAGGCTGCCAGTGAAAGGTCAGGCTTAATATTTAATGCAAGGCAATTGGATGGCCTCTTAACGTAGTACTGAAAAAAATTAAAGTTTAGTGCAGTCAGTGCAAGTCTGTAAGAAATTGATTTCCTTTTACTGTTCTTTTATTACTACTGGTGTGTTTTGACAGCTTGTGTTTTAAATGAAGTTACAGCTTTACAGAACAGCAGGGTTATGATTAACTACATGTATTTTACTTTACTCAAATATAAAATATAAAATTTAATTTACTCCCAAGAAAATTATAAATATAAAGACTGAGAACAATTAAGAGGAATCTTAAGATTTGTGACAATATAACACATCAGCCATTAAGACTAATGCAGTGTAGAACTACTGGCTGAAGGAATCAATAAATTATAGAGAAAGTCCTTGATTTTCCAGGAATAAATGAGAGGACAATAATTAATTATTAACAAGTGAAGGGATTCAAACCTTTCTATTGGCTTTCTCATTAATCATAATGCATTTATGCAATAAATTTGACCAATGAGTGTTAAAATAAAGAGCATTATTTCTTTTTTAAAATTAGTTAATTTGCTTTTCTCTATTCTAGACACTGTTGTATAAGTGATTTTTTTTTCTTCTTCTAAATACTGAGAACTGACTGAGGGGTAAATACCCAAGAGATGTTATGAATAATTTAATGCAAGTTGACCAGATATACAATCAGTTAAATGCTAACACTAGAGTCTGTTTTTATGGTTTTCTATTGCTCTACATTTCCAATAGGATTGTCTTGTAGACAGACTATATATAAACCATGGAGGAGAAATTCAAAAGCCGTTATAATCGTAAAAAAATTCTTTGTCATAGCGCTGATGTAAGAAGTCCTAAAGGAAGCGGAAAGAAGTCAGATGAGCGGCGGGGATCCACTCAGGACAAGACGCCGGCGGAGGCTGCCAAACCCTCGCAGACCGAGGACGTCAAAAACAACACGTCAGACGAGTCACTGCTACAGAGTCAGGATGACATTCCCATGTTACAGAAACTCAAACAGATGAACCAAAACACCAAGTGAGTAGTTCTCTGGTTAGAGGTATTAGATAATGTAGACAAGCTTGTCACTGGATGTTTGATTAGTAGACCGTTAGTTATCTATTGGAAGTAAATGTACTGGGGTAAGTCAAAACAAAGTGATACATCATTTAGTCTGCATTGGATAAGCAGTGCACATAGATATTTTACAAATTAAAAAGAGAGTCAATTTTGATGACAGAGTTAAAAGTATCACTGTGTAAAGTTGTTGTGCTTCTCTTGGAGATTTTGTCTGTAATTTAAATGAAAGTGGTTGGTTATCTCAGTCAATATATTGATTATTCCTCCTTCACTCTTTAAATTCACTGATTTTCCTCTATATTTGAATTGTATTTGATCAGACAAACTTTATCAATTCCTCAATTTTATATTTGTTAATTATTGGTACATACAGTTAAAACTGTCTTATCCAACACCAATGTAATTCTTTTCATTGTGATTTCTGACCCTTATTTAAAAACTCATTTAACTGTTTTCTGTGTATAAAATCAAGTGTTCTGAGTTTTATCACTGTAACTGGAATGTGAAATTGACATGAAAAGAAATTCATTTTGGAAGTGTTAGTATTTAGTAATGGGTATAAATTTACAAATCAATCAAATTATTTAATATTGAACCCTCTGAACAATTTAATCAGAACATTTGTGGAGTGTATTTAACATTAATGAATGCACTGTAAGTTACTAATCAGGAGTTAAGTCCCGAGAGTGAATGTGCTGGACATTTTAGTAATATTAAATTTTCTATATCACCCAAGTTCATCCCCTCATTGTTCAATATGCATGTCCTTTCAAGTTTTTAAATAAATTATATTGATTTCAATTTTTTAACCAAATTATTATTGACAGTCCAAATTGTGGGAGTAATAAACTTTAGAAAAGAAAATTTTTATAGACTGTGTTTTGTTAAATTCTAGATATATTTTTAAATCCTTCCCCACATGATTTAAATTTTAATATATTATTAATATCAGTTATCTATTAGCATTAAATATACTGAGGCATAAAAAATGGGATCCATCTTGTAGCCTGTATTATGGAGATTAATATTAAGAGAGAGATAGTAACTATATCATCTTGATATAAGAGACAAAAATGCTAAATACTTTCCAAATATGTTGCTAATATCTATGTTACAATGTTTTCAATCTTTTGATATCTCATCCACTCAACTAAGATGTCACAACCAGTGATTTTTGCTAAGGCAAAAGGAAAGTGGAAAATGTAATAAACCCAAAATTCAATGTTTTGTGGTTGGATGTGGCATTTTTTTCACTCGTAAGACAGAATTTTTTTAAATACCGGTACATGTACATTTAACAAGTGCGAAGCACACATGAAAATAAAAAAAAATTCTGTCTCATGATTGCAATATATTTTGTATTAAACTACAAAACATTGAATACGCTCTATTCATATTACTGAGTACTCAGTGTGATACACATAATATATTATGTTGACAAAGTTATTGTCTGTGGGGTTGTAATTTCGCAGCATCCACAGACATTTAAGTCCCGATAAACGATTCCAAATAAACCTCTAAGCTGTTTTCTGCACATCACTGATATGAATGTATACTATTATGTTTTCAAATCATGTGTGGTTTATCAGTGTAAATGAATATCACTGGACTTTAGGTTTAACATGTATAATAACGAGGACAGCCAAGCAAACCTTACAAGGCGCCCAGTTTGGTTGGATATGATGTTAGATGGCCGCAATAAGAACATTATGTAATATTTTAATTCTTTGCATGATGTTACAATATTAAGCATGCAGCTTTCAGCAGGTTCTTCCACTTTTTGCATTACACTTTTACTTTTTCCTGTTGGGGATATAATACAGATAACTGTAGATCACTAAATTTTTGTGTCACTTTATTTTCGCGAGAAAGACATGTGCTCTATATTAGTGCGAAAATTTTTTCACAAATTGTGGAGGAAACTGCTCTACATAATCACAAGGAATTCTTATATATATACCAGAATTATATTTACGTGAGCACATGGTCTTGCGTAATTATGCAAAAATAAAGTTATCACGAATAGAAAGTGATTTACAGTACTGTGAAATCACTTATTTTCTTGGGTGGTTAATTTTTGTGGTTTTCGAGGTATGAAGAGACCCACGAATTTATATCCACCACGAATTACAATTTTTCACATATATTACTACTAAACAATTCTTCAACCAGTTTCAAATTCCCATGAAACTTTTTTCATTTCAAACCATGAAAATTTGACCCCTCGAAAATATGTGATTTTACAGTATGCATGATATTGAGGGCATAGGAAGGTATCTTTATTCAAGCAGAATGACATTGTACTTTAGGGTTAAGTATTAAGACTGTTGGCATCCTGTGGACCAAACCCTTCTTTGCATTGGATTTCATGGAAATGAAATTAGTTTTTGCAAAGGTTATTTTGTTTCTTTAAAAATGTTTGATTTTGTTTACAAGTTGTTTATTTTTCAAACAAAAAAAGCTTATGAAACATTTCGATTTAAAATACTGTATGTCAGATTTTTTTTGGTCATGCTTTTCCTGCCTATAAGCCCCTAAAAGTGAATACAGTAAAACACACTTATAATGAATTGCCTGGAACGGGAGATTTTGCTTCATTATTATAAACATAATTTGTCATATCTGTTGTTTACAATTTACTTTAAAGTGATGGGGAATGAAAATTGCTTCACTATAAGCATCAATTCATTATAAGCTTGTTTGCTATAACATTTTTCCCTGTACTATAATCAGACTTTTTCCCATGGGGTCACTGTTCCATAAATTCAGTTTATTTTCACTTTAAATTTATACTTATAAGATGTTTAGAAATAAATCATGATCATAATTGTTTTTACAATATCATATTTATATTTACATGTATACTATCCTTGCTTCAATATTAAATAATTACTTTTAATGATTAGTCTCTACCTTACAATATTTATTGCACAGAGTAGAAGTAGTTCAACATGTTTTAAACATGATACTTGTACCATTTGATTAGACTGTGGAGTCTACCGTGTACATGGGTATCTATAAAGAGCATTGCTTTTTGGGGTGAGAGAGTGTTAAATGTAGAAGATGAAAATTATGATCCATCTAAATGCAAGACCATTTATTGATACAGAATAATATATGTATATATACTTAAATATTTTAATTGTTGTCAAAATGATTAAATAATCAGTTTGATGTGAATTAATGAAACATTTCAATAGTAAATGCAATGTTTGCATTCATGTGAGTCAAAGTGAATTTCCTATTCTTATGTATTAGGGACCAGAAAAAGAAAAAGGATGTTCCAAAATGGTTAAAACAAGAGGAATCTGGTAAGTAGAGTATATTTTAGTGATTAATTATTGATTTTTAAAAAAAATGTTTAATTTTAATTCATTGACATTCATTGGCATTGTCATTCAATGAGTTTACATGTAGATTTAATTCCCACACAGCAGGTCCATTTGAAAATCCCCCAAGTCGAGGAGGAAGTCGCCAAGATGTTCCAGCCCCTCTCCCTCTGAAAGATCACATGATTCAACAGGAGGATGTAGACATGTTGATTGACGAGGAACTGGCTATGTGGCCAGAAAGTGGGTAAGTATTCACACAGATATCAATAGCCCATACACAGAGATATCAGTACTCCATATACAGATATATCAATATTCCATACACAGAAATATCAATACTCCATACTTAGAGATATCAGGACTCCATACACAAGATATCAATACTCCATACATAGACATATCAATATTCCATACACAGAGATATCAATACTCCATACGTAGAGATATCAATACTCCATACACAGAGATAATACTCCTTACACAGAGATATCAATACTTCACATACAGAGATATCAATACTCCATACACAGAGATATCAATACTCCATACACAGAGATATCAATACTCCATACACAGAGATATCAATACTCCATACACAGAGATATCAATACACAGAGATATCAATACTCCATACACAGAGATAATACTCCTTACACAGAGATATCAATACTTCACATACAGAGATATCAATACTCCATACACAGAGATAGCAATACTCTGTACACAAAGATATCAATACTCCATACACAGAGATATCAACACTCTATACACACAGGGCCGTAACTAGGGGTAAAACACAGAGATACATTGGGGGCCGCCAATAGGCCCCCAAAGATAGGGGTGCGGGGGGCAAAGCCCCCCTCAAAAAAATTGCTTCAAACGGCACAAGATGGACCATTTCCTTGATTTTGACACATGCTTACCACTTTATTATATTTCTGAATACACAGAGATATCAATTCTCAACATGGAAACAGATAACATAACGGGCAATACATAAATTACACATGTTTCCCACTATCGTTGATGTACTGGCATACTATACTAACAGAGATGATCATTATATTTCCATTTCATTGTGAAATAAAATTGTAGATTTTGACTTTAAAAATGTAGACTAATCGATTTAAATTACACAAGGACTCCAATTCCAATTTCAATAGTCCTCGCCCACTGACGTCAAAAACAAAGGCAGCCGCACGAGATTTACATGCGTATTTGGCCTTTTAGCGTCAGACACAGACACAGATGCGCACGAGATATGCATGCATATTAGGCCTCCTTAGCTCCTGACCTATCGACCTGCCTAATTTACATTCCGGCAGAATTATCAAGAAATAAACTCCCCTAACTTTCAAAGAGTTATCACAGAAAAAAAATTAGAAATGGAAATATTACCTATTTATGTACTATTTTGGATAGATATGATCAAATAAATTTCAATCGTAATTTTAACTTCTGAATGTAAATATAAACAATGATAAATACAAACTGACTTTTCCCAAGAAAAAGATAAAATTATTTAAGTCAATAGGGGTATCAGAGATATCAATACTCATACACTGAGATAGTTTTCACTGTACTAAATGCAGTTCTAAAATGATCGATCGCCGTAGTTCGAATTTCGCTATGGGACATGGGGACTGGTCCTACGGACAGAGATAAAGTTAACCAAGCCCCGTGTCACAGCTGTGGCACGAGATATCCCTCTCTGCTCAAAGGATGAACGCCGAGCATAGGTAATGGTGACACTCACTGGATAGCTGAAAAATTGCTCAGGTGGCTATAATCAAACAAATAAATGATCATTGATCCAGCTGCTTGTGTTGTGTTTCTTATTTCCAAGAAAAAAAATGAAAATCTAGAGGAGGCAATTGCCTCCGTTGCCTCAATGGTAGTTACGGCCCTGACACAGAGATATCAATATACAGAGATATTGATACTCCACACACAGAGATATGAATACTCCATACACAGAGATAATACTCCATTCACAGAGATATCAATACTCCATACACAGAGATAATACTCCATTCACAGAGATATCAATACTCCATACACAGAGATATCAATAATACACATAGGTATTCACTTAGATATCTCATCATTACTTGGTATGCCTTAGGTATTCAGAGATATCAATATTGTATACAGTTAAGGTATTCACAGAGATATCAATATTGTATACAGCTAAGGTATTCACAGAGATATCAATATTGTATACAGCTAAGGTATTCACAGAGATATCAATACACCACTCTGATTCAGCTTCGATTTATCTATATGATTTTGCGAATTACAATTACAGTGGAAAAACAATTTCAAATTTAATATGTACTTATCATTATTCATGGGTATTTCTCAATTGTTATTTTCCCACTTTGATTTATTTTTTATTCAATTTAATTCTATCTTGTGAACAGCAAAATATAATTTTCAGCTAACTAAATGTTGTGCAAAGTTATCCCCAGTCTCTCAATATTTGCATTTAAAATTGTTCCTTCAAGGTAATCTAGGGTTTTGTATGGTTACAGGAAGCCTGATTTGAAGACTGTATTTGATATGGACAAGAAACCACCATCATCGTCGTCATCATCCAAGACAGGAAAAGAATCCAACAGCGCCACTCCCATGAAGAAAATTCAACAGAACCGAGCCAAGTGGAGGGACAATCAGAAGAAAAACTTGGAGGAGTCCTGGGGCTCACTAAATATGTTTGACAGACACCAGAAAGGGAGGATTTCAATGGATTTAGATGGTAACATTTAATGTCCTTCATTTATTAGGTATTTCCCAGTTGAAACTGATTATTTGTAATATTGAAAAAAATTTAACCTTCGAATAATAATTAAAAAATTTTCTCATAAAAAATTTAAATGCATGCTTCATCATTCCTTGAATTAATCATTTTGACTGAAGTTATTTTTCATTTATAATTATGTGTGTACTTTAAACACAGAAATTTACATGTAGGATAGTTACACTTTATTATCACGGTTCACCCACTGTGATACATGTATTAAAGTTCTTTTTTTTTATTCTTTTTGCATACCAATAAATATTCCATGGCTGATTGGCATGTTAATTTCTGAATTTGATATTTCAATTAACAATTATATTACATTGTTTTCATGGGAAAAAAAACACCCATTTGGCTTTTGCCACTTCATCAAATGATTCATTAAACATCCACATTTACATTATGTATTTTAAGTATGTTCACAATATCAAATTTTGTAGATGATGCTCTAGATGAATATCTACAACTGTCCTCTAAGAAAGCCACACCCAATCAACCGTCAATCAAAGAGGAGACAGAAGAGGCGGAGCCAGTGACAACCAATGAGGAGGAGTAAGTAATGGATTTGGTTTAGATTAACATGTTACATCAGGCCTCGGGATCATGAAAGATCTTAAGCTAAAGTCGAAAACTTTATCTGATGCTAAAGTGGAAATCAAATAGTCTAAAATGAAAATATTATAAAATATTGCACCACCTAATAAATATTTTACAGGTGATTGAAAATTTGACTTTAATCTAAATCTGCTTCATGATCCTGGGACTAGGACAGTGGATATATATGTTATCTCAAATAGAATGCATCTTTGAATAAAAATATAGACAAAGAAATTACTGTGGAATCATTTTAATTTTTGGGGTCAATGTTCTTCTTGGGCAAGCAAAATTTTAGTTGTTCAAAGGGACATTTACTCATTATAATAGATTCAATGAATCAATATGTTTACAGAACACATGTAAACATTTGTGGAGATGTCAATTAATGGGTTAACAGTAAGGGCTTCCCATAAAATCCACAAACATTGGTCCCCCATGAAGAAAGGTGATTTCCAAAGAAGTGAAATTTCACTTATGGTTAATTATTTAACAGAATGCTATTTGCTGACTTGCATGTACTGAATATATTTGATTCTTGTAGCTCTGTAGACAACTTTGTGATTCCTGAGCTGCCTTATGGAAAGGACTTAGTCATTAACATTAAAACCACATGGGGTGACAAGCATTATGTGGGACTGACTGGAATAGAGCTGTTCTCTAGCACCGGGGAGTCGGTCAATGTCTCAAAGGTACATATAGTGTTACAATAACGTATATAAAGATATGATGAACAATAGAGATTTATTAACTAAGAAATTAGAGAATCTTCAATCCACTTTGCGTGTTGGGTAATATTCTTTTCTTTTTTGTTTGAATCAAGGAGCTTGAGGAAGTTGAGCTTTTGATAACCTTTGTATTTACTACAGATCACAGCCAAGCCTCTGGATATCAATATTCTGAAGGATTATGAAAAAGACCCTCGAGTTGTGACCAACTTAATTGACGGGGTGAATCGTACAAGAGACGATGTCCACATGTGGTTAGCTCCCTTCAGTCCTAGTGGAGACCACTTCATCTACCTCACACTGGAAAAACCTTGCCAGATAGCTCTTATGAGAATATGGGTATGAGCTATTTATACTGAAGGAGTGATTTTGTGTAGAATATTTGTTAAAGCTTAAAAGATCTTTCTTTGATTGATAGCCTTTTACTGCCACAATATTATGTCTCTGAGTTTGTCATATTATTATATTGGACTCTTTTGGACATCAGCAGGCAGACTATTTATAGGATATACAGATAACCCCATAACAAAAGTAAAATCCATGCTCTCTATATAAGTTCAGGTCCCACTGTAGGTGATAAGTGTATTAGATGTATGAAATCATGAACCATTTACGAAAAGAGTCCTTACCAACTGGTAAAATATATGTCATATTAGTCAAGAGTTCCTATTCATGATTGGATTGGGTATGTTATAGCCCTAAGAACTCATGAAACCCATGTGACCACAAACCTTGTGTATAAATATTTTTTTATGATCAGATTTAACAGAATTAAGAATGTTTTGTGTGATTGATTACTAGTTTCTATTATTATATTTTCAGAACTACAATAAATCTCGTATTCACTCATACCGTGGTGCTAAGGATGTGGAAATAAAATTGGACAACAATGTGATATTTATAGGAGAGATCGCCCGAGCTTGTGGAGGGATAGAGGGCGGGACTGAGGCATTCGGGGATGTAAGTTTTATAAGTCTGTAAGAACAACACATATTTCTATGGAGAGGTGAACCTTGGCTTTCCCTGTAGACTCCTGTTTACTGGGTATTATTGATATGAAAATTGAAAATAAAATTGTAAAAAATGGCTTGCATATTTAAAATACAAAAATACTTCATCATCTCACCATCCCTAGCATAGTTCTCAGAGCAAAATTCACTGGCATCATTTGAAGTGTAAATGGAATCTTTTTCAGACTATCCTGTTCACAACAGATGAGAACATTCTGGAGGCGGTGTCTAAGAACGACGATGCGTACGAGGGTGACATGTTAGATGACACGGAACCAGATGACGTTCCGTTTGAGCGACCAAGTACAGCTGACGCTGGAAGTGACGAGGTAAATTTTGTTACTTCCTGAAAAACTGTAGCTGTACATCACAAAGCTTATTTCTTGTTCTAAAGTAATGTTTGGTACCTTTTTTGATAAGAAAAATATACTGATTTGAAATACAGTGCTTCCATATTGCATGTATAATGTGCACTTGTGTTTCATGCATCTTGTTGAAAATAAAACACTCCATCACAATTGGACAATTTTTAAAGAAATGTACAGATAGCACACCATAAATGGTGATTAAAAAATATTTTTTAATCAAGGGCATGTATGTTACTAGTACAAGGTTCATCTTACGAAAGCAAAAACTAAGCACCTAGCATAAAACAGTATTTTACGTTTTTTTTTATCAAGATTTTCAACATGTTTTAAACCATCAATTCTTCATGATTTTTAAAAAGTTACATACCTGTCGCAAGTATAGCACATAAGGGTTGAAGAATGGAATAATAAATGATCAATTTGAAATGGAAAGAGATGCACATCTCATAAAAAGTATAATTGCCCTTCTTTTGTGATAAACATTTCAGGAAAAAAGTGTGCACTATAAATGCAAATGGTACTTTCCAAATTCCCAAATTTTATATTTCCTTGTGCTTAATGCTTGTAGGCAGGACCCTCTAATGTGAAAAAGGTACAAATAACAGACTGTGTTGTCATACTACACTGGGGCCTAATTCATTTCTCACTGTAGATAAGAAATGCTTATTGTTTCAGAGGAATAATTTCTCACTATCTTGCCTTCTGATCTGCCTATTGTTTATGGTTGTTGTAAATTCTGATTTCATCCTTTAGTTGTTTAGACATTATTTTTATATTTTAGATAGAATCCCTTTAACATGTTTAATGTTTTATATATTAAACTTTTATAGCAAAATTAAACAGAATATAATTTTATATATTAAGTGAAAATGTTAAGTCTTGTGATTGAAGGTTCTTTTTATGCATACTTAGGACCGACCATTCACTCGAGCTCAGGGAAATTTGAAGAAAGAAGACGAAGCCTCAATCCCGTCCCGCCCAGCCACCAGTATGGTCACAGAGGGGGATGTCATTGTGTTCAAAGGAAAAAGTAAGTCAGAGGGGGATGTCATTGTGTTCAAAGGAAAAAGTAAGTCAGAGGGGGATGTCATTGTGTTCAAAGGAAAAAAGTAAGTTAGGGAGGGGGATGTGTTCAAAGGAAAAAGTAAGCTTGAGGGAGCTGCCATTGTGTTCAAAGGAAAAAAGTAAGTTGGGGAGGGGGGATGTGTTCAAAAGAAAAAGTAAGCTTGAGGAGGCTGTCATTGTGTTCAAAGGAAAAAGTAAGTCAGAAGGAGGTGTCATCATTTACAAAGGAAAAAAATTGAGTCAGAAGGGGTGTTATTTTGTTCAAAAGAAAATGTAAGTCAAAGGGAGATGTCATTGTGTTCAAAGGAAAGAGTAAGTCCTTTTGAAGACTTGAAAAAATGGAAGACTGATTATCAACAAAAATGTCTGATAGACAAAGCACAGTTATGAAGCAGTGCAAGATATAAATGGTAAAAAAAATGTTTATTTTTAGTATTATAAATGGTTAAAAAAAATGTTTATTTCTAGTATTATAAATAGTAAAAAAAATGTTTATTTTTAGTGTTTTATTCAATATTGCCATAAAACACTAAGATTTTGTTGTTGGTTTAGGTCTCCAACTGAACTTCACAGATACCTGGGGTGATCTCCATTACTTAGGCCTGACAGGACTGGAAGTTCTAGGAAAAGATGGAGAAGCTTTTCCCGTCTCTCTGGACATGTTAAAGGCCACTCCTTGTGATCTCCATCACCTGCCAGGTCACGAACGGGACGACAGAACACTGGATAAGTATGTTATAAATCAGATACCCTTCTTATTGCTCAGTTTTCAGTTGGATTTTCAAATTGTTTTGCTATAGGCAGATTATATCATGAATTCCATATTTCAAGTTAGTAATTAGTATTGCAAACTAACTCTTTACATCAAATCTTGAGGACATGAAGTTCCAAATGGATTGTTGATTGAACAGAATAATTATTGAATAAAGTTCATCAATATTTGAATGAAATTGAGTAATTTTATTTTACAAGTATTGCTTTTTGCAAAATGGGACAATGTCCTTGTGTCTACACTGTATAGAGGGATATTAAGTAAATTCCACACTCGTACTGTTTGATCCAGAGTAAATATAGATATCTTTTACATGTAAATACAGTCAGACAATCTGTCTGATCACACTGAATCAATACTGAATCCCCTTTACAGAGTAATCAATGGTAACAATGTGACATGTGCTGATGAGAACATGTGGTTGATTCCGTTCAATGAAGGCCAGAATCACACACTGACGGTAAACTTCAGTCATTCGGTAATGATGGCGGGGCTGAGAGTGTGGAACTACAACAAAAGTCCTGAGGACACATACAGAGGTGTAAGTTATTAATCACCTGATGCAGAGGGGAAAGTAAATTAACTATGCAATTTATAATGTAAATTTTGACCATTGCTGTCCAGTGGAAGGGAGTTGTTATTTCCATTATTTGAATGTTACATTTAAATTAATTAAATGTCTACTACAGTAACTGTACTTCATTACTTTTTTGACAGCAAGGAACAAAATTTTTGAGGAATTATGGATCTCTTTCAGAAGTTGCAGCCATTTTAGTCCCTCTTACTATGAATATATGACCCATGAGAATATATAATGTCAGTTTATCTTTTTCAGGCTAAAATTGTCCATGTGAAGATTGACGGTAAACAGGTGTCTCCCCCCGATGGTTACCTCATTAGAAAGGGACCAGGGTACTGTTACTTTGACTTTGCTCAGGAAATCGTGTTTGCTGCCCAGCAAAAACCAGCCATACCTCCCACATCAGAAACTAAGATGGAGTCTTCTGTCAGGTTAGAATAGAAGTCCAGTATTCTCAAGCAAGTAATGGAAGGAATTCTTGTACCCAGAAGTGTTTGAAGAGCATGTACACATATAATCTGTATTTAAAATAATAGATGTAATAGATGTGTTCAGTAGCCAGAGTGTTGCTGAATTTGACATATCAGAATTTATCTAATTTTTTTTTTTTTACACAGGAGTTCTGTCACAGATGATGGTGAATATGAGTCAGTACAGATGCCCTGTGGTTGTATCCTTTTGCTAGCTGCTTACTGGTGATCAGTTAGAACTGTTGATGCCCAAACTGCAAATATAAGCAATATAATCAAAATAAAGTTTTGTTTTGGTTAAGATCCAGCAATTTTGGACAGAGTTATGCCCTTTGTACTTCAAAAAAATTCCAGTAATTTTCAACCTCCATTCTTTTCTTCGCAGAAGTTAAGCTTACTGAAATGAAATTTGGTATACAGTTTAATCATAAGAATATCTAGGTAAAATTCTGTTTTGGGTACGATTTTGCAGTTTTGGACAAAGTTATCCCCCTTGGACTTAAATTTTTTTTTCAGTTTCCATTCATTTTCTTCACAGAGGTTGTACATTCTGAAATGAATTTTGGTATATAGATTTATCATAAGAATATCTAGGTCAAGTTCTGTTTTGAGTAAATTTATCAATTTTGTACAAATTTATGCCCTTTTGACTTAGAAAAATTCCTAATTATCATTTGGAGAAGGGAGCAATAGTGTTTCACAAATATCTCTTGTCATATTTACATGTTTTTTCTGATTCTAAATTAATCCAGAGATCTAATGTGTAACATTCCTTGACTGTGTGAAGTTATTTACCAGTTACATCTGATTTCCACCTGGGGAGATCCTTACTATGTGGGACTGAATGGGATTGAGATGTATGACGCCAGTCACAACAAACTAGAGTTGACAGAAACAAGTAAGATTTCATGTCATTTAATACATCTGCTTCGTGTCTTAGCTAAACTGTTTTTTCTTTTTTAATCCAAGCCATATATATATTTAACAGTACAGATTAATTTGAATTGTCACATTACACGACTGGTCCAAATTATGTATTTCTGGAATCACAATTCAACCTTTTGATGTATTGTACACTTGAAAGTCATTCCTGTTTTTGTAACAGATATAGCAGCCTATCCAGACAGCGTGAATGTCCTCTCCAATGTACAGAATGATGTCAGAACACCAGACAAGCTCATAGACGGAGTAAACAGTACGACTGACGGCAGACACATGTGGCTAGCTCCTATCTTACCAACTACAGTAAGCAAGAAATCTACTACTTTATAACCAAGCATATAGCATCTTCACATTAAATAGCTTTTCATGAGTTGATGATGGAGATAAAAATTCAATATATTAAAGAAATTTTTTTTTATATTTCAGTTAAATCGTGTGTATGTGATATTTGACCAACCTACAGCAGTGTCTATGATAAAGATCTGGAACTACAGCAAAAATCCAAACAGAGGAGCCAAGGATATAGCTGTAAGTACATCATCAGATCGAAAAGGTACAACTGTACAAACAGAGAGAGATACTGTAAATGTATTATACGTGTATTTAGCATGTACAATATTTAATGGAAATTGACTTTCGAACAATTGGCTCAGAATTGATTAAGCACATTTCTAAATGTTCTTAATTATGTATATAAATGTAAGACATTTAGTGTTGAACTTACTTGAATTAGTGAGAGTTTCTTTCCACCAAATGCGCTAAAAAGAATATGCAACCAGTTGTAATACATTTACAGTATTTGATCAATCTAAGAAGTAGTAAAAGATGGCTTTATTTGAAGATTAAAGACAGGAAGTCTTCAGATTCTTTTGATTAAGCTACAAAACTATGATTCAAATTGCATTCACGAGCGAGAAATCTTCACAATTTTATTAACTTTACCTGAAAATTTTTTAGTTCCAAACCAATTATTCAACTTTGTAATTATGTAAAGTGTTGCCTGGCCAGGAAATAGTAGTCACAGATGGATTCCAAACTGAAGAATCATGAATGAAAGATGTTGAAAATAATAGTAGGTTTACAGTATATAGAGATGAGAGATGGGATTTTTTTGTGTGTTTTTCAGCTGTTGGTTGACGATCTACTTGTGTACAATGGGATGCTACAGCCAGTGAGGTCGGGGGTTAAAGGCATCGTCCCTAACTGTGACGCCCCTCAGACCTATCACACCATACTCTTCACTGACAACAAAGACATCATCAGGAAAGAAAAACATTCCATCATCAGGTATTTACTGGGACGTAAACCTTAAAAATGAGGTTTTTAATGGTACAATAGTTATCACTTAGTATTATTGTACACACTTTTCTTTTGAACTGGTCATTGAATATTTATATTTATCCCCAGTAACCAAGCAGGGGAACAGGACATACAGCTGACCAATGACAAGATTGTGGTGGGTCAGTATAATGACCCAAAGAAGGCCCAGCAGGGAAAACCTGTCAACCAAGGTATAGTAGTAATCTTATAAACTCCTTTGTAATCAACCAAGTCAATATAATCAACTAAATCATTATGTACTTACATGTAATCAATTAGATAAATATACACTTACATGAATTTATCATTATAAATAACACAAACTTAAATGTAATCTGTAGAATGGACAATATGCTATCATCAAAGATGACAGAGTTACAATGTAAAATAGTCTTGTGTTTATTTATTTATTTATTCATTTAACACATGAATTGAAAGTTAATGAAATGAATGGAGTACATAACTAAATTACATTTTGTGTGAGTTATGGACCTTTATTCATAGACATATCAATTTTGCTACAAAATGTTTTTATTAAATACCATTCAGTGTGTAGTGTAGGCCTTTCAACTGCCGCTAGGGGTCAGTTTTATGAACGATAACTCACTGCTCAAACATGTTGAGAGCAGGCTCGGGGTATCTAACTGTTAACACGCAAGGCAGTTTTTAGCATTTCCCAAGTGTTTCTTTGCTCTCAGTAGAATCCTGTGGTTTTAAAATTTATCACCAATGTTAACCTTATTTACTGTATAGTTGCGGACACCATTTCACTACATATAATTAAAAGTTTTAATTAAAATAAAAAGTGAAATCTACCCTCCTTCTTAGTTCTAACCTAATTAAATTTTTATACTCGGTCGTTCCCGTTCGTGCTTAGTAACACAAGTAAGATGATCAATTGCTGCATTTACTTGTAAAAATATATATATTTATATAGGAAGCGAAAAAGCGTGCACACAAAAAACATGACATTAAATTTTCTTCTTCATAATAATCGTCAAAGAGAGTTAAAAATATTGAATATAGTCTGTTCCCAATTCATGTGACCCTGTTATTTCAGGTAGAGTGAAGGCATTCTCTTTCTCATGGTCAACACTTTTGTGTACAAAACAATGTGAGGAACCCTTTTGTGTACATAACAATACCAATGCCGAAGCAGCCTATATGTCATTCCTATAAACGATAACTGATAAATCGGCACTAAGTTGGTCATTTTTCACACCTGAGTTACCTATCCTTAAAACACAACATCGGAAAAGTCAATTATAAATAATTAAACTTTTTAATGATGTAATTAAATGTATGCATAAGTTATTAATTTTTTGATAATTTCATGTACCTATGAATTTATCTATGCAATGTTTTTTACCATAAGTGCAACTTGAAAAATTAGTTGAAAGGCCTATGTAGTGTTGGAAGAAATTTGTTGTTGTCAATTTGTAGAACATAGCTTTTAAGTTTTAGAAATAGATATGGGATACACAAAATATACATTTATATACGTATCAATGAAGCTTATTTAGAAGACAGTAGATTTATTGTGATGTTGACTGTGAGTTTCACATCAGATAAAGGGCACCTGCTGTCAGGGGCAGTAACTGTTGTTTTACACATTCTTAAATGTTTCAGTATAGTTGTTATACAAATTTCTTACAATTGTTTTCCAGAGCTGAGACCAAAGACCAGTGTAGTGGCCCACAAGAACAGGAGATGATGAACTGAGAAGCAAGACCTGCCCCTCGTGTGTCGAATTCTGCATAATTAATTTGCCAACAACTCTCAAGAACCCATTAAATTTCTGTTAATTAAGTGCAGAAAGATTCCAGTATATTTCGTGTAGTATAGATTGAATATTGAATATTATTACAATTACCATTACAAGAATCAGATAGACACATACAATATATGGGAATCTACTTTGTCCAATTTGAATTAATCGAGTATAAATCCTAGTCAACCTCATCTGGCAACATCTATTTATGAAGCATATGGTCATATTTACTGATAAATAACTAAGATTACAATGACTAGTAACTGCTCACATTCCATATAAACTTGTATATATTGTACCGTATGCTACTGAAGGATGCAGTTGACAGATTAGTGCTTTGAAATATGTCACGTTAAAAAGAGACCATGGTGGTAAAGAATTTACCAAGCAGGTGCAAAAACAAGTCTTGTTTGTTTTTAAATTATTTAAAATGCACCTTTTTGGCAAAAAATCATGTGTTCTTACATCTTTTTAGTTACTTTTTGTAACAGTGGTGCTGATAACCTCATTTCTTCATTGTGTTGAAAGTTCAGTTGTAGACAATTTATCAAGTTTTTTTTTTTCACAATTCCTTTCATATATGTGAATGAATTTTGTGCTGTTATTATAATCTGGGATGAAATATTTCCAGATTTCACATCGTTTCCAAGACTGTTTCACTTTATGTTGCATTCTTTTCTTTGCTAGACCTATTGTAGACTACCTTAGAATCTTTTGAAAAAGAAATGGACTTAACTGATACTTATAAATCTTTTTTTTTTTTTTTTTTTTTAAAAGACATTCTGGGAAAATATTGATTTAATGCTGCTGTTACCCATATCCCCAGAATTTTTAAATTGAGGGCAATTTGTAGTTTCAAGAATTTCTTTTGAATACGTGCTTACTTTGGTATCCAGTTTTATATGCATTAGATCTGAAGTTGAGTAGAACACATAGATCTGTGGACAGTATCAATGGCAGAGATTGTATTTATTTTGTTGATTAATGTAAGAAGAGAACATGGTTTGTAACATGTTACTTACTGTTTTTGTAAGGTAAACAGCGATGAAAATGTGATAATTAGATACTCAGAATTAATGGCTAGTGTTGCCAACCCTTAGAATGAGAGAATATATCATTAAGAATGACAGTAATGTTTTTTTCTTTACATCTGTTGAAATGCTATTAGTTCAAAAGGTTGTGGACTTTTGAAGTCAGTACTACTTTTGCCATGTGTGTAGCAATAATTTATTAGTGATGTGTGTTATGCTTGTGAAAATTCCGTCCATGTCAGAGAGAGAGAGAGAGAGAGAAAGGAATATTGTTATTATACATGAATTTTATTATGTGCTCATTCTGTTGCTTCAGCGTGGTTGCTGAATGTGATAACTTTGTTATACATATCCATGTGTGATATAGACACAGTCTCACACTGTGACAATCACAATAAATTATCATCATTTGGCTTTTGTTTTCACAATGTCCATGGTTATTGGTGTCTTTGAGATTCTGCTAATTGGTAAAATGATTTGTGGTCCCCTGGTTTTTGGTGTCTTGTTGTCTGGATGCAGTAAATTATGGCATATTGTAACGGTATTGTCTGTATGTCATGTCTCATCTGTCCATCATATATAATAGATTTTAATTTTTGAATTAAGAAAAAAAAAATTGGAAAAGTTCCTTAAACTGCATCAAATTTCAAGATAAGGTCCTGGGGTCAAATATCATAATACATACAGTAAAACACTCTTATAATGAGATGCCAGGAATAGGTGATTTTGCTTCATTATAACATAAGTCGTTATATCCGTTAAGTTTACAATTCATAATAAAGTCATGGGGAATGAAAATCACTTCATTGTAAGCATACATTCACTTCATTATAAACAATTTTGCTATAAAGGTGTTTTTACTGTATAATCCATGAGGTCTTGTCACAAGCAATGCATTTGAAATGCTGTCTCCTCTGGAGCGGCGGATATGGCTTTTAAATGTCTAAACTTTTGATAAGCACCCAGTAAGTCAACTTATAGGTCAAGGTTATGAATTCAAAACTGAATTAGGAGTAAATTTAATACACATGTAACTACATTATAAAGTTATACGGGTACATGTCTAACATGGTTGAAACATGTTACATTTTTAGATTAGATTAGAGACTTTTTTAAATGGATTACCTTATTATTTGGATGGATGCCCTACAAACCCAAAGATGTAATAACTTATAATGGAGGAAAGTAATTTTCAGTGCAAATTCTTTTGATGTGCCAGGAATTATTCCTTTTGCTACAAGTATATGGGACAAATTCTGACAAGGTCTATATGAATCAAACACAGCTTCATTAATCTGATCCATCAATAAACAGCTTTTATAAACCATTCTAGTAAAATTCTCTGTTATCCTTGGACTTTCAATAAGGAGTGGTATTCTCGACGTTGCATAATTAATGTCTCTCAAATGATGACAGATTCTCATTGGTTAATGAATTATTAACATCAGCAACTTTAAATTGTTGATGACAGACCTCTTTGTCGTACAAAACGCTACCATTGGATCTTGCTACACTCGTTGACATTCCCTCGAATTTCTGTCTCATCTATATTTTATCAGTGAATAAAAGGCTGTATAAATTTCAGATGCTAATTACGTAACGTTGAGAATGCCACTCCTTACTGAAAGTCCAAGGATGACAGAGAATTGTACTAAATCTGATCTTAACCTTTTGTCTTATTTAGTAGCTTATTAAATAAGCAATAAGAATCCATCAATGGTATCAAGTTTTATTAATAAACTTTCAATAGCTTGCTTTACATCCCCAAACAAAATGGTCAAATAACCTCTCCTGAGAATGGAGGTGGAATTTATGTATTACTAAAATGTCACTATTAATTGATCACTCTTATATCTTGGCTGGAAACGCTCCATTTTCTAGTGCATCATCCCATCTCTCAGTCTGTAAAATACAAAATATTTATTCAACGCTTTAAAGATTTAACTCAATCACAAACATAAGTACAGCAATTAAGGATGGAGAAAGTGGAGGAATTGTAATGTATATGTACAAAATTACTTAAAAGTATGCTTTTTAAAATAAATTACATGCTGCTTTGAGGTGACATATATCTTGCAACTCCAAAGCACCATATTATTAGTACTAGTAATAAAAAAAATATCTTCTGAATTCTTTTGAAAAAGGCCTTTAGTATAAAACAATTGTTATAAAAGTTCCGATAAAAGACAGCTGGGAAGAGGAATGAAAGGGGCTGGGGAGGGGGAAGTAGAATTTTATTCTGCCACTCACCCAGAAGCTGGGACAGATAGAGGTATACTGTTTCTTGAACCAGTTACAGGGTTCATAATCCTCCCCTTTCTTTTTTATACATCTGTGATAATCCACGTAGTTCTGCCAGCATAACCTGAAAGAACCCAATAATTTACATGAATATTTATAATAAAGTCTGTATAATATTGTAATTTGCTTGCTATTTTTTATCTTTTTTTTTATTTTAAGTGGTTCCTGACTAGTTAAACTAAAGGAATAGACATAGGAAGTGAATGCTTCAAACAACCTAATTATTTTGGAATTGGCATTGTTTGTGAGGAACCAATGTCTGTTGATTTGATGGGTCACCCTTACCCACAAATTTATATCCCCTTGAACATTCATTTTGTAAACAGTGATTCATTGAACCTATCATATAAACAAGTAACCTACAAAATAACATCCCCAAGAACAAGCAAAATTTTGCTGCTTCTCCATTAACATCAACTCCCCCAAATTGAAATGATTCCACAGTTTCATATAAGAGTTCCTGTTCACAGGTTGCAACGTATGCAAGGAGGCTCTATAAAAAGTGTGTTCAGAATGCAGAAGATTGGATCAAAAAGTTAGATTGTACTACGTAGAACATATTAAGTCTTAACTAAATTAATTGTAATCAATATTTCAATTTTGTTAACCATGACATGCTTAATATTTTTGCAACATGTATCTGTTTTAAAGGAAAATTGGCATGGGAACCCGAGAATTAAATTTATGTAGCCAAATGTGACTGGGATTGTGTGTTTTTGTGCATTTTTTTTTGTTGGGGGGGGGGGGGGGGGGGAGGGGGTAAATCCTCCCAGAATTCCTATGTTTCTGTTCTGTTTATCTTATTCTAGGTACTTGGTGAAAAAAACATTCAATTACCTGGCTTAGAGATTTATAGATCATTATTTTGAATACTTGTCCATTACACAGCTAAACACAACAACTGATCAAAATTGCTGATACAGAGCCATAACCCAATCCATAATCAACATTTCAATGTTCAATCTAGCTAGTGTATTTTTCAACTATTTTAACAAACATACTTGTCTTGGTTGCAGAGTTGAAATCTTGCATCAAACTTGGCAGTAGACAGAATTTTTTCTGCTTCTTTGTCATTTTTCTTGGCATTTTCAGCATACATGCCAGAGAAACTAAAAGGAATAAAAACAACAATCCTGAATCATGTCAAAAAATAAATGGCAATCATTTGGTAATACGTGTAAATTGTATAAAGAAAAGTAATCAAAACAAAATATTAAAGCTCAGTTTTTACAAAACAATAAATTCATTTGTTTGGTATTCTCAATATGTCTAAATTTCAACATGCTTGATGTGAAATTCAGCAGCGAGTCTTTACATTTTGGTGGTAGTTGTTGACTTTTAAGCTTAGAGCTTCATACCTGGGGGGGGGGGGGGGGGTCTGGACCACCTTTAGACTGACCTGACCCCCCCTCTCACTTGGATATATACAGGTACAATCGACAATAGATATAAATTGATATATCATTGTCATTATTTCTCCTCTTGATGCTTAAACTTAATAAAATGTTTCATTTGCATTTTTTGTTAGGATTTGTTCAATGACATTCAACATGGTGATTACATGTATATCAGTGTTTTCCCTAAGAACCGGTTACCGGCCAAATTGACCGCTTAAATTAAATAAATGAAAATGCCACTTTGAAATAAAAAATTGATGTAAGGTCCACAGAGATTCTGTTTATGAACATCAAAATAAACCTCAGCCCCTAGCCTGTTAAAACTGATCTCTAACCCTTTACTTTGAAATAAAGGGAAAGCACTGGTATATGTTATGTTTGCCCCAGAAATACCGCAAGATTTGCACATGATTTTCCATCTTTTTCACATGAGATCGTTACTGGAAATAGAATGTATAGTTTTCTCTGCGATATCTATTTGAAAGTAAGGTGAGTTGATATTTTGATAATTAAATAATTCAAAAAGTGATCGTGTTCACTCATCACTCACCCAAAAACTTGTAGAACTACAAGTACAAAGTCTCTCAAGTAGCTGCAGATCAATATGTTTTGGTTTTATACATTGTCTTTGACCATAACTCTAGTCTAAAGATCCTGGAATGCTCAGAGGTTGCAATTTATGGTGATAGAATTTTTGTGCACTATTACTTCCTAGTTCTGGGCACATTCTTTAACCAATCTTTCCTCCCAAGCCTTTATAGTCAATTCTACAGAGGGTAATCTACAGCTTGATTTGAACTGTCTGTTAGATTTTAGAAACTTCAAAAGTTCAAATCAAGCGAGTTGATCGGTTATCGTACTGTCAAGATCATGCAAGATGACAATAAAGGGTTGGGAGGTAAATAAAATATACAGATTGGTTAATAAATATGTCTAGAATTAGGGAATGAAAGGTACATGATTTACCTTTCCTGGAAAGTTGAGAAGTTCTTCCCAGCTGTGAACAGAAAATCTTGCTCCGTAAATTG